AATGTGTATCTACATTATTCATGATGTGATGAAGCATTTTGCTTTTTCTTTTTTCTCGGCTTTGCCTTTCTATTAAGTAAGTCTCTTTGAGATGCTTGATTAACTTCAGATTTTCTGAGGCTGCTTTCACTCCAGTGAAAGCATGAGATTAGGTGATCAAGACTATATTCTTGGATTAAGATAGTTATCTTAGATGGATGATAATATTTGTATTGACATTGTCAATGTGTTGTTAGCCTTTCAGATTGTGATGTGAGATTAAGATTGGTCTTAATCCCCAATTGTAGACTATTGTAGCCAAGTGATGATGACATTTGTCTATCACCTGATTTAAATGGTCTGTAGGCTGTAGATTCAAGTGATTTTTTAGACACTTTGTGTCCTTTTCTTTTCTGTTTCAGTTGCTGGTGGAATACTGTTAGTCATTTTGACCTTTTCCAAGTTTCGGAGATTCCGAGATTTTTCTCTTTTTTCTGATAAATATGTATGATGTTAATGTATTTTGATAAATGAGCTTTCCTGTCTACTTAGGTAATGATTCCAAAGATCGTCCTTCATTTCCTCCCTGGAATCTGGTTGTAGCAGGTGTTCAATTATCAAAAGTACTGTAATAATTTGATTTGTGACCCGAATGCACGAATGCACCAAGTTGGTAAATCTTGTAATAATTTTTTAAAAATAGTAAATGGCACTATTTTTGCAAAGTTATTACAAAATCTGTTACCATAATAATTGTTAGATAAAATACAGTAGAATGTCTACTGGTTTTACCTGGAATAGGGTATGATTCAGTTGATTATAGTTAGATTGTAATGAAATGCTCTTACAGTGATGATAACACTTTTTTAAAGAATATTATGTAATGAGCAGCTCTGAAAATCAGAAGATTAGAGATAATGTTAGATAATACACTTAAATATATATGTAATGTTACCACAATGAGGTAGGTAATTGGTATTTATGATTAAGATGCAATTGTGTCTGTGACACTGATATAATTAAGTACTGTGGTTTCTTAACACAAAACAATATTAGTATTCTATGAATACTATGAATGCTTACTAGTTAATGGATATGGTGGCTTAAGCCACTGCAAACTATTTGTTTACTTAGATATATAGCTATGATAAATATTGGCTGATAGCTAGGTTAGGCTAGAATATGTAAGAATTATTCCAATGCAAAATCAAGAAGTTTCTTATGTATTTGGCATTGAAATATTCGGTAAACGAATGATCATAAATATCTAGGTATAAAGGACCATTATTATCTAGGTTCGAAGGACCATTAATGTGGGAAAAACCTGCTGGGATTGATATAAGAGGAGACTACCAGGGACTTGTACTGAACTAAATTAAAAATTACTGTCTGCAAATTAATTCAACTAAAATCTCTAGCTAGGGTTGTAAATCCTAATTCCTCTTTTCCTAATGACAGACTGTGGGCTGTAAGGGACAGGTGGGGTGAATGACTTGTTGATAGAAGTTCCAGTCCACCTGTAGACAGGGATCTCACATCAGCTTGTATTTTATACAAGGATAAGATTTGATAAATTCAGTTATATGACTGAACACTGGCTCTGTTTAAATCAGGGATTTAAACATACATAGTCTAACCTAGCACCATAACTTAACAGCCAATATGTACTTATACTATAAACAACAAATTAAATTGTAAAAGTATAAATAAATGACCTTAAATATAGTCTAAATACTGTTGAGTAAGTACTAGAAATTATATTCAATTAAATGAACTTATATGATAACTTAAAAATTAACTAAGCAAGCTATTGATAACTTAATTTATATATTCAAATATATATGCAGACATATTCACTTTATACAGTTAGCTTGACTGAATCTCTTCCAAGACTGTGGACACTTGTGAGGTTTTTACTTATTGAGGCTGAATTCTTTTCTGACAGAATGGACACTCATGAGGTTCAGTGCTTGGATAAGATTCACAGCTACACTACAATTTTAATAAACGTACCGTGAATGAGGCTTTGCCTCGCTTTTTAACCAACAGACAGATTTATAGGATATTAAAGCTACACAAGCATACAATTGGCCAATCATATACCAAATAACCTTCAATATACTTCTCTGCCAGTCGGGGTGCCTGTCTGACAAGTTTGCCAGACTGATTAACTCTCTCTTGTTGAGTTTAGGCACGATATTTTGCTACAGCGTTGCTGTATGATGATCTGGTAGCGTTGCTACGTGATTATCCTGCAGTTGCAGAAGAATGATTCGAGATAAAAGTTTATGAATGAAGGTGGAGGAAACCGTGTCACTGATCTCCACTATACACTATTTTATAAATGTTCTAGGATTTTCCTTGTAGATATTGTCCAGGTACTCCCCCAGTTCTAGAGAGTATTCACTGGCTATAAAAAATGTTAGATAAGGTGTCCTTGAGCTGGTAATGTTCGCTAAGGATCAGTCACTTGTTCACTCATTTGTAAACAAACGCGGAGTGCCGCTGGGCTTGTTGGTGGGCGCTTCTCTCCCCCCCATCGCCCTGCCATGCTCTCTGAGCACGGTAGCCTTCTATGAATATTGATTGATTATTTTTACAGTCTAGACTTATGATTAAGATAAGATGTGATTATAATATAATTAGATATAAGATTTAAAGATTATAAGTAGTATTTGTAAGTACCACTGAATCTTATTAAGGATTTGATTTTTAATCCTACCGGATGTTGAATCAATGTTCCAATAGTTTTTTAATTAAGAAGTCCTTCTAGAAGCTTCTGGATCCTTGAAAGATCATGTACAAAGTCACGTAGGCATCAAAAGGGCCCCTGTTGCGTACGTGTTCATGGTGCCATTGTCATCCAGGATCAAGCTATATAATGAATCTTTAAAGATTCATTATATGATTTTGATACAATTTAGATATGATTTTGATATGATTTAGATATGATATAGAAATTATACATTTCTTAGATGATTATTAGATATGGTGGGTAAAAATTTCCCACAGAGACAGTAACTCAGGGCTGAGGCAGTAACTCGGAGCTGAGACAGTAACTCGGGGCTGAGGCAGTAACTCAGAGCTGAGACAGTAACTCAGAGCTGAGACAGTAACTCAGAGCTGAGGCAGTAACTCAGAGCTGAGACAGTAACTCAGAGCTGAGACAGTAACTCAGGGCTGAGACAGTAACTCAGAGCTGAGACAGTAACTCAGGGCTGAGACAGTAACTCAGAGCTGAGACAGTAACTCAGGGCTGAGACAGTAACTCAGAGCTGAGACAGTAACTCACAGCTGAGACAGTAACTCACAGCTGAGACAGTAACTCAGAGCTGAGACAGTAACTCAGAGCTGAGACAGTAACTCACAGCTGAGGCAGTAACTCAGAGCTGAGACAGTAACTCACAGCTGAGGCAGTAACTCAGAGCTGAGACAGTAACTCAGAGCTGAGGCAGTAACTCAGGGCTGAGACAGTAACTCACAGCTGAGGCAGTAACTCAGAGCTGAGACAGTAACTCAGAGCTGAGACAGTAACTCAGGGCTGAGACAATAACTCAGAGCTGAGGCAGTAACTCAGAGCTGAGACAGTAACTCAGGGCTGAGACAGTAACTCAGAGCTGAGACAGTAACTCAGAGCTGAGACAGTAACTCAGGGCTGAGACAGTAACTCAGAGCTGAGACAGTAACTCAGAGCTGAGGCAGTAACTCAGGGCTGAGACAGTAACTCAGAGCTGAGACAGTAACTCACAGCTGAGGCAGTAACTCACAGCTGAGGCAGTAACTCACAGCTGAGGCAGTAACTCAGAGCTGAGACAGTAACTCAGAGCTGAGACAGTAACTCAGGGCTGAGACAGTAACTCAGAGCTGAGACAGTAACTCAGAGCTGAGGCAGTAACTCAGGGCTGAGACAGTAACTCAGGGCTGAGACAGTAAATCAGGGCTGAGACAGTAACTCAGAGCTGAGACAGTAACTCAGAGCTGAGGCAGTAACTCAGGGCTGAGACAGTAACTCAGAGCTGAGACAGTAACTCAGGGCTGAGACAGTAACTCAGAGCTGAGACAGTAACTCAGAGCTGAGACAGTAACTCAGGGCTGAGACAGTAACTCAGAGCTGAGACAGTAACTCAGAGCTGAGACAGTAACTCAGAGCTGAGACAGTAACTCAGGGCTGAGACAGTAACTCAGGGCTGAGACAGTAACTCAGGGCTGAGACAGTAACTCAGGGCTGAGACAGTAACTCGGGGCTGAGACAGTAACTCAGAGCACGGAAGGTTAATGGGATATCCTCCGGCTGTCTCTGGAAAAGCTGCCGCATATGTCCAATAGATGGCGCTCATTTACAGCGATGGTCTTGGGCTGTTCTGCAAGTGTTTCTCCTTAATGGTTCTTGCGTAGTGGTTCTTGCGTAGTGGTTATGGCGTAGTGGTTCTTGCGTAGTGGTTCTTGGGTAGTGGTTCTTGCGTAATGGTTCTTGGGTAATGGTTCTTGGGTAATGGTTCTTGCGTAGTGGTTATGGCGTAGTGGTTCTTGGGTAGTGGTTCTTGCGTAATGGTTCTTGGGTAATGGTTCTTGCGTAATGGTTCTTGCGTAGTGGTTCTTGGGTAGTGGTTCTTGCGTAATGGTTCTTGGGTAATGGTTCTTGCGTAATGGTTCTTGCGTAGTGGTTCTTGGGTAGTGGTTCTTGCGTAATGGTTCTTGCTTAATGGTTCTTGCGTAATGGTTCTTGGGTAGTGGTTCTTGCATAATGGTTCTTGGGTAGTGGTTCTTGCGTAATGGTTCTTGGGTAGTGGTTCTTGCTTAATGGTTCTTGCGTAGTGGTTCTTGCTTAATGGTTCTTGGGTAGTGGTTCTTGCGTAATGGTTCTTGGGTAGTGGTTCTTGCGTAATGGTTCTTGCGTAGTGGTTCTTGCTTAATGGTTCTTGCGTAATGGTTCTTGCGTAATGGTTCTTGCGTAGTGGTTCTTGCGTAATGGTTCTTGCGTAATGGTTCTTGCATAATGGTTCTTGGGTAGTGGTTCTTGCTTAATGGTTCTTGCATAATGGTTCTTGCGTAATGGTTCTTGGGTAGTGGTTCTTGCGTAATGGTTCTTGCATAATGGTTCTTGCATAATGGTTCTTGGGTAGTGGTTCTTGCGTAATGGTTCTTGGGTAGTGGTTCTTGCTTAATGGTTCTTGCGTAATGGTTCTTGCATAATGGTTCTTGGGTAGTGGTTCTTGCTTAATGGTTCTTGCGTAGTGGTTCTTGCTTAATGGTTCTTGCGTAATGGTTCTTGCGTAATGGTTCTTGCATAATGGTTCTTGGGTAGTGGTTCTTGCGTAATGGTTCTTGCGTAATGGTTCTTGGGTAGTGGTTCTTGCGTAATGGTTCTTGCATAATGGTTCTTGCATAATGGTTCTTGGGTAGTGGTTCTTGCGTAATGGTTCTTGCATAATGGTTCTTGCGTAATGGTTCTTGGGTAGTGGTTCTTGCTTAATGGTTCTTGCATAATGGTTCTTGCGTAATGGTTCTTGGGTAGTGGTTCTTGCGTAATGGTTCTTGGGTAGTGGTTCTTGCTTAATGGTTCTTGCGTAGTGGTTCTTGCTTAATGGTTCTTGCGTAATGGTTCTTGCGTAATGGTTCTTGCATAATGGTTCTTGGGTAGTGGTTCTTGCGTAATGGTTCTTGCATAATGGTTCTTGCGTAATGGTTCTTGCATAATGGTTCTTGCATAATGGTTCTTGGGTAGTGGTTCTTGGGTAGTGGTTCTTGCGTAATGGTTCTTGCATAATGGTTCTTGCGTAATGGTTCTTGGGTAGTGGTTCTTGCTTAATGGTTCTTGCGTAGTGGTTCTTGCTTAATGGTTCTTGCGTAATGGTTCTTGCGTAATGGTTCTTGCATAATGGTTCTTGCATAATGGTTCTTGGGTAGTGGTTCTTGCGTAATGGTTCTTGCATAATGGTTCTTGCGTAATGGTTCTTGCATAATGGTTCTTGCATAATGGTTCTTGGGTAGTGGTTCTTGCGTAATGGTTCTTGCATAATGGTTCTTGCGTAATGGTTCTTGCATAATGGTTCTTGCATAATGGTTCTTGGGTAGTGGTTCTTGCGTAATGGTTCTTGGGTAGTGGTTCTTGCGTAATGGTTCTTGCGTAATGGTTCTTGCATAATGGTTCTTGCATAATGGTTCTTGCATAATGGTTCTTGCGTAATGGTTCTTGCATAATGGTTCTTGCGTAATGGTTCTTGCGTAATGGTTCTTGGGTAGTGGTTCTTGCGTAATGGTTCTTGCATAATGGTTCTTGCGTAATGGTTCTTGCGTAATGGTTCTTGCGTAATGGTTCTTGCATAATGGTTCTTGCGTAATGGTTCTTGGGTAGTGGTTCTTGCGTAATGGTTCTTGCGTAATGGTTCTTGCGTAATGGTTCTTGCATAATGGTTCTTGGGTAGTGGTTCTTGCGTAATGGTTCTTGCATAATGGTTCTTGCGTAATGGTTCTTGCATAATGGTTCTTGCATAATGGTTCTTGGGTAGTGGTTCTTGCGTAATGGTTCTTGGGTAGTGGTTCTTGCGTAATGGTTCTTGCGTAATGGTTCTTGCATAATGGTTCTTGCATAATGGTTCTTGCATAATGGTTCTTGCGTAATGGTTCTTGCATAATGGTTCTTGCGTAATGGTTCTTGCGTAATGGTTCTTGCGTAATGGTTCTTGGGTAGTGGTTCTTGCGTAATGGTTCTTGCATAATGGTTCTTGCGTAATGGTTCTTGCGTAATGGTTCTTGCGTAATGGTTCTTGCATAATGGTTCTTGCGTAATGGTTCTTGGGTAGTGGTTCTTGCGTAATGGTTCTTGCGTAATGGTTCTTGCGTAATGGTTCTTGCATAATGGTTCTTGGGTAGTGGTTCTTGCGTAATGGTTCTTGCATAATGGTTCTTGCGTAATGGTTCTTGCATAATGGTTCTTGCATAATGGTTCTTGGGTAGTGGTTCTTGCGTAATGGTTCTTGCATAATGGTTCTTGCGTAATGGTTCTTGCATAATGGTTCTTGCATAATGGTTCTTGGGTAGTGGTTCTTGCGTAATGGTTCTTGGGTAGTGGTTCTTGCGTAATGGTTCTTGCGTAATGGTTCTTGCATAATGGTTCTTGCATAATGGTTCTTGCATAATGGTTCTTGCGTAATGGTTCTTGCATAATGGTTCTTGCGTAATGGTTCTTGCGTAATGGTTCTTGGGTAGTGGTTCTTGCGTAATGGTTCTTGCATAATGGTTCTTGCGTAATGGTTCTTGCGTAATGGTTCTTGCGTAATGGTTCTTGCATAATGGTTCTTGCGTAATGGTTCTTGGGTAGTGGTTCTTGCGTAATGGTTCTTGCGTAATGGTTCTTGCGTAATGGTTCTTGCGTAATGGTTCTTGCGTAATGGTTCTTGGGTAGTGGTTCTTGCGTAATGGTTCTTGCATAATGGTTCTTGCGTAATGGTTCTTGGGTAGTGGTTCTTGCGTAATGGTTCTTGCATAATGGTTCTTGCGTAATGGTTCTTGGGTAGTGGTTCTTGCGTAATGGTTCTTGCGTAATGGTTCTTGCGTAATGGTTCTTGCATAATGGTTCTTGCGTAATGGTTCTTGCGTAATGGTTCTTGCGTAATGGTTCTTGCGTAATGGTTCTTGCGTAATGGTTCTTGTGTAATGGTTCTTGCGTAATGGTTCTTGCATAATGGTTCTTGCATAATGGTTCTTGCATAATGGTTCTTGCGTAATGGTTCTTGCGTAATGGTTCTTGCATAATGGTTCTTGTGTAATGGTTCTTGCGTAGTGGTTCTTGCATAATGGTTCTTGCGTAATGGTTTTGCCCAAACCCCCCTGCAGTTTTCAAAATATCTAAAATGTCGGAAATTTGACTCCTGAGAGTGATTTTTTGGGGGTTTGGGCTAAATATGACCCATCCCTGTTTTCAGTAATTGGCATTATTTCGGTATAAAAAGTCATAATTTGAAAATTAAAATAGGTGCAGAGAGTTAGAATTCGGATCAAAAATCACGCTCATGAGTCAAATTTCCCACATTTCAGATATTTTCAAAATTCCAGGGGGGGGGGGGGTTTGGGCAAAATATGACCCATCGCCGTTTCCAGTAATTGGCATATTTTCGGTATAAAAAGTCATAATTTTAAAATTAAAATAGGTGCAGAGAGTTAGAATTCGGCTCAAAAATCACGCTCATGAGTCAAATTTTCCACATTTCAGATATTTTGAAAACTAGTAGGAAATGACATTGCAGACGAAGCTGCAAAACTTGCAACTAAGAGAAGAAATGTAGACATTTACATACCACAGAGGCTATCACAGATTAAGATAGTAATTAGAAACAGAGCAATACAGGTGATGTACAGTGACCACAACACAGCAGTTGCAACATCAGGATCTGCGGGTTGGTACAAGAATTCAACCAACTACGAACCACTTAGTTTGATGAAAGGGAGCAGTAGAGCAACAGAAGTACACTTACATCGCATCAGGCTTGGATACCCATGTGCATGGGAAATAGGCTTACAGGTTCCGGAAGATGAGAGGAAATGTCAACACTGTGGAGAAATGCCCGACAGACCACTGGAACATTATCTAACACAGTGCACTGTTACAACCACAACAGACCACTGGAACATTATCTAACACAGTGCACAGTTACAAACCCATTAAGATTTCAACTTAGATTCAACAGAGCAGAAGAAGTTGTTAAATACGTATGGCAAAATCTTACTGAAGCGACCACACGAGTAATAAATACTCATACTCCGCCCAAGTAAAACAGAAACAAGCAACACTTAGTGGGCCAGCCAGAGGCTTAGGGCCCGCCCAGTGGGCCAGCCAGAGGCTTAGGGCCCGCCCAGTGGGCCAGCCAGAGGCTTAGGGCCCGCCCAGTGGGCCAGACAGAGGCTTAGGGCCCGCCCAGTGGGGCAGGCAGAGGCTTAGGGCCCGCCCAGTGGGCCAGCCAGAGGCTTAGGGCCCCCCAGTGGGCCAGCCAGAGGCTTAGGGCCCGCCCAGTGGGCCAGCCAGAGACTTAGGGCCCGCCCAGTGGGCCAGCCAGAGGCTTAGGGCCCGCCCAGTGGGCCAGCCAGAGACTTAGGGCCCGCGCAGTGGGTCAGCCAGAGACTTAGGGCCCGCGCAGTGGGTCAGCCAGAGACTTAGGGCCCGCGCAGTGGGTCAGCCAGAGGCTTAGGGCCCGCCCAGTGGGCCAGCCAGAGACTTAGGGCCCGCGCAGTGGGTCAGCCAGAGGCTTAGGGCCCGCCCAGTGGGCCAGCCAGAGATTTAGGGCCCGCCCAGTGGGCCAGCCAGAGGCTTAGGGCCCGCGCAGTGGGTCAGCCAGAGGCTTAGGGCCCGCCCAGTGGGCCAGCCAGAGACTTAGGACCCGCGCAGGAATATCCGTGCACAAACAAAACATGCGAGCATAGTTCACATCTAGCAGAAGACAGGCCACCAGCAGCCCTGTCATAATCACCGGAGTATCTCACGCCTCTCCCTCCATGCTAAGATCTTGATTCGTATCCTGACCAAGGGCAGCATGGAGAAGTCTGGCTCATTGTCCGGCAGTTCCAAGATGGTGTGATGGTGATGGTGATGGACGATGGTGTGATGGTGATGGTGATGGACGATGGTGTGATGGTGATGGTGCTGGACGATGGTGTGATGGTGATGGTGCTGGACGATGGTGTGATGGTGGTGCTGGACGATGGTGTGATGGTGATGGTGCTGGACGATGGTGTGATGGTGATGGTGCTGGACGATGGTGTGATGGTGCTGGACGATGGTGTGATGGTGGTGCTGGACGATGGTGTGATGGTGATGGTGCTGGACGATGGTGTGATGGTGATGGTGCTGGACGATGGTGTGATGGTGATGGTGCTGGACGATGGTTTGATGGTGGTGCTGGACGATGGTGTGATGGTGATGGTGCTGGACGATGGTGTGATGGTGATGGTGCTGGACGATGGTGTGATGGTGATGGTGCTGGACGATGGTGTGATGGTGCTGGACGATGGTGTGATGGTGGTGCTGGACGATGGTGTGATGGTGATGGTGCTGACGATGGTGTGATGGTGGTGCTGGACGATGGTTTGATGGTGGTGCTGGACGATGGTGTGATGGTGCTGGACGATGGTGTGATGGTGATGGTGCTGGACGATGGTGTGATGGTGATGGACGATGGTGTGATGGTGATGGTGCTGGACGATGGTGTGATGGTGATGGTGCTGGACGATGGTGTGATGGTGGTGCTGGACGATGGTTTGATGGTGGTGCTGGACGATGGTGTGATGGTGCTGGACGATGGTGTGATGGTGATGGTGCTGGACGATGGTGTGATGGTGATGGTGCTGGACGATGGTGTGATGGTGATGGTGCTGGACGATGGTGTGATGGTGATGGTGCTGGACGATGGTGTGATGGTGATGGTGCTGGACGATGGTGTGATGGTGATGGTGCTGGACGATGGTGTGATGGTGATGGTGCTGGACGATGGTGTGATGGTGATGGTGCTGGACGATGGTGTGATGGTGATGGTGCTGGACGATGGTGTGATGGTGATGGTGCTGGACGATGGTGTGATGGTGCTGGACGATGGTGTGATGGTGCTGGACGATGGTGTGATGGTGATGGTGCTGGACGATGGTGTGATGGTGATGGACGATGGTGTGATGGTGATGGTGCTGGACGATGGTGTGATGGTGATGGTGCTGGACGATGGTGTGATGGTGATGGACGATGGTGTGATGGTGCTGGACGATGGTGTGATGGTGATGGTGATGGTGATGGACGATGGTGTGATGGTGCTGGACGATGGTGTGATGGTGATGGTGCTGGACGATGGTGTGATGGTGATGGTGCTGGACGATGGTGTGATGGTGATGGTGCTGGACGATGGTGTGATGGTGATGGTGTGATGGTGCTGGACGATGGTGTGATGGTGATGGTGCTGGACGATGGTGTGATGGTGATGGTGCTGGACGATGGTGTGATGGTGATGGTGCTGGACGATGGTGTGATGGTGCTGGACGATGGTGTGATGGTGGTGCTGGACGATGGTGTGATGGTGATGGTGATGGACGATGGTGTGATGGTGCTGGACGATGGTGTGATGGTGATGGTGATGGACGATGGTGTGATGGTGATGGTGATGGACGATGGTGTGATGGTGATGGTGCTGGACGATGGTGTGATGGTGATGGTGATGGACGATGGTGTGATGGTGCTGGACGATGGTGTGATGGTGCTGGACGATGGTGTGATGGTGATGGTGCTGGACGATGGTGTGATGGTGATGGTGATGGACGATGGTGTGATGGTGATGGTGCTGGACGATGGTGTGATGGTGATGGTGCTGGACGATGGTGTGATGGTGATGGTGCTGGACGATGGTGTGATGGTGATGGTGCTGGACGAGTCAAAAGCCATCCCAGTGAGGAAGATTGTGAAGCATGGTATTCTCGGCCATGCTCCCTGATGCCTCTGTTCACCTAGCAGTATGGGCTAATACCGTGCCTGAGCCCAGCACCCCGTGACACCCAGACTGTGTACCTGGACCCACCACAGGTGAAGGTGGGCCCAGGGACGCCCTCACTGTGGACGCCCTCACTGTGGACACCCTCACTGTGGACACCCTCACTGTGGACGCCCTCACTGTGGACACCCTCACCGTGGACACCCTCACTGTGGACACCCTCACTGTGGACGCCCTCACCGTGGAGGCCCTCACCGTGGACACCCTCACCGTGGACACCCTCACTGTGGACACCCTCACTGTGGACGCCCTCACCGTGGACGCCCTCACCGTGGACGCCCTCAACGTGGGCGTCCACTAGAAGAGCTTTAAGTCAGTTTCTGCATCATGGCTGGAAGTCCACTACGGGTTCACCATAGCCCGTGCTACTTGGAATTTATTCTTCCAGGTAACTGACTCTAGAACAACAACATGGCCGGGCCTCCTGTCGTGTACACGTCACCAGGGATGGCTGCCACTTGGCCTGCTGTCGTGTACACGTCACCAGGGATGGCTGACACTTGGCCTGCTGTCGTGTACACGTCACCAGGGATGGCTGCCACTGGGCCTCCTGTCGTGTACACGTCACCAGGGATGGCTGCCACTTGGCCTGCTGTCGTGTACACGTCACCAGGGATGGCTGCCACTTGGCCTGCTGTCGTGTACACGTCACCAGGGATGGCTGCCACTTGGCCTGCTGTCGTGTACACGTCACCAGGGATGGCTGCCACTTGGCCTGCTGTCGTGTACACGTCACCAGGGATGGCTGCCACTTGGCCTGCTGTCGTGTACACGTCACCAGGGATGGCTGACACTTGGCCTGCTGTCGTGTACACGTCACCAGGGATGGCTGCCACTGGGCCTGCTGTCGTGTACACGTCACCAGGGATGGCTGACACTGGGCCTCCTGTCGTGTACACGTCACCAGGGATGGCTGCCACTGGGCCTGCTGTCGTGTACACGTCACCAGGGATGGCTGCCACTGGGCCTCCTGTCGTGTACACGTCACCAGGGATGGCTGCCACTTGGCCTGCTGTCGTGTACACGTCACCAGGGATGGCTGCCACTTGGCCTGCTGTCGTGTACACGTCACCAGGGATGGCTGCCACTTGGCCTGCTGTCGTGTACACGTCACCAGGGATGGCTGCCACTTGGCCTGCTGTCGTGTACACGTCACCAGGGATGGCTGCCACTTGGCCTGCTGTCGTGTACACGTCACCAGGGATGGCTGACACTTGGCCTGCTGTCGTGTACACGTCACCAGGGATGGCTGCCACTGGGCCTGCTGTCGTGTACACGTCACCAGGGATGGCTGCCACTGGGCCTGCTGTCGTGTACACGTCACCAGGGATGGCTGCCACTTGGCCACAGGACAGCTGCTTCCCGCCAAACACATACACCGAAACTACGACGTTGCTACAACGTTCGAACAAGTTTTAACACCTCCTAACCAGAACTGGAGGGTTCAGTTCCTGAACCGATTATGTGCCTCTGTAATCCTTTACACCACCGCCCACGGGATGGGTATGAGGTGCATAATAAAGAAAGAAATTGAAATTGAATTCCTAACCAGTTATAACAACCAATATAGCCAGTTGTAACAACGTTCTAATACGTCATAAACACGTTAAGCCAAGATGTAACAACTTTATTACAAGTTGTAACAAGCGGAAAATAGAGACAGTTACGGTTTGTGTTTCCAGAGTTAATTGGTGGCCTTCCTGACCACTTGTGTGGGAGGTGTATCAAGGTCCTGCTTGACCTCCACTTGAGACAGAGAAGCAATGGCCTCGAGGTTAATATCACCAACACAGTGTACTAAACACTGAGTCAGGTGCAGGCGATGAGTCACAATAACGTGGCTGAAGTATGTTGACCAGACCACACACTAGAAGGTGAAGGGACGAAGACGTTTCGGTCCGTCCTGGACCATTCTCAAGTCGATTCAGTCCTGGACCATTCTCAATCGACTTGAGAATGGTCCAGGACGGACCGAAACGTCGTCGTCCCTTCAACTTCTAGTGTGTGGTCTGGTCAACATTGAGTCAGGTTACACACCACTAACTACACCAGGTCCTGACTCTAACCAGCGGCTCCCTGACGTCTAACAAATGATAAGGTTAACAAATGACTGTTCAGGTCTTTCATGAAGCCAAGGTATGAATATTAATACAGATATTTATTAATTCACTTAAGATATAAAACAGGCAGTAGTAACAAAATATTGTTTTATCTTACCATTTTATACCCATGGTTCAATGGAATTCTTCTTTGTTTACGCGCAAAATTATCAGTAACTTTTCTGTAAAATTTGTGCTTGCCTTGCTCTAGAGGTTATGAATAATTCTGTGTATGTGACAGTTTTTTATCAATTAAAAAAAAGTCAACATTTAGAAACATAAGACATGGCCAACAATATACTGCGACTGTATTTTCAGTTTTTTTTGGGGGGGATACATCTAAATAACTTCGAACAGCGTCACTTCACTTGTGAAAGTCAACCCAGTGTTGTCAGGAGCCTCGCACAGTGATGCCATCTCGCTCAGAAACTAGATCTAACAGGAAAAAAATACACAGATACCAAAAGAATAGGGGGTAGTAGGAGAAGAAAATATCAAAGTGTTCAGTGAGGATCCACAAGGTCTTCTCTGAGTACTCTTTATTTTCATCTCCGAGGCTATGGGTCCCTACACTTGCACCAGAGGTGGTACCCCTTTATTATTAATTGATTATATTATTCCAAAATGTTAAGGTCATCATTCAAGCACTGTGATAATGACTAATAGTCTACGAAATTGTGAAACAGCAAAATGGTTAGATAATTATTATTTACGGATATAAATTTATGATTGAATCAACCCGTCCTCGACTCAAGTCCATTCCATCTAGCGGTCGACCCCACAGATGCATTCATAAATTTGTCAGCCCGACCTTCAAACAAAGACCCAAAAGTGATTCCATCCACCCGCCAACCCCCCAGGTGTTTATGAATGAAAAACGGTTTACACACGACTCACAACTGATGACGTCCGAACACTTCCGGAACAAGTGCTTCACTGACGACTTGTGTTCGAACCACAACGCTGTAGACAGCCCGTCCTCCAAACAAAGATCCAAAAGTGATTCCATGCACCCGCCAAACCCCCTATTTATGAATGAAAAGCGGTTTACACACGACTCACAACTGCTGACGTTCGAACATATCCGGAACAAGTGCTTCACTGACGAATTTTGTTCGAATTACAACGCTGTAAATGCTTCACCCACGTACTACAAATACAAATAATCGCCAACAGAACCTAAACACCTAACCTAACCTATGCCTATATATACACAATATGCTAATATATTATAATATTAATTTATACTTGAGAAAATTCCGGTTTTGAATGAACAGCATGTTAAAATATATGAATGCGTCTGTGGGGTTGACCGCTGGATGTAATGGACTTGAGTCGAGGACGGGTTGCTATAAATGCTTCACCCACGTACTACAAATACAAATAATCGCCAACAGAACCTAAACACCTAACCTAACCTATCCTATGCCTATATATACACAATATGCTAATATATTATAATATTAATTTATATTTGAGAAAATTCCCGTTTTGAATGACGTGTACGAATACACACTGGCTGCCTGTCCCCCCAACACAGTGAATTATTATTATAATAAACTGGTAATACTACGGTGCTGCCAGCCCCTTCCATTATTTGCTGGGGGGGGGGGGTACCAGGACACTGTGTTTACATTGTCCAAATCTCTTGCAAAAAGAGATGCAAGAGATTTACACTCTGTGATCATTATAAATATTAGTGACGGGGGAACATTCCAGCAGCAGAAAGCTTCCCACAACAGGTTAGGTTGATCTGAGCCATATTTAGATGGTTTGGGAAAACGGGAAGTAACACAAGTTACATTATTTGTTTTATCTTACGTCTGGCAGTGACGTGTCATGTGCTGAGCAAGAGGTCGGACGAGACGACTGTTAATGTTGTGGATGTGACGGCCGAGTTTCACATGGTAAATACTGCTTGAAATCTCTAATACAAATGCAGAATGTTATATATATAACTGAATTAAATAATATGGTAACTAAATAAAGATATTTTAATTTTGAAGGGAATAAGTTTTATAGGGGTAAGGAACGCTCTCCTTGCCTCCTACACGTCACTCTAACTATGGTAGTTATAGGCGTACAACAGCTACAAGATGAACAAGAACATCAACAAGACCATTTATGTATGTCGTTAATGATAACTCTCAGGTGTGTGACGGAGCAATCCTTCACGGTGGCTGCCTAGACGTGGAGGTGTGTGGCCAGGCTGGTGAGGTGTGCAGGCTGCTCCTCCGGCCAGCCCGTGTTGCAGTCCTGGCCCGTGTTGCAGTCCTGGCCCGTGTTGCAGTCCTGGCCCGTGTTGGAGTCCCATGGCCGTGTTGCAGTCCTGGCCCGTGTTGCAGTCCTATGGTCGTGTTGCAGTCCTTGGCCGTGTTGGCTCAGCCTCTCCCGCGGTGCCAGCCGTGACGGTGCCTCTCCCGGTCCCTGTGGTGCCTACAACATGAAGGAGAAGAGTGAGCACGGCTCCATGCACCAGCTCCCACAGGTAATGTCTGTATAAACCATCTGAGACAATATCACCAGTGACAAGAAGCTGCGATAGATGCTATATTGCTAGAGGAGAGTATCAGTATAGTGTATATTAAGGTCAGGTCAGGTTAAGGTAGAGCAGGTTAGGTTGCACGATCCCTCTCTCTGCTACACGCGGGCAAGACGGGTTATCTTGAGATAAATAAATAAATAAATAAATAAATAAATGTTTATTCAGGTAAAGTACTAACCCGTTCTCGCACTTTCTTATAGTCAATATTGACTTATTAAATACTTGCATATGTGACATACTAAACATACTAGTTTACCTTGAAAAGCTTCATAGAAAACACCGACCTTACCTAACCTTCTTAGTATTTACAATTATTACTTAACCTATACCTATAATAGGTTAAGTAATAATTGTAATTACGAAGCAATAAGATGCTTATCTTAACATACTAAGAAGGTTAGGTAAGGTCGGTGTTTTCTATGAAGCTTTTCAAGGTAAACTAGTATGTTTAGTATGTCACATATGCACGTATTTAATAAGTCAATATTGACTATATGAAAGTGCGAGAACGGGTTGCAAGTACATACATACAAGAGGTTTTACAACAATTGATAGATTTATAGATGGAGCTAGTACATACAATGCCTAAAGCCACTATTACGCACAGCGTTTCGGGCAGGAAAAACATTAATGACTAAAACTTAATACTAATTGAGTATAAAGAATAAAATGTGTTGAGAACAAATAAAAATAAAGATAAAAAAGGGGGGAACATGGCTGAAAAAGCAGCACAAATATAATTAGGTCGACAAAAAGCGGTGTTTAAAAAAAAAACAGACATAGGTTGACAATAGAGGGGTAAGGTAGGTTACAGGGAATTTATTAGGTAGTGCTTCGTTTTTATCTTAAACTGGTTGAGAGAGGTACAGTCTTTAACATGATTGGGAAGGTCATTCCACATTCTGGGTCCCTTGATTTGTAGAGCATTTCTAGTTTGATTAAGTCGTACTCTTGGAATATCAAAATTGTATTTATTTCTGGTGTGATGCTCATGGGTTCTGTTACAACCTTCTATGAAGCTTTTGAGATCAGGATTGGCATTATAGTTTAGCGTTTTATATATGTATAATACACATGAGAGAATGTGCAGTGACTTAATATCTAACATATTCAGAGATTTGAGTAGGGGTACCGATTGATGTCTGGGGCCAGAGTTGGATATTGTCCTAATAGCAGCTTTGTGTTGAGTAATTAGAGGACGTAAATGATTTTGGGTAGTAGAACCCCAAGCACAAATACCATAGTTGAGATATGGATAGATGAGGGAGTAATAGAGAGTCACCAGGGCAGGCGAGGTACATATCTGATCTTAGAAAGAATGCCAACAGTTTTTGAAACTTTTTTTTATATATTTAGAATGTGTCCCTGGAAATTCAGCTTGTGGTCAATGAGAACGCCAAGGAATTTGCCATCTATTTTGTTACAAATTTGGGTATTGTTTATCCTGAGATTTATTTGATTAGAGGATTTATTGCCAAACAGAATATAGAAAGTTTTGTCAATGTTAAGGGTGAATTTGTTGGCAGTTAGCCAAAGATGGACTTTATTTAGCTCAGTATTTACTGTGACATTTAGAGCAAAGGGGTCAGGACTGGAGTAAATGAAGGTTGTGTCGTCAGCAAATAGAATTGGCTTGAGGTGTTGGGAGGCATTTGGAAGGTCATTAATGTAGATGAGAAGGAGGAGAGGGCCAAGTATGCTGCCCTGAGGAACACCAATGTTGATGGGTAGGGTGGGAGAAATTGAATTATTCACAGAAACGTACTGGAGCCTGTCAGTAAGGTAGGATTTGAGGTATTGCAGGGAGTGTCCTCTGACTCCATAATGATATAATTTAAGAAGAAGGTTTTGATGGTTGACAGTGTCAAAAGCCTTACGCAGGTCCACAAATAACCCAACAGGGAACTCATTTTTATCAAGAGCTGTATGAATTGAGTTAATCATACTAATAAGTGCATCGTTAGTGCTTTTTTGGGTCTGAAGCCATATTGGCAAGGGCTAAGTATATTGTGTTTGGCTAGATAGGAGTAAAGCTGCTTATAGATTAGTTTTTCAAAAATTTTTGACAAGTTAGGCAGGATTGATATAGGTCTGTAGTTGTTAACATCTGTGAGATCACCACATTTGTGGACAGGCGTTACTCTCGCTTTTTTTAGAATATCTGGAAAGGTTTGGAGTTCAAGTGACTTGTTGAAGAGCAATGCAATAGCAGGGGCTAAAGATCTGGAGGCTTTTTTGTAAATTAAAGTTGGTATCTCCTCAAGGGCACTAGACTTGGTTTTAAGGGAAAGAATTATCTCATTGACGTCAGTGGCATTAGTAGGCTTTAGGTACAGAGACTGTGGATAGTTACCTGTAAGATAGTCCTTAACATCAGTACTGGAAGATGGAATGTCATTTGCAAGGGATGACCCAATGGAAGAGAAGAACCTATTGAACTCAATAGCAGAATCAGAGGCTGAAAGATGATTTCGGGGCTTAGCGTCCCCGCGGCCCGGTCCTCTACCAGGCCTCCTTTTTGTTACACACCCCCAGGAAGCAGCCCGTAGCAGCTGTCAAACTCCCAGGTACCTATTTACAACTAGGTAACAGGGGCATCAGAGAGAAAGAAACTTTTTGCCCATTTGTTTCAGCCTCCGCCTTCACACTGGTAACACTGTCACATCATCCCTCACACTGGTAACACTGTCACATCATCCCTCTCACTGGTAACACTGTCACATCATCCCTCACACTGGTAACACTGTCACATCATCCCTCACACTGGTAACACTGTCACATCATCCCTCACACTGGTAACACTGTCACATCATCCCCCACACTGACAACACTGTCACATCATCCCCCACACTGACAACACTGTCACATCATCCCCAACACTGTCACATCATCCCTCACACTGACAACACTGTCACATCATCCCCCACACTGGTAACACTGTCACATCATCCCCCACACTGGTAACACTGTCACATCATCCCCCACACTGGTAACACTGCCACATCATCCCCCACACTGACAACATTGTCACATCATCCCCCACACTGGTAACACTGTCACATCATCCCCCACACTGGTAACACTGTCACATCATCCCTCACACTGACAACACTGTCACATCATCCCTCACACTGGTAACACTGTCACATCATCCCTCACACTGGTAACACTGTCACATCATCCCTCACACTGACAACACTGTCACATCATCCCTCACACTGGTAACACTGTCACATCATCCCTCACACTGGTAACACTGTCACATCATCCCTCACACTGGTAACACTGTCACATCATCCCCCACACTGACAACACTGTCACATCATCCCTCACACTGGTAACACTGTCACATCATCCCTCACACTGGTAACACTGCCACATCATCCCTCACACTGGTAACACTGCCACATCATCCCTCACACTGGTAACACTGTCACATCATCCCTCACACTGGTAACACTGTCACATCATCCCCCACACTGGTAACACTGCCACATCATCCCTCACACTGGTAACACTGTCACATCATCCCCCACACTGACAACACTGTCACATCATCCCCCACACTGACAACACTGTCACATCATCCCCCACACTGACAACACTGTCACATCATCCCTCACACTGACAACACTGTCACATCATCCTCCACACTGACAACACTGTCACATCATCCTCCACACTGACAACACTGTCACATCATCCCTCACACTGACAACACTGTCACATCATCCTCCACACTGACAACACTGTCACATCATCCTCCACACTGACAACACTGTCACATCATCCCCCACACTGACAACACTGTCACATCATCCCCCACACTGACAACACTGTCACATCATCCTCCACACATTGACAACACTGTCACATCATCCTCCACACTGACAACACTGTCACATCATCCCCCACACTGACAACACTGTCACATCATCCTCCACACATTGACAACACTGTCACATCATCCTCCACACTGACAACACTGTCACATCATCCCCCACATTGACAACACTGTCACATCATCCCTCACACTGGTAACACTGTCACATCATCCCTCACACTGACAACACTGTCACATCATCCTCCACACTGGCAACACTGTCACATCATCCCCCACACTGACAACACTGTCACTTCATCCCTCACACTGGTAACACTGTCACTTCATCCCTCACACTGGTAACACTGTCACATCATCACCCACACTGACAACACTGTCACATCATCCCCCACACTGGTAACACTGTCACATCATCACCCACACTGACAACACTGTCACATCATCCCTCACACTGGTAACACTGTCACATCATCCCTCACACTGGTAACACTGTCACATCATCCCTCACACTGACAACACTGTCACATCATCCCTCACAATGACAACACTGTCACATCATCACCCACACTGACAACACTGTCACATCATCCCCCACACTGACAACACTGTCACATCATCCTCCACACACTGACAACACTGCCAGACTGTTGCTAACGCTGTTGCTAACACTGTTGCTAACACTGTTGTTTGCTCTGTGTCTAGAGTTACCCAATCTCCCAATCTTTATGTACTTAATCCAAACAACTTTATCATTGTGTCCATTGCTGTCTTCTTTTATGTGGTAGCCATATGCTGTATTGTGCCTGCTAAGTTTTGTTAAACTACCATTCAAGCTGTCATTGCTATCATTCTGAGCTACCTATACTCAGCATGAAGGTGGAAGATTCAGACAATTTCTTTATGAATGATACTCAAACACCTGTAAATATAACTGATATCAACACGAGCGTGGCGGATTTTGAAAGATAAATTGACAATATGCCCATGCACTCAGCCCCGGGTCCAGACTCATGGAATTCAATATTTATAAAGAAATGCAAAGTGCCGGTAGCACAGGCACTCAGTATAGTGTGGAGGAAGAGCTTGGACACGGGGGAGATACCAGATGCGCTTAAAGCAGCAGACATTGCCCCTCTACACAAGGGAGGTAGCAAAGCATTGGCAAAGAATTATAGACCAGTTGCCCTAACGTCCCACATAATAAAAGTTTTTGAGAGAGTGATCAGGAGTCAGGTCACTAGATTCATGGAAACCAATGACCTCCACAATCCAGGCCAACATGGATTTAGAGCAGGAAGATCATGCCTCTCACAGCTACTTGACCACTATGACAAAATCACTGAGGCATTAGAGGAAAAACATAATGCAGATGTCGTATACACAGATTTTGCAAAGGCATTCGACAAATGTGACCATGGAGTGAATTCACACAAAATGAGGTCAGTGGGTATAACTGGTAAAGTAGGACGCTGGATACTCAATTTCCTGTCGAACAGAACACAAAGAGTAACAGTCAATCAAGTAAAATCGAGTCCGAGCGCAGTTAAAAGCTCTGTACCTCAAGGTACAGTCCTTGCACCACTGCTGTTCCTTATTCTCATATCAGATATAGACAAAAACACAAGTCACAGCTTCGTGTCATCCTTTGCAGATGATACAAAAATCAGCATGAAAATTACCTCTGCTGAAGACATTGATAAACTACAAACAGATATTAACAAAGTTTTCGATTGGGCAGCAGAAAATAACATGATGTTTAACGGTGATAAATTCAAGGTACTCAGATACGGCAAAAATGAGGATCTGAAACATAATACAGGGTACAAAACACAATCGAATCTGCCCATAGTAGGAAAACAGTATGTCAAGGATTTGGGAATAATGATGTTCGACGACCTAACGTTTAAGGAGCATAACCAAGCAAGTATTGCGTCGGCCAGAAAAATGATAGGATGGATTACGAGAACCTTCAAGTCCAGAGATCCCATCACAATGGTTGTACTCTTCATATCACTTGTGTTGTCCCGTCTTGAGTACTGCTCAGTACTCACTTCCCCCTTCAGAGCAGGAGAGGTTGCTGAAATAGAGGGAATACAGAGAACATATACGGCACGCATAGACGAGATAAAGCACCTAAATTATTGGGAACGTCTCAAAGCTCTCCAAATGTACTCACTAGAAAGGAGACGAGAGAGATACCAAATAATATACACATGGAAAATACTGGAGGGCCAGGTCCCAAATCTACACAGTAAAATAACAACGTACTAAAGTGAACGACATGGAAGAAAATGCAGAATAGAACCAGTGAAGAGCAGAGGTGCCATGGGCACAATCAGAGAACACTGTATGAACATCAGAGGTCCGCGGTTGTTCAACGTCCTACCAGCGAGCATCAGAAATATTACAGGAACAACCGTGGACATCTTCAAGAGGAAACTAGATTGTTTCTTTCAAGGAGTGCCGGACCAACCGGGCTGTGGTGGGTATGTGGGCCTGCGGGCCGCTCCAAGCAACAGCCTGGTGGACCAAACTCTCACAAGTCAAGTCTGGCCTCGGGCCGGGCTTGGGGAGTAGAAGAACTCCCAGAACCCCATCAACCAGGTATCAACCAGGTATCAACCTATGTGCTTTAATATACCTACAATTTTTCTCTCATCTTTTATTCTTTTCATGCTATGTAACTGTTATCATTTTTATAAATTTTGCAAGTATTTACCTACTTATAAGTTTCTTAGATTAAGGACCTGCCCGAAACGCTGCGCGTACTAGTGGCTTTACAAGAATGTTATTACTATGCTATGTATCCTCACAATCCCAATGTACCTTCTTGTATATAAATAAATAAATAAATAAAACACTGGCGCCTGATCAACTAACCTGTGCGTGGTAGCCTCCTGTAAACTGCGCTGACACATCAGTAGTCCTTCCTCCAGGTTGGTCTTGTCAGCCCGGAGGATATGGTTCATGAGATTCGCTTCTGCGTTGTGCTGTGTCATGGATTTCAACTCTGTCACACATCTGGCCTCACTCTCTTCAACTGCTCGTAACTTTGTTTCAACAGCTGTCGCCTGATGTTGTTCCTCCTCCTTGACGTGACGGAGCTCCTCCTTGACGTGACGGAGCTCCTCCTTGACGTGACGGAGCTCCTCCACCACCACTAACATCTCTCCCGCCTGACTCGCTAGCTCCGTCTCCAGCACCAGTTTCTCTTCCATCATTTGGTTAACTAAGTTTTCCTCTTCCAGGAGAGCCGCGTCTTGCTGTTGTATTGTTCCGGCCACATGTTTCACAGCTTGCTCTTGCTCCTCGAGTGACTGTTCCTTCAGTAGCAGCTGCTCTCTCAACTGCTGGGCGTCGGCCTCCTGCTGGAGAACCTGTTGTTCCAGCCTTTCAACATCCCGTAGCAGCTGTTGGGTAAGGCTGGCCTTGGCTTCACCATCTGTCAAAAACAGGCGGGAGAGTTAGTTGCAGGATAACACTGCCACGCTCACGCCTGACCAGTCCTCTCACACCTTGGTCTGGGGAGCGCCCACGGAGTACATGACTAATATATGTGTAAAGTGTGATGAAAATATCGTAATGTTTATCGAACTACACTACCAACGGGGGGCGGACACGGGAGCTTCCATTGTATTATTCTACAGCTCCATGCTTTGGGTATTTGTGTAATTAACCTGATTTAACTCAGATTAACATCTGATTTATTTCTAGTGATCTGAACGGCGCTAGAGGTGCATGTGATAAGTCTAAAATTGAGTAGACTTGAGAATTCCAATCTTTGTTGTCAAAACCGCACTGTTTCAGGACACTAGGACTGACAGAATAGCAATCACTGACACTCAAAGGGCAGAAAGCAATATTAAAGGAAATTATAATATGTTTAGAGCCGAGAACTATATGTACGGGCAGCAGAAAACATCCATTAGACAGTGTGACATTGTGATTGCCAGGAATTGGCTGGGATATCAATATATATGGCAGGTGGCTGCAGGCAAGGAATTTCCATGCTGGTTTAGACACGGAACATGCAGGTTTAGACACGGAACATCCATAATAATCTTTATAGTTTTAGTAACTTAATAGTAACAAGTGCGACCTAAGCAGTGCTCTAGTTAGGTGACAAGGTGGTGGAGGCCAACACTCAGTAGTTTCAAAGCGTCATACGACAAAGAGTACCGGGAAGACGGGACACCACGAGCGTTGTTCTCATCCTTTAGCTACACTTAGGTAACTACACTTAAGTAATTTCAGAAAAAAAAAAAAAGAGGCGCGAACAATAGTTTATGTTGGTTATCCTTCAAATTGTCACTCATCTTTCTCATTTTCTGTTATACGTTTTGCCTCAATAATTTGAATTAGTGTCAAAACCATTAACAGAAAATGAGACTGATGCTTATTAAATTTAATGGAAAACTAATGTTCGTTTCTCGTTATCATTTTTTTTTTTGAACCACAACTCAAAGGATTTGTATCAATCACTTACAAATGAATGATTACATAAAACTTTCATATCTAAATTACCTTTGGCGAGCGCAGTGAAGGCCTGGGTCAAGTCTATCAACACTCCGCTGTTCTCTGCAAAAAGAGAGATAAACTATTATACAAATGTACCTGGTTATTGGATGTTATGTTACAGCTAGGAACCTTTGTACATAAGAAGCTCAACTCAGACCCTTAATATAGATGGAAATTTTAGGGTATTTAACCCCCCAAATATCCCCACCTCCCAAGGGCACTAGAGCAAGTGAGAGGTCACTCACGTTCTTCATCAAACTCCTGTTAATATGGGAGAACACCGTGTCTATGCTTTTATGCACTAACTTGCTTAAACTCACAAGTTTGAAGTTAAACAACTTTAGACAATCACCCCCACCAGGAGACTCGAACCCTAGTCAGCACAGAAGCTGGTGCTGATATACATATATATCTGTCCAGCACAAAGGGAACCTCAATTGTGCAGACCTGACAACAGTAACAAACGCCCAGACGGAGTCACCCTGACGCCATGGAGGGATGGTAAGCAGATCGTGTGGGACTACACATGTGCGTCTACATTGGCTGATACCTATCTACCTCACACTGGGCTGAGGGAGGCGGGGCGGCCACCTTCAGGTGAAATGTCAACATGCAACGAACACAAGAGCAAGATTTGTAAAAACAAATCACAACATGTGTAAGATGCTATCGTGCATCTGGATAACCTCACGTAAGCAAAACCCTTCAATTCCCCAACCTGTGTTGGGTATATTCAGGTAAATTCTATTAGTACCAACCTAACTGACTGAGAAGGACGGCGTGGAGAAGATTTTCTGCGAGAGGTGTCTCGGGTGACAGTCCATTCTGTAAGATCCATATGACCTTGTCTGTAGCCTTGATGGTGTCATAGCCGTCTGTAGAACTGGTGGAAACTTTTTCTGTAGTTTTTTTTATGTTGTCATTGCCGTCTGTGATATTGGCGGAAGCCTTTTCTATAGCTTCTATGATGTCATAGCCGTCTGTGACATTGGTGGAAACCTGTTCTATAGCTTCTATGATGTCATAGCCGTCTGTGATATTGACTAAAGCCTCTTCTATAGCTTCTGTATTGTCATAGCCGTCTGTGACACTGGTGGAAACCTGTTCTATAGCTTCTATGTTGTCATAGCCGTCTGTGACACTGGTGGAAACCTGTTCTATAGCTTCTATGTTGTCATAGCCGTCTGTGACACTGGTGGAAACCTGTTCTATAGCTTCTATGTTGTCATAGCCGTGTGTGGAGCTGGTGGGAAAATATTCAGTAGCCTTGGTAACGTTGTTATGGTCCACGGGGGAGGTGTGAGCCTTCAGGTGAGGGCTCTGGGAGAGCAGGAGCCTCAACCCCAGGTTGAGGCTCGTGAGGGCCAGACTCTGCACCATTGTGCTCAGAGGACGACTGACTTGAATGGCCCCTTGAATACCCCCGGAGGGCCGGCTTCCTCCCTCTTCTAAAATTAGGTCCAAGGTCGGACTTGGAGGAGGAATTTCAGAGGTGGAGTGAGAGCTAGGAGGAGGAGGAGACAGGAGGATCTTAGAGGGAAGGTGAGAGTGGGTAAGCTGGGAGGGGAGGGGTGAGAGAGAGAGAGCATGGGTGAGAGTAGCGGGAGGGAGAAGAGTACATGGGAGCGACAGGCAGGGGCCGGGACTGAGTTATCGACTGAGAAAGTAGAAGACTGTCTATACTAACACTAATGGTTAACTTTTATGTGGATAGAGATCAAGACAGAAAAGATGTAGGTTTTAGCTTATCCATCTTATTTAGCTTATCTTATTCCATCCACATCCTCGTATGGCCCAATAGGACTTCTGCAGTTGCCTTTGTTCTTATGTTCTTATGTTCTTATCAATTCTCGTTTTACTGCCTGAGTCATCCATCTAGTTCCCTTTCGCATGCAGGCGATGAGTCACAATAACGTGGCTAAAGTAAGTTGACCAGACCACACACTAGAAGGTGAAGGGACGACGACGTTTCGGTCCATCCTGGACCATTCTTAAGTTGACTTGAGAATAGTCCAGGACGGACCGAAACGTCGTCGTCCCTTCACCTTCTAGTGTGTGGTCTGGTCAACTTCCCTTTCGTTTCTTTCTTGTGATTTCTTCTTCATTGTGATTTATCTGTGATTTACTACAGCTTTTCTGTCCCATATCTCAGTTTTTATTATTGTTAATTAAGACTAGCGATTCATTTGCAATGTCATTATTGTTTTTAATTAAAATAAAAGCTGAGAGTTCTTATCCTATATGAGCTCATTTTAGTAAACATTTTGGTATAGGAACAGACGCATTCTGACCGACAGTCAGAATGCGTCTATTCTTTTGGGAAGGCTGACAGTCCCTTCACTAAACGTATGGTAATCCGTGCTCACTAGTTTTCCCTGAAACATTATTCAAATTGATTAACAACCAGGTATCCAATTACTGCTGGGTTAACAGGTGGCGAACAGTAGTTAAGGATTGGCACCTAGACAATCCACTCTGGCCAAGACTTGAACCTAGTTCAAATTCACTCATTATCATTCATTATCTCTCTCTCTCTCTCTCTCTCTCTCTCTCTCTCTCTCTCTCTCTCTCTCTCTCTCTCTCTCTCTCTCTCTCTCTCTCTCTCTCTCTCTCTCTTCCCCCGCCCGCACCCCGAGACACACAGGGGAGATGAACATTAACACTGAGTTAAAGCAAATACAGATGATATTCCTAATATTAGAGTGATAATCCTAATACAGACTGTCGTCCCAGTTTATAATACTAGAATAATGCTGATCAGTTTCTTTGGACGTCACTAACCATTTTCTTTGGTCATAGCTGTGACCATTTTCTTTGGTCGTCAATTGTGACCATTTTCTTTGGTGGTTAATGTGACCGTTTTCTCAGGCTGTACAAGAACGGACAAATGCCAACCATATGTAATCTCACCCACTCATTGCACCTTCATTTAAATTATTATTATTATTAGTATTAGTATTATGTTTGTCAGTTGTTGAAGTAGTGTGTAGTGAAGATGGTTGCAGTGATGGAGACTGTGTAGTGAAGATATAGTGTCCGTCACTGTACCAATGCTGGCTGCTCCCCTTTCTGTTATGCTTGTAAAATACTTAAAATGCGCGCGCACACACACACACTCGTACACAAAGGAGGCACCGCTCTTGTGCCAGGTTAGTCCATTACGGGCTCACCACATAGCCCGTGCTGCTTGGAACTTGTTCCGAGTTCCGAGTAGCTGAATCTGTAACAACAACAACGTACACAAACATTATATACACACATGCACTAGACATTAGAAAGAACTATTTCAGTGTCAGAGTAGTTAACAGGTGGAATGCATTAGGCATTATTAATTCTATTGCGAACTCCATTACACTTTCATTGCAGTATAGTGAGATGTTGTTCATTGTGATTATCCATTTTGAGGAAAAAAATTTAAATGCATTAGGCAGTGATGTGGTGGAGGCTGACTCCATACACAGTCTCAAATGTAGATATGATATAGCCCAATAGGCTCAGGAATCTGTACACCAGTTGATTGACAGTTGAGAGGCGGGACCAAAGAGCCAAAGCTCAACCCCCGCAAGCACATCTAGGGAGTACACACACATGCACAGTTCTAATACGCATCAGCAAGGCGAGGCAATGGTAACATAAATACGCCTGCCAGCTGTGGAGAAGGAACACGTGGCGTAATGTTGCCCCTGTGACCCCGCACCTTGTGCCTCCAGCAGGATCAGATGACTGACTCTTCCTGTGTACAAGCATGTCCTTGTAGTTGCTTCTTGAGGTTCTCAGTGTGCTTCTTTGTGCTGCGTGAAGGTCTTCCCTCCCGGTCACTGTACGAGTGGTGATACTGGCACGCAGTGAGCACAACGTTCAAGAGTAATGCCAATGCAGCGTAGAATCAATGTCATCAACGTTGATAGCGTTGATTCAACGCCGAATCAACGCCACTCATCAATAGTGTGGCCACTGTGGAGACGCGTCACGGCGGCGCGTCAGTGGTTGTGGCTTGGCAAGGCTTCAATGTTGTCTTTTAAGATCATGACTTGATGCCCTTAGCTGCGCGGGCAGGATGTTGATGGTGTCAGCAGGTCCCTGCTGCTGCTGCTGCAAGGGTTATGTTTTAATAATCATTATTCATTGTCGGGGGACAGGCAGCTGGTGTATATGTACATGTTGGGCTTATATCGAGTAAGTAGTCGAACTACTTACCATCCCGTTTTAGTTTTCCCCATATTAGCCAGAAACGCTCTGCATGATAGTCACTTGGCATTGTACTTTTCCTCCCATGATTTATATAATCTTATATCCTATGTATGTATGTACGTACGTTTGCTTAAATAAAAATTATTATTATTATTATAACAAGCTAACTCCTGGATACCTATTTACTGCTAGGTGAACAGAGGCATTATTCCAAGTACTTCTACCACATTATTTGTACAGGTTAGGAACTCTGAGCTTACAATGTCCCCCCTCCCTCCCTCTCTCTCTCTCTCTCTCTCTCTCTCTCTCCCCATGAGCCTGCAGATATGTGAGGTAAGGTTGATCAATCAGCAGTTTTCTGCCGAGATTTTTCTGCCTTTTATATAGTCTCGTGACATTTGTATTATAACATATGTTTGCGTATACGAGTTTGGGTGATGAGACTCAAAGACTTTAGTGGCTTTTGATGTTTATTTTATATAGTCTTGATTACAGCAGTTCGTTGTTGTAAATGTAGCGACGTGTTGTGATAGCTGAGACGAGGCCTATAACAGAGAGCTGGGAGCTTGGCCGAGGCCTGGCGTAAAGTGCTCGAATGCGGCTGAACCAGAGCCAAAAATCAGTCACCAAAGGACCTCTCAAGAAGTTAGCAGACTCATTCTTCGCCAGAAAAGTAGGCTGCAAACGAACAAACTGCCCACCAAAAGAAACAGCTTTAAAAATACAGCTTTAAGAAACACGTCTCGAACTGAAGGGAAAATCATAAACCGAATTGAGGAAAGAGAGAGAGAGACCAAAATCCGGTCAAGAGAGCAGGAGGAGCAACACTGCCTGGAGGGAAAAACACACGAGACAACCTGTGGACCGGCACTGTGGAGGTGTCAACACACAACACAAGCAACAGAGGCTCCACCAACACCAACCGATAAGTGGTGACAGTATTAGGCTTGAGCTGCTGATCATAAACCAACTATGGCAAAAAATACAGGACAGCTCTGACTGACGCCAAAGAATCTAGAATGGAACCACCTGGGACTTCTCCCAGTTCACCAGGAACCTGAACCTGGTGACCTAAAATAGAATCAGATCCTTGGCCAGCTAACATGAGGGCTGACTGTGGGCCCCCACACCAGCCAGTCATTGAGGCAGGCCAACATACGAACCCCTAAGAGATGTAGCTGGACCACAATGACCCATGCTTACCTAGTAAACATGTAGGGGATGGGGGATCAGATTCAAGTCAAAGGGAAGAACTGTGAAGCGGTAAGGCTGACACCCCACAACAAAACCTTGTCAGTCCTTGAACCTGGGAAGCAGAAAAACATCCTGGAGGTCCAGGGACAGATCAAGGACGCTCCATACGTCTGCCGAATCCTGCTTCAGGACCAGGAACAACTGAGACACCCACAAAGGGATGAGGTCATCTCGAGTCCAACCAACCCACAATGATTTGCTGCAGTGCCTGGGCAGATTCCTCACCCTTAAGATTCAACCCCAAAAATAGGGAAATCATGACCAACTCCACAGGCTGAAAGAAACGACCCAAAAAGCCCATGGATTGTGGGACCACGAGCTGGCAACATGAGCCACATGACCCCCACAGTGGCATTGAAGAAACAAACCATGAAAGGGCCAGAACACACAAGCAGAACCATTCCACAATGCGATACATAGTTGCAACGTCGAGCAAAGGAGGCACTCGCACCAGGAAGTGCAATGGCCCAAGAATCGGATCCACCCTGAGGACCTACCTCGACTAACAGCATGCGAGGCACCCACCTTACCAAACCACATCGTAGTGGAGGCAGAACCCCAGCAAAACAGCAAGTGATCAGTAATGTGGCAATAGAAAGTAATCGCAGACATAACCTATGCACGGACATCCTCGGGAAAGAGGAGAGATGATTAGGGGAAAGCAGAACAAAAGGGTAAGAGACAAAGCTAAATCTAAAGAATAGCCCAATACAGCCTGTTGATGCACAAGATGGGTAAAATAAAATGCTTCCAATGGTCCCTGAAGAGGAGGGGGGCATGCATTTTGAGCAAGGCTGCCAAGGCCGGAACCACAGGTCTCGAGGCCTTCACACCTCCACATCCAGAGTGGACCGGAACGATGCCACATCCTCACAGAGCTGCTCAGAAAGCCCCTCCACGAGAACCCAAACATGCAAAACCACCAATTGCGAAAGCACTAATCGTCCTCTGTAATAAGTGCCTCAGAATGGTGCAGGCAGCTGCGAATGGAGCTACCATTTGCCTCTTTGCTCTGGCACTCTCCTTGGAGAGCACCAGAGCAAACAGGCCGGTTCCCAAGCAAAGCATAAAACGGAACTCGCTTGCCAATCAAGTATACAGCTCCTTGCCAAGCCCCGAAGGAGAGAGAGGGTCATCAGCCAGACAGGATAAACCTGAGACCTTACAGCCAATAAGCAGAGACAGACGTGTACTGAAAAGAGGTCCGAGTTCTGCAGGAGGTACCAAGAGAAATCTGTGGTAACCAATGAAGGCACAATACAGGAAGATGGAAACCTTTGAAAATATGACTCTCGAGGCATTGAAAGGGACTTTAAATCAAACCCAGCATCTGAGCAATGCAGACAATGAGTCACAATAATGTGGCTGAAGATATGGATGTTTTGTTCACACACTCGAGTCCATGGTTCATTTCTTTAGGAAATACAAAATTGCTGCATAAATTCATCAATTTTATTGAATAAACAAAAGTACAGTAAGGGGACCCTCTAATCATCAAAACTAAACTGAAGATTATATTTTTGACAAATTAATAATGGAAAATTTAATACATATTGAAACAAAGTTAAACAGAATTAGAGTTGGTAAAAATTGTCATAGTTTAAAAAGGCACACTTCTTGAAAATAAGGCATTTTCAATCAAAATTTAGCTTTCTCGATTTCTTTTAATTTCTTTCCATAAACTCAACAATATCTTGGCTACTGCCAAATGAATCTTCACTCACCAGACACACACACACAAAAGCAAATGACAGTAGGGAGACGGTGTGCAGGCCAGAAAACTTAACTAAATTTGGCACCACTGTGGACCAACATCCATTCATGCAACTAAGATATTGAACTAAAGAATACAATAGTAAAGACAATATTATATTGTCCCAAATAAAAACAATGTCTTGCAGAAAACAATGTCTCGGTATCAAAACTGGCAAGTAATTTTAAGTATGGTGTCTACAAGCAACTTTGAAACCTAATTATTAAAGACCAACAATAATTTCCTGCAACAAGAAGAGATGACAGCTTAATAAGCAGTTTGGATATGGTCGGTCCTTAGAATACTTGGAACAAATTTAACATTAGCTGTACAGCTCCATACAAGAGAGATGCCACACGTGGTGCCCATAGAGATGACAAGTAATTGTAAATCAAATTAGAGATAAATGAACACAAGTACAATAAATGCTTCACAAAAATATATTTGTACTCTATAAGTCCAAGGTCATGCGCCTTGAAAACATAAAAATTGAAATACTTGTATGTCGGTTTATTGAAATATACCTTTTCTCTGTACTGTACTGAACAGTGGCTAGTAAAACCAAAACCATACATCCTTCCAAGGAGGAAAATAAATATATACACTTTGAGCTGCATATTTGACCTTTGACCTTTGCAAGTTTAAAGGATCCTCAACACTTTTTTTTTTCTTTTTACAAAAAATGTTTGAAACAATCGGTAAAAAAAAATTGGGAAAATTATACATTTTGACAATGTTGTAGTGGAGTTTTGATATCAAAAAAAATTATGAGCTTTTTCTCGTAATATTTGAATGCATCCCTCTTCCCCAATGTGCGTTTGTTTATATATTACAGTCAGCAGTGGGACATATGGGAAGGAAGGCCTCAGTTGCAAATTTGTTTTTAATTTTTCAGGCAAAATGCATGATATTTGATCACTGCAATGTAAAATTAAGCATCACTAAATAAAATTCTCAAGATATTCTCACCAAAACAATTATTTTTCAGAGGATGAAAACTCTCAAACTCCTTTCTTATGTTTGCATTAATTCAACAAAGATTCTTTACTTATCATGCAATTCTCAACATTTTTTCCAATGTTACTTTAAATGCAGGTAAACACAATTTTTATTAATATTCAGTATTTGACTTTGGCATAATGCACCATATTTCATTTTAGCTATCACTCAACTTTTATATATACTGTATATTGTTATATATAACAAATAATCTCACTAAAATTCACAGGACATATGACATTTAAATAATTTATTATTAAAGAGCACGATCAAATTAAAATATAAACTCTTAAATAAGCCTGAATAATTAATTTGCAATATAACACTGAAACAAGCAGCATTTTTTGCCATATTCTTTTGGGGGTTAATAATTTGTTTCTCCATTTTCAAGTGAGCTGGTGCAAATATTTTCAGTTTCTATTGAACAGCATTTGTCAAACAAAAATTTTATCATAATCTCAATGTTTTATATTTGATCTTTGTTAACTCAATCAAGACCCTTAACATAAGTCAATAAGTAACTAATTATCAAAAGAAGGCACCAAATTGGGAAGGCTATGTACCCTTAACATAAATATTCAGTGAACTTTATACAGGCAACATAATAAATTTTGTTGTCTAGTTCCCCATAAATCCCACAAATAAGTGCCAAATACTGGCAGATATCTTAGCACCATAATACTTCTACTACTGTATAACAGTAAAATTATAAAATAAATACTGGCTACAGATACTTTTAAAGTACTGTACAACTAACGTAATGACAGGCATCATACACACACACAACACCTTTAACCCAAGGAAAATCTTGCTGTTTTTAAAGCACATGGCAATACAAAATAAGTACATGTAGTACTGATATTGCATTATTTGATATTTTACATTATAAATGCATTTTAAGAATATTTTGTATGACAAAATTATATACTGTACAGGGAATTCCCACTTTACTAACATTCTCTCAGGACCCCCCTGTACCCACTTCATGCATAAAATCATTGTACAAACTTTCCAGAATCCTCCCTTTGAATTTTGCGGCAGTGTGCTAACACATTCCCGTGGCAGGTGGAGTACTGTACAGTACTGTATTGTATTGTACAAAACAGCTGTTGGGTATTGTCAAGTCATACTCAACACTTTTCGACAGCTTATTTTCCAATTGTCAACACTATATACAGTATTGTATATATATATATAAAGTATATCATTTTGTTAGAATGTATTAACTTTGATTATGCCATATTAGCCTCATATAGGTTAGATTAGGTTTGTTTGGTTAAGATTAGGTTTGGCCGAGATCGATTAGCTAGCTTTTATAATACGTTGGTGAACCACTGTGTGCAAGATGTGACTTCTGTGAAACCCATGCTGCCTCAGTCAACATTTTCTTGCACCCAGACTAGCCGGTGCTGTACTTTCTTTGGAAAATACCATTAACAATGGCCGATAGGAAGACGAAGAGTGTTGATAATGCACCAGTGCCAAGGAAAAGGCAAGCCAGTACCTTGTCAACCCAGAGATGAAGTTAGCCAAGAGACTAGCAGAGGCATTTAAGCTCTCATATATGATGGTTTGGCAATTTTGGAAGAGCAAGACAACAATGCTGAGATATCAAAAGTTTCAAAAATTATATTTAATAGCCTTGCACCTTACAAGCAAATTTACCTGGAAAAGAAGATAGTTGTGCAAACTACTTTGAGAAAATATTTCCTAACAAAGTCTCTAGCCCAGCCTCTCAAAAAGTCACTATTAATTGCCTCAATATTCTTTAAGAAAAAGTCTGACCCAAAACCATCAACTTAGGCAGCAGCTAGTGACAATGATGATGACCCACAGGTGTTTGCCACCAACCCATTATCTCCCACATCAATCATAGCCAATGACACTGAAAATGATCAGCCACCCTCTGCCATGGATGAATCGCCACCCTCCTCCGATCCTGCATCACTTCCCTTTTTATATGTCCGAAAAATTTTGATTTTACAAAGGTTTTTGGTGACCCCGAAATGCATTTCCCATTTAATAGCATTGCATCTATGGAAAATCTCCGTGTCCCAAACAACTGCTTTACACACACACTTTCTCAGAATGTAACTTGTTCATAGTTGGGGAACTGCCTGTACTTCTACATAGTTAAAATATTGGTTGATATGAGTATTTTACAACTAAAATGTTACCTATCAAGAGTGCCCACAGACCTCTGTGACACAAGTGACAACACCACAGCAAAAGTACATTCATAAAATTCTCCACATTGGGAAATTTGTCGTAAACTATTAAAAGTTCTCTAGTACAGTATGTAAATTCTTAATGAGCAACTCGATATAATTATACATTCAATGCAAATCTAACAAGAATGTACTCAATGTCAAATCAGCATTGAAAAAGTCATCAATACTTCATCATATTACAGTGTTTGTTTATTATATATATATATATGTCCATAAGATGTATCATTCTGCCAGGGCTGCACTTTGCAAAACTTAAAAAATTATTACCCAGGAAAACATTTAAATCTCGGATAGCATCAAATACTTTGCCAAATACTCAATCTCCATCAGTAGAGAGAGACTCAAGGCTACACTCTTGAATATGAAAATATTATGTCACACTAGGAGATATTTTACGTCACTTGAGTGTGGCCTGGATCTTCCACAAGACTAAGTGTCTTGTGCGCTCATAGGTGAAGTACTGCTCAAAGTCAGTGGAGAGCTGCTCCATCGTCCAGTCAATCTGAGAGAGATTCTGAGAAGCCAGCCACTCGAGGCCCTGCAGGAAGTGCTCATAACATGGAGCTACGGTGTCCATGTCCTCTTGGGTGAAGACAAATCTGTCACAAGAAGCAAATACAAAGTTGATGGATGAACTTATGATTTATGCATTAATTTCAAACTTTTATGGTTTAGGCTTGAATAGGGTAAGGGCTATTGCAACTTTTATTCTGCATATTATAATTTATTAAGAATTATATTAATAAAGTAAAAGTGATGATAATTTACTAGTACTAGCAAATAAAATAAACTGATCAAGATTTAAGAAGAAAGAAATGCAATGGAACAATTAAAGGATCATAGAAAAAAACAGCATTGAATGTAATGAATCACCATTTGCTGGGTGAGCCCCGGAGGCTCTCTGGTGCTATTGGACTGATATTAGCTATATTAGTCTGGGGCTTCAGTCATACAGAGTTCTATGCCTACCAGGAACCATGAGCCAGAACCTGGTCCCCTCAGAGGCGAAGGGAACAATGACCTATAAAAACTCCACTCTTTGAGAGTATATTTATGGCTGCCATTGACCGAGGTTAAACACCCAGAAAGGTAGGTGCCTCAAAACAGACCCAGACTGGTAGAAAAGTGCAACCGTACAGTACAGTTACATCAACAACATTTCAAGCATTGGTTATGCACTTTTTATCAGAGTTGAACCTCACACTGAAAAAAATTCTAATGGAAGACATGAGACATGTCCTGCATGAATGGAAGAAACAAACAAAACAATCATAACGAGTAAGTAAATACTGTAATGTGAAGCATCAAGTTATTTTGCACAAAAAGATAAAAAATATAATAGGCTATTTTTCTTCATATGTTATCCAAGTCTTACTCACCTCTTTTCAAGAGCAACATACAAGCTTTTGTTTGGTGGGTCACTCATCAGACGAAGGATTGTTCTGAAGAAGGCATCAGTTAGCTGGTCATGGTACACCACTGCGGGGAAGATGGGAAAAACAAGAGTAATTTATGCAGTTTTCTCCTACAATTCTATTTCACAAGCTTTCCTTTTGTCTATGTCGCTTCACTATAGGTCAGCAGTGTGCTGACACTGCACTACAGGGTCAGCAGTGTGCTGACACTGCACTACAGGGTCAGCAGTGTGCTGACACTGCACTACAGGGTCAGCAGTGTGCTGACACTGCACTACAGGGTCAGCAGTGTGCTGACACTGCACTACAGGGTCAGCAGTGTGCTGACAATGCACTACAGGGTCAGCAGTGTGCTGACACTGCACTACAAGGTCAGCAGTGTGCTGACACTGCACTACAGGGTCAGCAGTGTGCTAACACTGCACTACAGGGTCAGCAGTGTGCTGACAATGCACTACAGGGTCAGCAGTGTGCTAACACTGCACTACAGAGTGAGAGAGAGTGCGAGAGAGAGCGCGCGCGCGCGCTCTCTCTCTCTCTCGCGCGCGCGCGCTCTCTCTCTCTCTCTCTCGCGCGCGCGCTCTCTCTCTCTCTCTCTCTCTCTCGCGCGCGCGCTCTCTCTCTCTCTCTCTCTCTCTCTCTCTCTCTCTCGCGCGCTCTCTCTCTCTCTCTCTCTCGCGCGCGCGCTCTCTCTCTCTCTCTCTCTCTCTCTCTCGCGCGCGCGCTCTCTCTCTCTCTCTCTCTCGCGCACGCGCTCTCTCTCTCTCTCGCGCGCGCGCTCTCTCTCTCTCTCGCGCGCTCTCTCTCTCTCTCTCGCGCGCGCTCTCTCTCTCTCTCTCGCGCGCTCTCTCTCTCTCTCTCTCTCTCTCTCGCGCGCTCTCTCTCTCTCTCTCTCTCTCTCTCTCTCTCTCTCTCTCTCTCGCGCGCGCTCTCTCTCTCTCTCTCTCTCGCGCGCGCTCTCTCTCTCTCTCTCTCTCTCTCTCTCTCGCGCGCGCTCTCTCTCTCTCTCTCTCGCGCGTGCTCTCTCTCTCTCACGCGCGCTCTCTCTCTCTCTCGCGCGCGCTCTCTCTCTCGCGCGCGCTCTCTCTCTCGCGCGCTCTCTCTCTCTCGCGGAGAGAGAGAGAGATGCGTAGACTGCACCTTCTCAAGGCTGCCAGAAAGTATTTACACAAGCTTCACAAGAGACTAATACACAAGATGGAGAGACAAGCAGGGATAACAGTAAAGATAATATGTGAACCAGATAACATTGGTAATATAAAGAAGTTAAGAAACATAAGTACATACAGCATTTAAGAACCTAATAGGAGGCTTTCAAATCCCTATACATTGTTATGGGAGATGATTACTAAAGTACACAGCACTGACATGGAATCTGCACCTTATGAAGCATACAAGGAAACTTGAGAAAATACAGAGGTCTGCAACTTGAGTAGTGCTTAAAGTTAGAGAGAGGAGCCATGAGGACAGAGTGAGGGAACTCACCCTCACATCTCTAAGAGGAGAGCAGAAACAATGGGGTATATAACTACTACATATAAGATACTGAGGGGAATAGACAATATGGACAGGGGCAGCCTGTTTAAATTGGAAGGACATAGGACCAGAGGACATTAGTGGAGGTTGCATACATCAGTTAAGTGCACCAGTCATGAAGTTTTACCATCAGCAGCCAGAAGGATCGAGACACTTTTTTTCACATCCATTATCTCGTCAATTGTGGCATGATTAAAGAAGTCAATCTCCTTCACTTCTACACTGGCCTTCAACAGATCCGTATTCCTTTTGATGTTGCGATCAATGAGTTCCAATATGTCACCGCGATCAATATCTGAAAAAACACACACATACTAACAGTAAATATAGTCGAGTCATAACAGGGTGATCAATGAACATATATTTAACACCCTTATCTTGAGTATATCTTGAGATGATTTCGGGGCTTTTAGTGTCCCCGCGGCCCGGTCCTCAACCGGGCCGGGCCCCTTAATAATAATAGGGGCCCGGCCCCTATTATTATTATTCCCCGTGTTGTACCCATTCATCCATGTAAATACTTCAACCATGTCAACTCCTTTCACTTCACTTTTTAAGAGAATTAAACTTTCTTAATCTTGTGCAGAGTCAGACACTGAGCCCAAAGGGCCAGATACCAAGGCTGAGGAGACAACCTTTGCAACCTTACCTTTAGGTCCTTCCGGGGCTTAGCATCCCCGCGGCCTGGTCATCGACCAGGCCTACTGGTCGACCTTCGTCAAACTTGCAACGGATCCAAATGGAACCATCTCCAAGTAGGCAAGAACCCGACACCAGGCTTATAGACTTGCTGGGATCCCGAACTAGCCAGTAGTTGAGGAAGGCCACAACACAACCACCCAACAGATCTAAAACAGGTCACCACCATCAACCTGGTGAAGGTCCACAACCCATTCTTTTGTTTAGATAGTACGTTTTGTAACTATGTGCACCATCGTACATACATAGACATACTCGACAATTAGATGATAGTAAAATTTAATACTATTCACTTCATAGAGTCTGAAAATATATATATAGTATAACACATATATGTACTATATTATGCCACCATCCAAAAATTGGAATGCAACACCAGGCAGACCTGAGCTAAAGTGGTCATACAAAAGTGGTAAGCAATATGTAGCCATCAATGATATAACCTCTTCCACTCTACCACTAACTGTAGGAGTACCACAGGGTAGCACCTTAGTATCTCTGCTATTTCTTATATACATCAATGATTTGTCAAGTCTCTACCATTCTTAAACCTATACTATTTGCTGACAATACTACCTTCATCTATTCAGACCCCAACCCAAACACACACACACACACACACACACACACACACACACACACACACACACTAAATAATATTGTAAGAAACTAATTAAAACCATCCACTCATGCATGTCAATCAAACTCACACTAAACATAGAAAAGAACTACATTTCAATTGGAAGTAAATCATCAAACCAAATTTACCTTTAGATAGACAATGTTAACATTAGCATTAAAAATTATAAAAATAAGTTCCTTGCCCTGTACAGAGACAAGAGACTAAACCTCAGCACTCACATACTACACCCAAAATAACAGTTGAATGTAATGAAACGCCATTTTCTGGGCGAGTCTCCCCAGAGCTATCCAGGCTGATATGAATATCCTCAACTTTTGCATCAGTCGATGTGGGTGGAGTTCTAGGCCTACCAGGGATCACGAGCCAGAACCTGGCCCCCTCAGAGAGGCACGAGGAGCAATGGCCCATAGAATGCACATGTGATTTTGGAACATTCTATATCTGCCATCGACAGGGACAGGCACCCAGAAAGCTAAGCGCCCCAAAACAAACCCCTATTCTGGTTAAAAATAATGAAAATAGATAAACAAGTGGACAGAACTCCCCAAATGAAAACGAGCAAACGAGCATGACGTCACACGAGATGCACCGCATGTCTGCGCAACTCCCTTCCCAGAAGGGGGAAGGGGGGAACCCCAGACCCCCCTTGCCGGCGATCCACACCCCCAGTTCTGAGGCTGAATATCAAAATACACGAAAACTGCCGACTGGAGGGAGGGAGGGAGGGAGGGAGGGAGGGGGAGAGGGTTGCCGGGGAGCCTCTGGGACTCACCCAGAAAATGGCGTTTCATTACATTCAACGCTGGTTTTCTTGGGGTAGCCCCTACAGCTCCCTGGAGCTACTTCACCAAAGACGAAAAATAAAGAAGACTTACCCAGGAGGCAGTTGGTGCTCACATCTCTACTCGAAGTCAAGACAACGGCTGCAACCGCCAAACAAATGCGACACAAGCCCGTCTAGGCCCAGACATATTTACGAGGTAGTGTGCAACCAGGACCCTGTATGACCGCCAAAAACCTGGTGCCCGAATGTCAGCCCAGAACATGTTACCAAAGATGGCAGCAAGAGCAGCAAACTTACGAATGTCATGGGCACGGGGATAGACCACAGGCTAGTTAGACTTAATAACCCTGTGGACGACCTGAGAGACCCATAACCACGAACAGGGAAGAAGGGAAACCGGATCAACCCAAAGCTCGTCCCCGGACACAGAAGCCGTGGAGCGCAAATAACGACGGATGGCTGCAACCGGACACAACACATGATGCACCCCCGGCCTGACCAATCAAGCATCAACAACCCAAGGAGCCCTCTGGAAAGCAGCAGTCTCATTCTTCGGCAGGAAAGGAGGAAACGGCTGTAGACGAACAAACCTATCACCATGACCAAAATAGCAGAAACCCCCTGCGCCGGAGAAGAGTATGAAGCTCTGCAACCCAACCCCCAGAAGCCACCAACAGGAAAAAAACCTTAGAAAAAAAATCCTGAACCGAAGGGGCCACAACAAACCGAGGAGAAGAGAGAGAGGAGAGAACTCTGTCCAAAAGACCAGCACGGCATAGGGGGCGCATGAGCAGGCCGGAGGTGAAACAACGCACGAGACAGCTTGCGAAATGGTGTAAAAGTAACACCTATACCGAAAGCAAGCTGCAGCGGCTCCTCCAGCGCCGCACAATACGAGGCGACAGTATTTGGCATAATATGACTGTCCTGGAACAACCACAAGAGAAAAGACAACACCACCCAAACCGAAAGTGAAGTACTGTACAATGACGAAGAGTCAAAAATAAACAGAAGGACCTCCAGGAAGCTTCATACTGCTGCAAAGATGAAGCCCGCAGGTCACCATCAAGGAAGCCACCTGATTACCATACAGATGGTGATAAATTTGAGTTAAAAATATCTGCTGAAAGAGGCGGAGTCACGGAAAAACCGTGGCTCCAGAAAAACCGGAGCCACGGTTTCCTATGTTCCCCGGAATACGACCCCACCAAATCTTTTAACAACCAGGTATCCATTTTACTGTTGGGTTAAACAGAGGATACAGTTAAGGATTGACGCCCATTAAATCCTCCCCGGCCAGAATACGAACCCAGTTGTCGAACAATACTCCCTACCCAGAGCCAAACAAAGGCCACGAAACCCCAGCTGGCCCCAAGGGCGGGGTCAATGCCGAGCAGCAGTACAGTGGTACCTCGGAATGCGATTGTCCCTGTATGCGAGATTTTCGGAAGGCGAGGTGTATTTACTCCAAAAATTTGTCTCAGAAGGCGAGGGTTACTTCGGGAGGCGAGTTTGGACGCGAGTTTGTTGATACGCGTACAGCCGACCTAGCGCGTTCGTCGCCCCTCCGCCCCTCAGTTTATTATTGTCTCGCGCTCAGTGACTACCCCCACATCAATTCTTCTCGCGGATTTTCAGTGTTTTGTTGGATTTTTGGTGATTTGTCTATACAATTTGTTATTATATATCTCACCATGGGTCCCAAGAAAGCCAGTGGTAAGGATAAAGGCCAGAAAGCTCATGTGAGGATGACAATAGAGGAGAAACAAGAGATCATTCGGAAGCATGAGAACGGTACACGTGTTGTTGAACTTTGTAGGCAGTACAACAAAGCCACATCAACAATATGCACTATACTTAAGAAGAAAAATAAGATTATGGGTGCTAAAGTGGCAAAAGGAGTAAGAACATTAACGGCACAAAGACCACAAATACTTGAAGAAGTGGAAAAGTTGTTATTAATTTGGATACACGACAAGGAGTTGAGGGGTGATAGTGTTTCGGAGGCCATTATTTGTGAGAAAGCCAGGGTGTTGCACGAAGACCTTCTAAAGAATACCCCTGCAACGAGTGATGCAGATAAGAAAGAGTTTAAGGCAAGCAGGGGCTGGTTTGAAAAATTTAGAAAGAGAAGTGGTATCCATAGTGTTACAAGGCATGGGGTTATGTGATGTGATTATGGAAGGGGACTCCCCTTCCAAACAGTAACTCCTCTCCTCCTCCCCCCTCCTCACCATCTTCCATACGCCTACAGCACTCGACAGCAAGGTAAGTAATAACTGGAACACAGTTTTGTAGGTTTATTTAGATGAATTAGGTAAATTAGGTATAAAAATTTAGTTTGATGTGGGGTTTTTGGGGTAGTCAGGAACGGATTAATTCATTTCCCTTTATTTCTTGTGGGGAAATTAACTTCGGAATGCGAGTTTTCGGAAGGCGAGGCGTCTCCAGGAACGGATTAAACTCTTATTCTGAGGTATGCCTGTAAATCCTTACGGGAGTAAGATCCCAAAGGCCCTAGGGAAGATAACCTTAGAACCCAAGGATAGTACCAACAGAGCACTTAGGAAGGGTAGCCCTAAGTGCATTCAGCCCCAGTACACTAAGTTCACCAGGCCACTGCACCACACTCAGCCGGCAACACCACAAGGGCACAAATGCCTGACAGAAAACTGAAGCCAGAGTCGACAACCACCCCAGACAGCTTCAGTCTACGAACTGGAGTGTGTGTAGCCGGTGCAGGGGTCTGGGGCTCCCCCTCCCCTCCCCCTCTCGGGGAGAGGCGGGAAGGAGAGCTGCAGGGACAAGTGGCGCAACAGTGGTTGATGACGTTTGCTTGTTTCCTTGTTTCTTTTGGGGGAGTTTTGGTTTCTCTGTTCCATTTGACTTGGGATGCCTATCTTTCTGGGTGCCTAACCTCAGTCAATGGCAGACATGGAATATTCCCAAACACAGGGGGGTTTCCTTAGGCTATTGCTCCCTGCACCTCTCTGAGGGGAAGGGGGGCCAGGTTCTGGCTCGTGGTCCCCGGTAGGCAGAACTCCATTGACTGAAGCCCCAGATTAAGGTAGCTAATATCAGTTTGATAGCTCCAAGGAGCCGACGGGGTTCCCCCACAGAAAAGAATGGTAGATGGTTGAAATAAGCAAGAAGTTTGTGGGTTTCAAAACTGACTGTAGTTTCAAAGTGTCATATGACAGTATTGGGAAGATGGAACACCATGAGCATAGCTTTTTCCTGTAACTACACTTTGGTAATTACCCTCTGAAATGTACAAGAACAGAGTCGACCAGAAGGGACTAATCAAACCTGAAAATAATTACAATACAGGTTAAGTATGTGTGATGATCTGTGGATTTTCTTCTAATGATTCCTCTCCAAGTTCAAGTATGTTTATTGAGACAAGAAAATACATGTCAAAGGAATAGAGTAGCTTAGGCTATTTCTACCCCCTCTACTTCAAGCCCCTCAAGGGGAGTGCACAGTTTCAGTGAGTACAAATCAAATCATGATACAAGAATCCCATTTAACATTGCAGGTTAATATAGCAAGCACAGCATGTAAGTGTTACACTCATGGGGCAAAGTGCTTGTAGCTCCTAAGTATTCTGTCTATCATACCATTATCACACATCCAAACACTTTGATGTGGTACACTACTTATGATCCCTCTCCCTAAGTTTATATGACAACTACACATTACTGACTCATCATCTTAACATACTATTCCTTCTAACAATCATAATCATGGCATAACAACATGCATATATTTATTAGTAAATATGTTTAGTTGTTGCTGACCATAAAAGACTTAAAAGATCTGAAGATTATTGGAAAATATAATTTCCTGAAATATGAACTACTGAATATGAATGCAAGATATTTAAAAATTAAAAGAACATCAGTTACATGCAGGGAGAAATTATGGAAGATTTCCATAAATAAGAAATTATCCAGCACAGAAGAGTAATTTTTGAAAAACTAACCTGAGATAATGACTTGCTTGGCTAGCATGGCAGCCACTATAGAGGTGAGACCAACTCCTGAAGCCACCTCCAGAATGTGTGCGTCTCTGAAGATGTCTGGATTGTTAAGAATAAAATCCGCCATGAACAGGGCTCCACGCCACACTTGCTCACCCACCAGGTCGAGGGTCGTAGCACTCTGGTGTTCTGTTGGCAAAACATTAAATATTTTAATCACATTACCATATTTTTAATCTACATTAGCTTAATCAAATAACCTGTTCCCATTATTCATCTGGGTGTCTTGTACAGTCAACTTAACTTAACCAACTTAACATAATACAGTACAAACCATCCACTCATAATACAAACACTCATCCAGTACCCAACCATTTCTGTCCCACCATCCCACCTGGAAATCGAACTCAGGTTCCCTGATTGTGAGTCAAGACCAAAGTCAACTGTACTACCAGAACCTGACGTTGGTCAAAGTACCCTATTTGTGCTTGTGACGAAGGCCGAGGGTAGTTACCGAGGGCTTCAAACTCAGATACAGTAAGTACAGTACCTTGAAATCTCAAGTACTGCCTTCCCAGTTTGGAGTAGTAACGAAATTACCACGAGATGGCAAGGCAAGACATGGATACCCTATTAAACCACGCATCCCATACCAAAGCGCTGGACACCTTATGACAAAATAATAAAATTCCCCAAATGTGTGTGTTAGCTTTGCCAATACTGTACATAGTGACCTACAGTACTTTCAACCTCACCAATTACACTACAATAAAATATAGTATAGGGGCCTCATAGCCTGGTGGATAGCGCGCAGGACTCGTAATTCTGTGGCGCGGGTTCGATTCCCACACGAGGCAGAAACAAATGGGCAAAGTTTCTTTCACCCTGAATGCCCCTGTTACCTAGCAGTAAATAGGTACCTGGGAGTTAGTCAGCTGTCACGGGCTGCTTCCTGGGGGTGGAGGCCTGGTCGAGGACCGGGCCGCGGGGACACTAAAGCCCCGAAATCATCTCAAGATAACCTCAAGATAAGTGTAACAAATTAAAGTTTAATCCTTTCATTGACCATGCAAACTGGTCCCCTGAGGATCTATCTGTAATGTTGATTTGTTTGATATTTTTTACACATTTCAACTATCAGCATCTCTTAGAAGACAACTTACCTCTTTCTTTTGGAATGAAGAGGTTTTGCTCTAAGATCAGTTGAAGGCAACAGACGTAGGAATTATCCACACAAACACAATGATGAACATGCAGACAACAGCAAGAAGAAAACACAAAATGAGTGTCAATACACAGGTTAAAAGGTGCAACCGGGCAATATCAAATGCACATTCTAATAAGCAAAATATTAACAGCATATATTATTCTCTCAACTAAATTAATCATGCAGGAAATTTGACAAATAAGCAAGACATAACAAATAAACAAAAATGTAATACTTTACTGAATTAATATTAGGCAACTTAAATATTAATATTACCATAGTGGCATAAAATACATGCAACAATAATGGATAAGGCAGTATTAAGCTAATAGGCTCGAAAAAACAAATTTGGCTGAAAAGCTCCGGGCTCAGCCTAGCCCGTGCTGCACGGGGGTTTTACTCCCAAGTAGCTGCATCTAAAACAACATGCAAAACTTAGCAAGAGTAGAGCACACAAGCCATGAAACTAACATGCACAACACATCTGAAATAGTGCATAACACACATCACACTTGCATAATGTATCAATACCACTACTATCACCCTATACATACATTAGGGTGATAGTAGCAATACATTAATTCCATTTTTAGGTTAAAGTCACCTGTCTCTGGACACTTAAGTTATAGACATTCTCTGTAGACTAATTTTTTGTTTATATTGTATTAGATTCATTGCAAAGGTTACAGTATGAATCAAGAGACATTGTTCTATAAATGTACACCTGACTGCAAGCTGTACAGTACATGTAATTGTAATGGAGATGATGATGATTATGAATAATTCTAATATATGTACATTGGTTATATTAAATGATATAACGTATGATATTGCATTTTATTTGTATAAAGCCACTAATCATAAACAGCATCTCAAGCAGATCTTAAAACTAACAATATGATCATGTGATAAGAGTTGAGAGCTATTAACGTAATATTACTAATACAGAATAGGAAAATCCAAGAGAATTTAAAAATTCACACAGTGGAATATGAGCTATAGATTATAACATATGTAACAGCAATTACATAAGAAATAATCTTTGAAGAGAAAAATAACACACGCACAATTGGCTTATTTAGGATGAAGACTATATAAGGGATTTGTGTGTTTTGGCACGGTACAATTTCAGGCTCAATAAGCCACAATGTAAGACAGATCAACTCAGACACTTTTTCACCAACAAGATGGTGATGGTTTCAACAAGATGGTTAACCTATGGAATTGCCATCCTGCCAAAGCCATGTGTGTCAATTATCATGTTATTAATCAGGGTCATAATAATAACTGCAGGGTCAATAACCCTGCAGTTATTGTCTGGTGTTCAAACAGATGTAGGCATGTTTTGGGGGGGAAGCGCCTTGGTAGCTCCTGTTAGCTATCTCACTATGATTACTCCATATACAAGTCACATTAGTTGCAGGAGTTTTGTTTGGCCTTTCAGGGACAAGAACCAGAACCTGTACACCCCCTCCCCCCCTCCCCCTCACACAGAGTCGTAAAGAGCAAATACATTCTGCCATCTCACCGGAAAAGCATCCAGAAAGTCAGAGAAGTTTTACAGACAACTGCTGTGTTCACAAGACCCAGTCTCAAAACTGTCAAACCCCTCCCAAAATGACTATCAAAACCAAATAATTCACTCAAAACTAGCTTAAGCACGTTAGTACTGATCGCCGCCATGAGGCGTCCTGGGGCTCGGTTCTGTTGTCTAATGTGGTGCTCGGTGCATCACAGTAGTTTTCCATGGTCACCATCTCTCACGGCAGGTCCCATTTTCTAAGCCAAGTGCTAGCTATTCTAGGACGTGCTCTGTGGGGGCCATTTGTTTGTGTATCACTCCAATATAGTACTGTATTTGCCTCATGAGCATGTTTTCTATTGAGTGTTGTTGTGTGGACTTTGCTTTATGTGCTTCAAACAACATGCATCTAACAGTTACTTCCCCTGGGTGTTGATTTAGAACCACCCCTTGCATTTACAGTAACTTCTCAGGTGTGTCCACCGTTCACCCTTTTGAGGTCCAGCTGTGAAGCATCTTACCTTGGGTATTTCAAGGGTCACTTTATTCCTCTATTTTGGCCTGCAGTTGGGGCATTCAAGCTGTGTTGGAGTGTGCTAGGGGGTTCACATACTTTGTTTATTCAGCATGCTGGGGTTGTCATTTGCAGCCCCTAGTCCATAGAACTGATTCTGGTTCCCCAATTCTTTTGGCGAGCATCCCCAGTGCCTGGGAGTACATGTCTGGCTTATTACTGGCAGGCCCTAGTATTACCCCATAGGTCCCCAATCAGGTCACTTATACATAAAAGATGGCCAGTTGAGCCTGCTCTTACCATTTGTGACTTAGAAGGGTGTCTATGCACTTTGCTACATGGTAACGATCATTCCTTTTGCCTCCGCCATGCTGCCTGTTAGATCAGCAATACTCATGACCCTGAATCATGAAAGGTTTGTTCCACACGGGTTCTAATCCTATCTGATCCTACTTCTGCGGAGGAAACATATCAGGCAGTTGCTGCTTTACAGGCTCCGTTTGCCCAGGTTCAACATTCACAGCTTTGTGCTCAGTTGATTGCTCTGGGATTGCCCTGGATGGTGTTCAGGGACCCAAAATTGGAGGTGTTGGTGATCTACACCTTGGCTCCAGCCATGTCTCCTCTTCCATCCCTGACAGGTATATACCCTGCTTCTCTGCTTGAGGACTGCTTGTTTGTGTCTGCTCTCGACATGGAAGTGGGGCGAGTGGCAGCTTCATATATACAGCTGCCTGTGCCATTTACAACTTATCGCAGATCACGGGCGCATACGCACTTGGCGATGGTCATGTGTTTTTTATTCTTGCTGACTGGCTGCAGCGGTCTTCTCTGGGATGCTTGCACCCATCCTTTGGGAGGCAGTGGCAGCCTTTTATGCAACTCGCCTTGTCAGTCAGCAGGCCATCCTAGCCCAGTCTTTAGATTCTGCTTGGTCCTTAGCCCTTTTGTCCTCCTTCCCTTTTCAATATTCCTCTTTCCTGAGGATATTGTTGTGCAGTTTCTTTTGACAGTGGTTACTTCATGCCATCTGATTTCTTTGCCCTTTCAGCTTGTGTGTGTTTTTTTTTTTTTTTTTTTTTTTTTTTTTTGCTGTCTTTATGTTAGCTCTTACCTCTGGCTGTAGGGTTGGGGAGCTTTAAGATCTACTCGGGAGAGGGGTTCTGTTCCTATGGCCCAGGCAGGTAGTTTGTTCATTTGCAGCCTTCTCTGTTTCTAGCAAAAAATGGGTCAGTGGGATTCCAGAGGGGTCATTTGGTGAATGGCACTTGGTTGGTTTAGCTGGGGAAAGGAATCATTTCTTACATTCAGTAGAGACTCTTAACCAAAATCTGCAGCCCACTGGTTCTGCATCAGTGGCTGCTTTGTTGGTTGACACTTGTTTCCTTAGTTCTCTATTCTAAGGCTTTTATTTCTCAGTTTGTGTACTGTGTCATTAAGTCTAGCCAGCTTTCAGTCTACCCTCAAGCCCATGTTCCTAGATACCCAGCTTGGCTGTAGACTTCTCCAACATGTACTAATGGGCTTATTTTCTGGCTTGAAGATTTTAATGTTCTAACAGGGTCCTGAAGGCCCAATATTTAGTCAATGTTCTTGGTCATGGTTAGCCATGTCTCCTAGCCTGAGTTCTCTTCTTTGTCCTAGTGTCTGGTGCCTCTCCTCCTTTCTGCTAATTCCTGTTTTTGTTATCTGTGGTTAATTAGCTTTAGGGAACCACCAGTCTCTCACTCCAGAAACCCAGAATTGAATCTAATAAAATTCCTCTTTCTGGAGGAGCCCCAGTGGCTGATTCTCTTCCACCCCCCCTCCCTCTAGGTTTGTCAGTTCATCGTTGGATCGTTCATCAGCTCTAGAACCAAGAGGGGGAACCGGCTGAGGGTTGGGGCCAGGTTGCCTTCGTTTGTCGCGTCAAAAGAAATCACCACCTCCAACTACGCTGCCACGCATAGTTGGAGGTGGTGTTTGGTACTAATGAGTTTTTAGCTAGCTTGAGTGAATCCTTTGTTCTGAGTAAATCTTATGCAGAGTTGTTTGGTGGTTTCAAGGCTTTTTCTGTGAACCCTCCAGTTGTCTGTAAAGCTTTGCTGTCTTTCAGCCATTTTTTCTGGTAGATTGGCAGATTGTCACTTGTTCCCTGAACCTGTAAGAGGGGCCCAGGTTCTGACTCTGGTCCCAGTAGGCCAAACACAACTTCCACAACTGATTTTACTCTTATTTTTGTTTTTAATTTTGTTACTCTTTTAGTAAGAATAATCTCAGCAAGATAGCTTCAGGGATCCACTGGGCCTCCTCCAGAAAGAGGCGTTTCATTACATTCAATGCTGGGTTTTTTAATCACCAATGTTCATAGACCAGTAACTGTCCAGATAAAGGCAACCTTATCATAGTTTTAATAATGGTTTCATAAAGGTTAGTATAAAAATCACACTGGTAAATGATATAAATCAAACCACTGCATTATTGAACTGTTAAGCTAACCAATGAGCACGACGCCTTCTTTTTTGTCAAGGTCCTTCTTCCTGGTGACTTGAAGATCTCCATCAGAGTCTATGACAGGTGATAGGATGGGAATCTTGTCCACCACCATATATGGTGGGTACACAAAATCAAATCTTGAAAGCACAGCTGTGGAGAGGAAAAATGTAAATTTCAATGGCCTAATCTCTCTCTTGATTTTTGTTACAATTTGTGTTCTCAAGCATAAAGCTACATACACTGTACTATATAGATTAGCAATTTCCAATCTTTCTTATTTTCTTGCAGGGAACCCCTGAAATATTTTGTAAAATCTCAAATGTACCTGGCCGACACATTAGGTTCTACAGCGAGCTCTACCTGGCCGACACATTAGGTTCTACAGCGAGCTCTACCTGGCCGACACATTAGGTTCTACAGTGAGCTCTACCTGGCCGACACATTAGGTTCTACAGCGAGCTCTACCTGGCCGACACATTAGGTTCTACAGTGAGCTCTACCTGGCCGACACATTAGGTTCTACAGCGAGCTCTACCTGGCCGACACATTAGGTTCTACAGCGAGCTCTACCTGGCCGACACATTAGGTTCTACAGCGAGCTCTACCTGGCCGACACATTAGGTTCTACAGTGAGCTCTACCTGGCCGACACATTAGGTTCTACAGCGAGCTCTACCTGGCCGACACATTAGGTTCTACAGCGAGCTCTACCTGGCCGACACATTAGGTTCTATAGCGAACTCTACCTAGCCGACACATTAAGTTCAACAAGGGGTAAATTACAAAATATACATGCAAAGCAGTGGGTTAATAAATAATAACTTACACTTTTGAATAAAATATTACAAGAGTATTATTGTCTCTTTTCTATTTACTAATTACCGTACTGTTAACATAAAAAATTACCAACATTTTGACTTTACGTCTGGCTGACTGATTACAGTGTGTGAATATTATAATGATTCTGCATTATGTAACTGCTTTTATATACTGTAGTTTTAATGAAAAAAGTTACACTTTGTTAATAATACATACATACACAATGAGAAATTCTGTAGGAGCCGTGATAAGGGTTCAAACCTATCCGGTGGGCGTTCCCAAGCACACGCCCCAGACAATCAATATAAACAAATATAAACAAATCAATAACATTTTAATAGAGTAACAGTGATTCTAACTGTCTTCTAATTTTGTGAAACTTGGGTGAGCTTCATTAAACACAACAACTTAGTTCATGGTTGCATCATTGTTTTATTAGTAGGTCACATTAAAACCCAAATACTGTAATCTTAATTTTTTACTTAACAAAAGTAGTACAGTACTAATTTGCACTTTCTTTTTCACAACATTTTAAATACAGTATTCTGAAGGAACACAGACATGAGCTGGTTGGTAATCACAGAATGCTGGTTGGTAATCACCAACACAGACATTTTGCCTTGCGTTTAGGGCATGTGACCTCGACCTCGGATTCCAGACGTGAACCCTCTGCCTCAGGTTCAGGACACAAACCCTCTACCTTAGGTTCAGGCTCGTGCTACACCGTAGTGCACAGGAAAAGCTACCAAGGGTAAACAACGCACCATTTAGCTGAACAGAGGAGGCCACTTCAAGTGTGTAGCTTCAGGGAGCCACAAGGGACACCCTCAAGAAAACACTGGGAACAAAGATTCCCCACCAAATATTACAAACAATGCAAAATGCATAGGGGCAATTTAGGCTGTTAAGGGCATGAGCAGTGTGCCATATGGTGAAATATTAAAGAAACTGTTCATGACTTTTGTTAGACCAAAGCTAGAATATGCAGCGGTTGTATGGTGCCCATATCTTAAGAAGCACATCAACACACTGGAAAAGGAGCAAACACATGCAACTAAATGGCTTCTGGAACTGAAGGACAAGAGCTACAAGGAGAGGTTAGAGGCATTAAACATTCCAAAATTAGAAGAAATAGAGGCGATATGATCACTATGTACAAAATAGTAGCAGGAATCGACAAAATTGATGAAGAATTCCTGAGACCTGGAACTTCAAGAACAAGAGGTTATGATTTAAGCTAAACAAAGCTGCAGAAGAAATACAAGAACATTCACTTTTACAAATAGAGTGGTAGACAGTTGGAACAAGTAAGGTGAGAAGGTGGTGGAGGCCAAAACCGCCAGTAGTTTCAAAGCATTATATGGCAAAAGAGTGCTGGGAAGACGGAACACCACGAGCATAGCTCTCATCTTGTAACTACACTTAGGTAATACAATGAGCACAACCCTTAACATAAGTTATGTAACACAAGGGTTACACAACTCTGTGTAACCCTTTTATGAAAATCCAGACTGCTCTCATCCACAAAGTCTCACAGAAGAGCCAATGACCCATGGACTACTAAAGATGAGGCACCTTTCACAGGAAGCCAGCCTCTCAGACACAGTCACCCAAACCACCAGAGAAAGCAACTGTGGCCAAGCAGGGGCAACACCAATGAGCACCTAAAAATGATCACCCTAGGCACAAGCAGTTTGAGGTGACTAAGAGTCCATGCAAGAAGCAAGGAATAAATATACTGTATATATATATATATATATATGCATTGTGAAACAAATGTTAAAATACAGTACAAATACTGTACACAAGAAAATGGCCTCTGTAAGCCAAAAACAGCATCTAGGATAGATGCTGTTATGCTATGTTATGCTAGCATAACATAGCATAACAGTTATGCTGTTATGCTAGCATCTATGATAGATGCTGTCAACACTATCTGAAAAAACTTGGACTCTAAGGGCGCTGGGACGGAAAGAGGAGCATAACAGCAAATGTCTTGGGCATTCATGCCAGGCAAATGACCAAGGCTCATGCCTTATGTATGGAGGAGGAAAATTCACATTTCCCTGGCGGTGCGCAGGTAGAGCTAACGAGAGAATCATTTCACGATTGAGTGATTTATTCACCTTAGGAAACAAGACAGAAAAGCCCTAACCTTTGTTTACCTTGCTGTTTTGTATGTTTTGGCTTACTCACCTTTCTGGTAGCCTTTTCTGGTTAAAGGTATCTAAGATTCCCTGTTCATTGTGCCTCTTTATACGGGGGCCAGCTTTTGGGATCCGGTCCCTGGTAGGTTTACAATGACTTGCAAGGGAATGGATGGAATTGGGTGGAGCTATCCAGGTAGCAAGCATCAAAGAGCCACCATAGGAGCCCCTCCCAGATAATAATATTTTACACAGAATGGCTGATGAATGGAATGAACATAATGGGAGATTAGTCGTCGTTACCACCATTAGAAGCGCCAAAATTAATATACTAAAGATTAGAGAAAAGACTGGAAACCACGAGCGTCGTTCTCAGCCTGTAACTACACTTGTAGGATGTGGTATAATACAGCAGTTACATGGTATACTACGGCTAATGAAAATACAGTAAATTATACAGTAATGACAGTATATAACCCTACAGTGGGTACATTATCATACAGAAATATCACAGCAGTGAGAGGCAGAAAGAAATTTTTAGAAAGGGTAGCAGACATATGTAAAACAGAACCAGGGCTATTCTATAAATTTATTAAAAGCAAATTGCAGGTAAATTATAAAATCCAGAGGTTGAAAATGGGGACAGATTCAGAGAATGAAAATTAAATGAGTGAAATATTAAGTTCCAAAGTGTGTTTGTGCAAAGTGAAGTTTTCAGAAAATCAAACACTATGAATTTCAGAGAGTAACAGAATACAGTACAGTACTTGTACATAGAGGTGTCTTAAGATGAAATGGAAAAAATGCTCAAGGAGCCAAGTACAAACAAAGCAGCTGGCTCAGATGGAGTATCACCTGGAAACTGGAACATATTGGAGGGGTGACAGGTAACCGTCTAACATAGATGAAAAATTTTCTGATAGAAAAATGAAGGCAGTAATCAGAGGCAATGTATCGGACTGGAGAAATGTCACAAGTGGAGTACCACACATTTCAGTTCTTGCACCGGTAATGTTCATTGTCTACATTAACGATCTACCAGATGGAATACAGAATTATATGAACATGTTTGCTGATAATGCTAAGATAATAGGGAAAATAAGAAACTTGATTGCCATACTCTTCAAGAAGACCTGGACAAAATAAGTATATGGAGCACCACTTGGCAAATGGAATTTAATGTGAGTAAATGCCATGTTATGGAATGTGGAATAGAACACAGACTCCACACAACCTATAAATTATGTGAGAAATCTTTAAAGAATTCTGATAAAGAGAGAGATCTAGGGGTGGTTCTAGATAGAAAATTATCACCCGAGGATCACATTAAGAACATTGTGCGAGGGGCCTATGCTACACTTTCTAACTTCAGAATTGCTTTTAAATACATAGATGGCAAAATACTAAAGAAAATGTTTATAACTTTTTTTAGACCAAAGCTGGAATATGCAGTGGTTGTGTGGTGGTCATATCTTAAGAAGCACATCAACAAACTGAAAAAGATGCAATGACATGCCACTAAGTGGCTCCCAGAACTGGAGAACAGGAGCTACGAGGAGAGGTTAGAGGCATTAAATATGCCAAAACTAGAAAATGGGAGAAAAAGAGGCGATATGATCACTATGTACACAATAGTAACAGGAATCGATAAAATTGATAAGGAAGAATTCCTGAGAACTGGAACTTAAAGAACAAGAGGTCATAGATAACGAAAAAACGAAAGAGATAACGAAAGAGATAACGAAACAAAGCTGCTCGAGAAACATAAGAAAATTCACTTTTGTAGACAGAGTGGTAGACGGTTGGAACAAGTTAGGTGAGAGGGTGGTGGAGGCTAAAACCGTCAGCAATTTCAAAGCGTTATATGACAAAGAGTGCTGGGAGGATGGGACGCCACGAGCGTAGCTTTCATCCTATAGCTACACTTAGGTAATTACACTTTTACACTTGGGTAATTACCTTGAGTTCCGAGAGAATGTGTATTTGAGCTGAGAACCCCACCTCAACTGATTTTTCAGGCATCGTTGTGTACAGGAGTCTTTGCAGATAATGCATATAAAAAGGCAAACATAGTTCAAATTTACAAAAATAGTAACAGAGAAGACCCCTCTTAATTATAGACCTGCATTATTGACAAGCGTGATAGTCAAAACACTAGAAAATATAATTAAAACAAAATGTGAAGAACACCCTGGAGAGAAGAATATAATGGGACAGACAATATGGTTTTCTAACAGGAAGATCCTGTGATAGAGCTCAAGTTCTACAATAGAGCCACATCAATTTTACAGGAGAAAATAGTTGGGTTGACTGCATTTATGTGGATGTAAAAAAGGCTTTTGATGAGGTTGTTCTGGAAACTGGAGGAGTGACAGGGAGACTTCCGACATGAATAAAAAATGTTAGCTACTAGGGAAGTTAACAAACTTAGACCCTTCAGGCCTTTCAAGATGACCTGGACAAAATAAGTGTATAACTAATTCACTGTGTCGGGGGACAGGAATCCAGAGTGTATTCATAGACGTTTGGCTTTTATCGAGGGTTCCCCACACCCGCCTCATACCCACAAGGCCGAATTACTGAACCTGGCCAGGATGCAACCCCACAACAAGCCGACTAACTCCTGAGTACCAACTCACTGCTAGGTGAACAGAAACATTAGGTGAAAGGATATGTGCCCAAATATTTCTGTCCAGTCCGGGATTCAAACTCGGAATTCTCTATTGTGCATCGAGAATGAACCCAACTGTACTACCGGGACAAAGCTAGAATGGTATGCGTATGGAGCATCACTTGGCAAATGGAATTTAATGTGAATAAATACCATGTTATGGAATGTGGAATATGAGAAAATGACCACACACAATATACAAATTATGTCAAAAGGCTTTACAGAACTCTGATTAAAAAAAAAGAGAGATCTAGGGGGTGGGGTCTGGATAGAAAACTGTCACCTAAAGACCACACAAAGAACACTGTATGAGTAGCATATGTTAGATTTTCAAATTTCAAAACTTCTTTTAAGTACTGCACATGGATGGTGAAATATTAAAGAAATTGTTCACAACCTTTGTTAAACCAAAATTGGAATATGCAGCAGTAGTAATAGTGGCTATTTCTCAAAAAGCACATCAATGAACTGAAAAAATGCAAAGACATGCAATTAAATGGCTTCAGGAACCGAAAAAAAGAGCTACGAGAGGCAGAAGGCGTTAAATATCCCAAAGCTAGAAAGAAGAAACAAAAGTGATATGATCACTAAATACAAAATAGTAACAGGAATTGACAAAATTGACAAAATAATTCTTGAAACCTGCATCTTCAAGGACAAGAGGTTATAGACTCAAGCTAAGGAAACAAAGCTGCCAAAATCATTAGAAGGTACCATATGAAAACTAGAAGATAGAAGAAAAAGAGGCGATATGATCACCACTTATAAAATAATAGCAGGAATCGACCAAATTGACAAAGAGGAATTCATGAAACTGGCAACCTCGAGAACAAGAAGTCATAGATTCAAGCTAAGGAAACAAAGGTTCCAAAAAAAATATTAGGAAGTTTTATTTTAGTAAACAGAGTGGTGGACAGTTGGAACAAGTTGAGTGAAGGTGGTGGAGGCCAAAACTGTCTATAGTTTCAGAGCATCATATGACAAAGAGTACTGGGAAGACAGGACACCACGAGCAATGCTCTCATCATGTAACTACACATAAGGTAATTTACATACCAATCATTAACTGCATTCAGTGTTCAGTATATAAAATAAATTACTGAAAATAACAGTAATGGCTGTGTATATTAGAGTAATGAATACTATAGTAGACTATTTACAGTAGTGACAAATATACTACTATTGCCATGCAGTAAACTGGCTTGGGGCCTACACTAATAAAAACAGAAATACAGTTAACAAATTATATAGTATTGTATACTATATACTGTATTGTATATACAGTACCCACAATAAACTACAATAGTAAGAGTATATTACAACAAAGAAAAAGCAATAGAAAATTTAACTGTTGATTGAAGTTTTACGAGATTTAGGAAGGCAAAGAACATTCAGTTAATGCCGAGCACCAAGCCACGATCCCGCATCACCACCGTCACCATTCTCTACACCACTTTATTGTCTTACATTTGTTCTTCACAGCTGAATGCAATGAAGAAGTACAGTATTAGTACCATACTAAAGTTGTGTGTGTGTGTGAAAATTTTCATGTTAATGCTGTACAGTATAGCACACTACTGTATTTTATCATTACAAAACATGACCAAGTGTTTTATAGATTAAATGATATTGTGACCAGTGATGGTTTTGAAAATTCAGTAAAAATAAAAAATTCTAACATTGTGAAACGTGAGTTATATGTTTTTTTTGCAAATCAATCCGTTTGTGAATCCAGGTCTGTTATTGCTATAGTGCATCATCAACATCTTTTATCAATACTGTACTAAGATAAAATGAAAAAACTACTAAACCATACCATCTAAAGGTGCTCATAAGATTTTGGTGCACATCATTTAAAAATGAAGGTTACCTTACCAGGGGAAATATTTAGTTTCTTTTGAATTTCTTTGTTTTTATCGTATAAAATTATAGGAATTTTTCCACACACACACGTTTACAGAGATACAAGAGTTCCTTACAAAGTCACCTTTAGACCAGGGTAGTTTAAAAGGATAATCTTAAATAAAATATTTTGGATTTTAATAGCCGTTTAGTTTATATAGTTTGAAACGGGTAGTGGAAGCATACTGTTGGAGATGCTAGAGGTCTCTTCTGTGTTAATTTTTTTTTTTACCGCAGCTGCTTGCAAGGCTTGTCTGGAGCATTAGTGGAGCATTCTCATCCCTCAATAAATGTACATTCGAGAATTTAAATGTAGGTAGGCCTGTGGAGAATCCTATTGTTTGGGTGTTTCCAGAAACCCACATCAGAGTTGAAAAGATATTCTTCAACATAATTCAGAGGCTATAGTTATCATGCCTACATCAACTCACAACCAAGCAAGCTACATTCAACTTAAGAAAGCAGTAATGAAGCAGCAATCAACAATGAAGGAGAGTTATGCCTACTTTCCCTTCTTGAGCTCCAAAGAACCACTTGGCCATTAGCTCCCAATAAACATTCAAACTCCTCCTCCTCCTCCTCCTCGTCGTCTTGTGGTGTGGTAGCCTCTCGAGACACATGCCTGCAGCCTCTTGAGGTTTCTGCCATCTGGTGCAACTTTGATACCTCATTGTGGCCAAACTTCTCCTTGCCTGAAATTCATCATCAAGGCCAATACTTACTTTTACATTCATGAAACTGATGTCAAATATACATACAATTAGCTTGCTAAATACTGTACTGTATATCAATAAAGTTAAAACTAAATTTGTACATCACAAAGCCATACCCTCTACTAGTTAACAATAATATACAGTATAAGCTTACATTACTGTGCACTTTGCTAATGTTTACTACATAATGTGTGCCCGAGTTTACACTAAATATTAATTCTTTCCCTTTCTAATGTTTACAATTGCTGTACAAGAGCACACTAATTCGGACCCCATTAACCCATACCTTTGGGAAATATGACCAACATAGAGCGAGTTTTTGTCTGGCAAACTTTACTTGAATAACTATCTGGGTTATTAGGAGATTCAGCCATGTTAATGAATGATATCAAGAGACCTGTGCTCACCAGAAAGAGAAGTAGGGGATTTACTTAAGACGTTGGGCCAGAGTTCACAGACTGGTGAGAAAGTTGCCTATTTCTCTCACAGTGTTCAAGAGAGAACTGGATAAGCACCTCCAAAGGATACCTGATCAACCAGGCTGTGACTCGTACGTCAGGCTGCGAGCAGCCGCGTCCAACAGCTTGGTTGATCAGTCCGGCAACCAGGAGGCCTGGTCGACGACCGGGCCGCGGGGACGCTAAGCCCCGGAAGCACCTCAAGGTAACCTCAAGGTAGGTAACCTCACATGACAGGTCATTTTGCTCAGTGATATTAGCCCATAGAGTGAGCTAATCTATTATATAGACTTATAATAAATCTATCTGTTTATGAAAATTATTAAATTAGAAAAGATAATGAAAAAATATATGAAAGTATGTAGGTTTTAATAGATTTGCTTGATTTCATAGAATTTCATAGAAAAAGAACTAATTCCAGGACACCCTATAATATAATTCTTAGGAAGCCAGTACTAAACCTAGGACCCAGACAGAAAGCAGCAGAGGCATCAAAATGGGTAAAATGGCCTAGAACCTTACCATATCGAGGAGGTCAAACAAAGCCAGAAGATATCGACCCCATGAATAAGAACGCCTTCACAACAAATTTCCACAAGTTCCACACAGAATGCAAAACCACAGCCGTAGGACAGGAGGCAAGACCATGCCCAGAATACATACATCGAGCAGGACAGGTCAATAGCAAAACCAGATTCCCAATAAGAGGGAGAGATAACCAAAGAACTAAACTATCCTATTTTGAAAACAGATTCAAGAAATCAAAGCAAGCAAAAGCACATGGAAAACCTTTTCAAACACCTTAGGATCCATACAACAAATAGATTAAATTCATTTCTAAAAGCCACTAATCATGCAGCATTTGGGGCATTTTTTTGTTTTGTTTTTATCAGCAAATATTAACACAAGAGCATTGTAAGCTAATTTATCATCAGGTATTTTAGAAGTACTCTACAGTAGAGGCCACTAACAGCACACTAGCCATGGCAGAACTCCAACTTGGCCAGTGTCCCTCTGCCCCCCCCAGTGACCCCTCCTTCCCCCCACCAGGATCCCACTGCCCCACCCCCTCCAGTGCCCCCTCCTCCCCCCCTGCCAGGGTCCCACTGCCCCCCCCCTCCAGTGCCCCCTCTGCCATGAGTAGAGGGGAGGCACTGGGGGGGGGGGCAGTGCCCCCCTCCCAGTGAACCCACTTCTCTACCCCAGAAATACATGACAGGTAACACAGCCAACTGTACCTTGCAGCCTATGTTTCCTCTCCTTGCATCTCAATTTGTGAAGTACATTATGAAAGCAAGTGCTCAAGATAAAAGGTGCCATAATAACATTGCCATTGGTACTTACAGTAAACAATGATTCTTTGACCAAGCCCTTCCAAGATAAAATATTTAATTACAGCACAATATTTCATCTCAGTAATTAAAATAAAGATATTTACTTACAAATGAACTATTACTATAATACACTGTAGTAATAAGCCAGCACATTGGGGTCCCGGTAGTATAGTCGGGTCCATTTGACTCGCAATCGAAAATTCCAGGTTCGAGTCCCGGGCAGGACTGAAATGGTTGGGTGCATTTCCTACCACCTAATGCCCCTTCTCACCTAGCAGTAAACAGGTACCCAGCAGTTAGTCAGCTCATTATGGGGTTATATCCTGGGCAGGGTCAGTATAACCTTGGGGTGAACCTCAATATATAAGCCTAATGTGTACAGTATATATTTATATACACTGGCTGCCAGACTCCCCAAAAAATCAAAATTATATATCTGGTATAGTAATGCATATGACAATGCACAAGGAGCACTGTACTCCTTGAACCCATTCAGACAAAAGACATCCCGTAGATGTAGTACAGTACATGGACTACGCTAGAGATAAGGTACCATATGAAAGACTGGCAATGAAAGTACATGCACATGGAATAAATGGTAGATTACAAGAATGGATAAAATAATGGTTAAAACAAAAAAAGCAAAGGGTTTTCTTAAACAGAAATGCATTTGACTGGAGAAATGTGATTAGTGGGGGTACTGAAAGGTTCCATTTTGGGGCCAATCCTTTTTGTAATAAAGTATACATCAATGACAGATCAGAATATTACAAACCACATCATCAAATTTGCAGATCATCGAGATTTATTAAGTAATGGTAATGTCTTCTCACACACATGTCACAAGTAGAGTACCACAAAGTTCAGTTCTTGCACCGGTAATGTTCATTGTCTATATAAACAATCTACCAGATGGAATACAGAATTATATGAACATGTTTGCTGATGATGCTAAGATAATAGGGGAGATAAGTAACTTAGACCAGGAGCCGGTCGGCCGAGCGGACAGCACGCTGGACTTGTGATCCTGTGGTCACAGGTTCGATCCCAGGCGCCGGCGAGAAACAATGGGCAGAGTTTCTTTCACCCTATGCCCCTGTTACCTAGCAGTAAAATAGGTACCTGGGTGTTAGTCAGCTGTCACGGGCTGCTTCCTGGGGGTGGAGGCCTGGTCGAGGACCAGGCCGCGGGGACACTAAAGCCCGAAATCATCTCAAGATAACCATCTCAAGATAGATGATTGTCATAACCCTTTTTTTTATTATTATTATTATTATTTTCTATGACATACTTTTAAGAGGACCTGGACAGAATAAGTATATGGAGCACCACTTGGCAAATGGAATTTAATGTTAATAAATGTCATGTTATGGAATGTGGAATAGGAGAACACAGACCCCACATAACCTATATATTGTGTGAGAAATCTTTAAAGAATTCTGATAAAGAAAGAGATCTAGGAGTGGTTCTAGATAGAAAACTATCACCTGAGGACCACATAAAGAATATTGTGCGAGGAGCCTATGCCACGCTTTCCAACTTCAGAATTGCATTTAAATACATGGATGGCGATATACTAAAGAAATTGTTCATGACTTTTGTTAGGCCAAAGCTAGAATATGCAGCGGTTGTGTGGTGCCCATATCTTAAGAAGCACATCAACAAACTGGAAAAGGTGCAAAGACATGCTACTAAGTGGCTCCCGGAACTGAAGGGCAAGAGCTACGAGGAGAGGTTAGAGGCATTAAATATGCCAAAACTAGAAGACAGAAGAAAAAGAGGTGATATGATCACTACATACAAAATAGTAACAGGAATTGATAAAATCGATAGGGAAGATTTCCTGAGACCTGGAACTTCAAGAACAAGAGGTCATAGATTTAAACTAGCTAAACACAGATGCCGAAGAAATATAAGAAAATTTACTTTCGCAAACAGAGTGGTAGACGGTTGGAACAAGTTAAGTGAGAAGGTGGTGGAGGCCAAGACTGTCAGTAGTTTCAAAGCATTATATGACAAAGAGTGCTGGGAAGACGGGACACCACGAGCGTAGCTCTCATCCTGTAACTACACTTAGGTAATTACACTTAAGTAATTACCAACAATCAAAGGAGAGAAAGGTAATCAGAGAACAACTACAAAACCTGGTGAAAGACAAAATGAAATTAATGCGACAAAACAAGCTGTTGCTCCAAGAAAAAAAAGAGGCATCTCAAAGAAAATAAGGAACACCTGTGTCAGGGGGTAGGGGAGGGGGGGGAGGGTAAGACAGGGGGGCCAGTCTTGCCTCCTCGTGAAGGGTCCAGACTCTCCTCCTTGGAGAAGTGATGCACCTCTGAGGTCACCGTGTCGTACGTCTCAGCCATGACCGTTGGGGTGGACCGCTGGGGTGGACCGCTGGGGTGGACCGCCGGGGTGGACTGCCGAGGTGGACTGCCGAGGTGGACTGCCGAGGTGGACCGCTGGGGTGGACTGTGGGGTGGACCGCTGGGGTGGACTGCTGGGGTGGACCGCTGGGGCCAGAGATGGACCACTGGGGGTCTGAGATGGACCGCTGGGGGTCTGGGGTGGACCTCTGGGGTGGACCACTGGGGTGGACCGCTGGGGTGGACCACTGGGGTGGACCGCTGGGGTGGACCACTGGGGCCAGAGATGGACCACTGGGGGTCTGAGGTGGACCACTGGGGTGGACCACTGGGATGGACCGCTGGGGGTGGACCGCTGAGGTGGACCACTAGGGTGGATCACTGAGGCCAGAGGAGTGGCCAGGGACCACGCCGGGACCACTACACGGGGTGTCAGGGACCAAAATACAAGGAGGCCGCCGCCGCCTCACACGGACCACTGGCTCACTGCACCAGCTGATGCACCTCTGCCAAGTCTCCCTCGCCCCGGCCGCTCCTCCTCCTCTCTCAACTACACATATCTCTCTAGCGTCACCTCCTCTACACCTCATGCTAGTTAACACCAATATACTTGCTTATGTACCACATAACTTAATTTTTATGAGAGCAGATTATATAATGCTTATGAATGAACGGCACCGTTCAGAATGGGCACATTGGCTCGAGAGGTCAAATAATACAAAGGTGTTTCGTATACAAGAATTATTTCGTATAATTTGTATAACAGTATATAGATATAACTATTTATTTATTTATTTATTTATATGCAAGAAAGGAACATTGGGGGTTAAGAGAGTACATTGTAATGATGATGAATTTACATTCTTGTAAAGCCACTAGCACGCATAGCATTTTGGCCAAATATATTTTGAGAAAGGCATCATGAACGCTCAAGTCATAGATCACCAAGAACTATATATGACTCGACCAGATGATTCCTGACCAAGATTATTGTTGAAGTGGTCACAGGCTTAACTTGTGAGTCTTTGGTCCACCAGGCTATAGCTTGGCGCGGCCCGCACCAGCCTTGAACCTCCTGGCTGCTCCCACACGTCTTGAAGGAAACTATCCAGTTTTCTCTTGAAGACGTCCACGATTGTCCCTGCAATATTTATTATGCTCGCTGGGAGGATGTTGAACAACCGTAGACTCTATATAATGCAACATACTAGCTTAAAAAGAAAGCAGATATGGCAGACACAGCAACAGTACAGAAAGTTACAGCACATTATGCATGCAGATCATCTGCATATGAAAAATGCTGCAGCTGAAGCTCTTATAACAACACACTTTTAACCACAAGACAATAGATTGGTTGAATTTTGCATCACAAGATAAATTTCTTGACATGATTATTTTCTTGAGATAATTTCAGAGCTTAACGTCCTTGCGGCCCGGTCCTCGACCAGAAATTTTAAGCCAAGTTACTGTACCTTTTAAACATTTTACAGATGTTCCAGTCATGGGGAAGACCAAGTTTGGGTCCTTTAACAATGAATGAGTGATCTATTATGTTTGCCACTTACTATCAAGAATGACATCTGTTCCTTTACATTCTTACCCCCTTAAATGTCGGCAAAGGAAAGGAATAATTAACTTCGTGCAAGACTTTTTATTTCATATTAATACATATCTTAATACATGAAGACATCTTGACTGCATTTCTTCCCAATATGTCACAGCTTATACTCTATTCCATTACAAAACACCGATGATTTTTTTTAATCGTTTAATTAATCTGATTTTATACAGTCCCTAATAACCATATCTAATTTGACAATCCATACTAACCAGTTCCATTGGGTTCACACTTCTCCGCAAGAAATAAATGTTCATACAGTAATTGAAAAATATATAAAATAATAATAATTTGCTATTTAATAAGTACAAAAGACCTATTTTCAAGTTTTAAATTAACAATGGATTCTGAAAAAAAGAAACCAATCTGAGCATCCGTAGATTCCTACCTATGCAAGTATAAAATACATATTAAGATTGTTAATAAAACAATTATACAAAATAATAAATGACCAAAGCATGGAATTCTTGCATATTTAGGATTTGTTCAATGATAATGCACACTCAATTAGGGATACACAAGTAACACGATATCTGAACTGGAGCATAATATAGAAATATTTTGCTAAAATTCTTTGCAACTCTCAATAAATAGAAGATTAACAGCCAAAAGAATCAATTTACACCTAAGCTTTTAATATTTTGGTTAGAAATGGATTGAATTTCATTAAAAAAAAAAAAAAAAAGAAAGTATCCTCCATCAGCGGAATATCCATCGACACCGCTATGTTGACCCGTACACTCTACCACTCGATGCCTATATGTATCAATCCCAAGATGGTAGGTAGCTTCTCAAAAATATTACTTATAATTGCTAGGTAAGGCAGGCTGGACAAATATACCATATCTAACAATTTTTTTTTGTTATATATATATATTTTTATTTTTTTTTTATTTTTACATTCTGACCACCAGTAGTAGCAGCATCAGTGACAAAATTATGTACGCATGTATAGTGTGCATGTGCAAGTATATACAGCATATAATTTATTTTAAACATTTCTTGCTAATCAATAACATAATGGAATGGCATACTCAATAATAACCAACTATATTTAACCTCTTTTTACTATATTATCAAACAACTTTAATAAAATATAAATAAAAAAATAGGATTAATTACAACATGGCTTTAATTTATATAATAAATTCTTGAAGATATGACGTAATAAACAAGTAAATAGCCATATATTTTCACCAGGCACACACACAGTGCAGGAGTTATTGATTTTGTTCACATGGTAAGTCTTTCCATCATGTGCAACCTTCACCAGCAAGGTACACCACATTCACTGATGCAATACAATCTTATGAACTTTGGTTTGTGAACATTATTCAAGGTCTCTGTTCAACACGTGTGCAGACTTCCAAAGTATTCGACTTCCATGTCGAGCCTGGCCCCAGGCTGGGCTCGGGAAGTAGAAGAATTCTCGAAACCCTCTCCAGGTACGCTCCAGGTATCTAATAACTCCACAGCCAAGAGCACCACTCCAAAACAGATGATCACTCAGCTCCAGTAACCAGCTGCCATTTCAAGTATGTCCACATGTATCACATTTTTCAATGATATTTGGACACCAGTCACTGTTAATAGTACAGTATATCTGTTGAAGTAATTTGATCAAGAATTTCCTGCCACCTCAATTCAGAGTTAATCACTGCTGCATTTCATTGGTTACTTATATATAAAGTACACTGTTGCTGTGTTTGACTGCAAATCCATCATTCGTGTTATCTCGGAATACATTTTGGTACATATTTTATGTACATCAAATTCAAATTTTGCATGTAAAATAAAACTTTTGATTATTACATGGCCAAGTTGGCTGGGTCTTCTGTATTCCAGTACTTTTACTGGATTAAAGTGTAATGTTTATGGCATTAAAATTTCCTTGTACATTAAAATATGAAGAGATACCAATAACTGCTGGTATTGAGGATCCATAACTTACTGCCTTGGTATGCCAAGCCTGAACATCTATTCATTTTGCTATAGCACAATTGTTCCAATCCCAGCAGCATGAATGGAAAATATTTATAAATAAAGGCATTGTGATATGATAAGCTGACAATTTTAGATGCCAACTGTGTATCGAATACTACCATCCACTTTATTCACAAATACTCAGGATACATCCATACAAGCTTTTATCCACATTTTGGTTTATTAGCATTCTATTGCCTCCAAGGGTTATTACAGTCTTTAATTATTCCAAGAAATTGTATTTATTCACCTTCTACAAAGCAAATATAAATCAAATAAACCACTTTTAATTTTATCAAATGTTAGCCACCACTACTCCCAGTCATGATGCAACACCTACACCTCTCACGTGCCGTGCCGGTCTCCACACCTACGAGAGCATCTGCTCACATTCTGACAAAGAACCGTCGTCTTCATCCCGTGCCCTCCCACCTGTGAACCAATACACACAGTATCCAAACACTTTCCTTCTTTCTTGATATACCTTCATGGATGATTAATACAAATTATTCTTTCTTATTTTTTAGGTCAAAAACATTTGTAGATGGTTCTCAAACAAAGCCAAAATTTTTAGTCTTAATGGCTAGGAGGAGCTTGGAGCGTAAAATAGCACGTGTCGAGTAAAGAGGAATATAGAGACGGCTGATGCAGGTGTTTGCTGTGGGAAGGTGCGAATCGTCTGCCGGCCGGATTGTAACTGATGGCATAGGCTGGAATCCTTCTTCAGATGCAGGTAAAGCAGGTGAACCAGTCCAGAAATATACCTGTTATAAAATAATAAATTAATAGCAAATATTTAATATTTTGAATTACTTGTTTTAGCAATTATATTCAGATAAAAACCTCTTGTACTGCAACACAATTGTTATGTACTTTCTTGTTTTATAACCTTTTGCCCTTTGTTCTGCTGTAATCTGGGTATCCCAGATCCCCCTTGCTACATCATTTGTATCTTTATGTATCAAACTGGAGAGGTGTTACAAGTGAAGTACCACTGGGGTCCGTTTTAGCACCAGTAATGTTCATTCTCTATACTGTATAAGCAATTTACCAGAAGGAAGAGAGAATTATATGAACATGTTTGTGGATGATGGTGAGGTACTAGGGATGTTAAGAAACTTAAGACAACTCTCATGCCCTACAAGAAGACCTGGATAAAATGAGTATGGAGTAACACTTGGCAAATAGAATTTAATGTGAATAAGAGATCTAGCGGTGGTTCTGGATAGAAAAAACCTCACCCAAGTACCAAACAAAGAACATTGTGCAAGAGTGCATGCTATGCATTCCAACTTTAGAATTGCTGTTAAATACAGGGACGGTGAAATATTAAAGAAATTATTTACAGCCTTAATAAGACCAAAATTGGAATTTGCTGTGGTGTAAAGACATGCACCTAAACGATTTCCAGAATTAAAAACAAAGTGGCAGGAGGAGAGGTTAAAGGTGATAAATTGGACCCTTACATATCTATGGGAACATTGCCTGTGCTGATTTGTATCAGATACAAACTCATGAATTTCTTTAACTTCCTATTCCGGTTCTCTCTCTCTCTCTCTCTCTCTCTCTCTCAAAAGAAAAAAAAACTAATTAAAATTTATGTAGTGTTGGATTCCATTAGTGATGACATCATTAGTGCTTACTCAACGAGTCGCTAAAGTGACTAATTTATGCTCGAGTTCACCTGATCATTACGCATTTTTTTTAGTGCTTCAAGTTAACATCACTATAAATATACTAATCATTTGTCTATATATTTTTGTTTGTATTCACCTTTCTTCACAAGGAACCTGATGACAGCTCTATGCTCAATTTAGTAGAAATCCACACTTTTAGGGAGGTAGCCCCATTCTAGCAGTGTCCTATGGCCATGAAAAGAAACAGAATACAGTACTGCATTATCGTTACTAATTAAACTTGTGAATGATTTAGCCTTCACAAGAACCACACATCATACTTGCTGTGGTGAAAAGTATCTAGCCCTAGGAATTGACAAAGTATTTTATGGGCTACGCGAGTTTACATTCACATTTTTACTACTCTCACACCCTGACAAGACATTAGGCTTCCCTAGTAACTGTCTGACCAGCCAGACAATTGCTGCTTCCAGCCTGCAAGCCTACACAGCAAGCCTGCTCATCTGCCACGGCTTGCATTGCATTGAAGTCCTCTCATGATGACTTCAAACTTCGTTTCAGCAAAATTTTGATAAAGTACTGTACTGTATTTTCGGGTAGAAGACTGAATAATTGTAGAATTCTCTATAGACAAAGAAAAAACCAGGTACACTACAAATAAAAATAGGTAAGAAAAATAGGAAGTACTGTATTTATGAGGTAAAGACGTTGTTGTAGAGGCAAGTTACAATATAATCGATATATAACAGTTATAGTAGATGGAAGATAAATGCATGTGTCAAGGGTATATGGAACTGTGAGGGTGAAGAAATGGGCAATATATTATTGACAAAATTATTACACAAAATATGTAACATATGTTGTGGAAGAGAACCATGAGAAAGAATGAAGAGAAATACCTAACCTGAAATATCAGCTAAGTTTGGGACTCAAGTGAGGATCAAAATTGTGGGGCAGCTCTCCTCAGGGAAGACATATTTCTCCCAAGTCTGAATGAAGACTTGCCAAAGAGGTTGTGCAGGAAGCACATATGCTAATGCATGGCCAAAGATTTTTTTAGTGGAGTATCTTTAAGCAGAATTCCTTATAGATGCACATACTTGACCTGCATATTTTAGTTACATTCACAAATTTAGAAGGAAGAACCTACCTGCTTCCCACATACAGCTGAAAATAATTTAGTATACAGGCACCATAAATTTTTACGGGTATTGCGCTTCTATACACACTGTGCAAATAAAAACAAACATACAAATCAAGTCTTTAAAGATGTTGTACAAGTTAACACTTTCACTGCAGGATAACGTTATTGTCGTCCTAAAATCAATACACGTAGATTGTGGGAGGACGACAATGTCGTCCAAAATTTAAACATACTGTATTTTGTAAAAAAAAAAAAAATCCATTTATCGTCCGATTATTATAGGACTTGTTTTAAAATGCGCGCCAACATCTTTCCGTTCTCTCTATACCTCATGTGCAATCACTACACCGCTGCGTGCGTGGCCACCAACGCAGCGGGTGGCCACTCACTCACCCTACCCTCGAATCAAAACCGTGTTCCCGTTCCAGTTTTATCTCGGGTATTTTTTGTTACTGCCTTTATAAGCACGAAACACAAACGAATGATATAGTGTAACAAATAACGTTAGGAATGAATAATGACGTAAACAATGATTTTTTTTTCACATGACTATTTTATCTTATTTTATTGGTAGTAGTAGTTCTTCTATTTTACCTTATATGCATTTATCCCTTTAGAGCCTCCTATTGCGAACAATTTGATACCAAAATGAACGACGTAGCATGAAAATTGAGGTGAGAAGACTGTAAAGAGTATAAACATTGGAGTGTGGTTGTCCGCTGACGGGCAATGCGTGGCCTACCTTGCGGTGCGCTGTGGGTGGCCCGCCAGGCCGGCCAAAGTGTTAAACAACATGGTGAAGGTCTGGTCATTCAAGAATCATTTTGTCGTCTAGCTACTTCTATTTGGCTTCCAATGAACTGGTAGGAAAATGAAATTAAAAAAAAAAAAATCAAAGCTTTGGGATTGAGGAAATGGAAAATTAATGAAAGTTTACAGTTAATATTTACCTCGGTAATCTTATGGTACTACTTTGTAATCCGAAGTATTTTACCATTTTGGAAATAAGGTCTTTTCAACGAGAGTTTCCAATTTAAGAGTATTAAACACTGCACTGCAAACAGTATTAAGAGTGTTTAAACTTCAGCTTAACATGGTATTTGTGCAGCAAGATCTGCAAGAAGTTTAGTAGGTGCCTCGATGCAAGAACATAATCCAGAAAGTTTGTCAGAAACAAGAAACCAGCATTCAATATAATGAAACTTGTCTTTCAGAGAGGTAGTGGGGATAGTGGCTCCTTTTTTTTACCTAGTAGCACTATGATAGCTCCACACTTGTAAGTCACATCAGCCCTGAGTCTCCTTAATAGCATATAAGACACCAGAGGTCATAACCAGGCCTTCTTCAGAGGCACACAGGGACAAGGGATTCGTTATCACTCTCACCGAAGGAAAAAACTCCAAGGGAGTGAAGCAAAACTGACAATTGCAAGGTTCACAGAACATAAACGAACAATGCAAAACACACACACAGGAACCAATCCACCCAGTAGCTAAGTCATACTTCTCATCCGCCATTTACAGCTCATTATTGCCAAGTGGGAATTCTGGGAGCTGCTAGCCCCCATAATTGATTCAAGTTTAGGCCACTCAAATGCTCCCTAACCTGACCGCTGTATGATCTTGTTCCCATCTTAAAAACGTTTTTGCAAATGTTCTCGTCTAGGGAAGGTAAAAGTGGTGAGCAACTAAAGCCACCAATGTAGGACCAGCTCGCTCTAATATAAAACTATGAGCAACCCATAACATCTCCAAGAAATGCCATTTACTACTCTGCTAACTACAGGTGGAGCCAGCAATGTCTAATTACCTGGTGTTTACCTGGAGAGGTTTCCAAGAGTTCTTCTATACCCAAAGTCAAAATAGTGAAAAGGATAGCAATTGTTTTCATTATCACTAAAAAGGAACCCGATAATGACTAGTGATAACTTTATCCAACATGCTGTTACTTGAAGCAGCCTGCAGGCACATAATATTCTACTCCAATATCCTCACTAGAAGTTAAATAATTCCTGATGCATCCTTTTCCTATACATATCAACAGTTGTGCTCTACCTACCTGTGTGTTGACTATCTGTTGATGATTTTGAAGATAACCGTCCCCGCGGCCCGGTCTGTGACCAGGCCTCCTGGTTTGCTCAGTTATTGATACTGTATTACATAAGATGAACTGTAATTACAACTACAACATTGTCAGGCTTGATCATTATTCACTTCCATACAGATAGCTTCTCCACAGAGAAACATCTTTCCCTTACCTACCCTTTCCCTACCCTTGATATGCTGCTGCATGCCATTACCTCACAATATTAATGTCCATGAATTTCAATATATTTACTTACCAAGTCTTGTTTTTCTTGATTGGTCATTTTCTCCACAATGGACCATAGCCATCGCTTGAACTTGTTGAGACGGTCGTTGGATTCGGCGCTTTCATCATTGAATGAGGTATAAGAGATGAGAGTGGCAACGTTGATGTCTCCAACACCATTGAGTAAAAGTCGTAGGTCCTCGGCAGTTAGTGAATCCAAAGAACCTCCAGGGATGACATCGAACACCCCATCGCGAATATTCTACAGGATTTAAACAAAATATTATGTATTTCAACTGACATTATTACTCATAAAAACTGAACATGAAGATACACTATACATACATTATTATTACACCGTTTTCCACTTGCATGGGATTGGAAGGTACCAGATAAAATGCGACGAGTCGACCCCTTACATAAACATGCATTTATATATATACGTATCACATTTTTGCCATAACATTGTTTTTGTTTAGCAACTAATAATTTCAAATGATTACACCATTACATAACACACACATGGCATGCTCATCTCTACACTAAAGCAAAGACAACTCTGATTTGGCTCCCTCATTACACCCACCAATTCCCACAACCACATAAAAATCAACCCAGCCATACATTGGCTGGGTGAGGTGTACAGCCAATCAACTGTACACAAGTTTATTGACAGTTGAGAGGTGGGACCAAAGAGGCAGAGCTCAACCCCCACAAGCACAACTAGGCGAGTACATTTCAACTCCCTATCACTCCCACCCACACATGTCTACCCTCTCTCATTCCCACATGTCCACCCTCCCTCATTCCCACCCACACACACATCCACCCCCTTCCTTCACCTGCAGAAATTGTTACAAGAGCTGTGCATTTTCTTGGTACGTAGTGTCAAACAGTTACATATTTGTGTAGCCTAGCCTAAATCTCATCCATTCCTAACCTAAATCTCAGCAAGAGGTGTGCAGTTCCTGGTTGAAACCTGCAAGTGCGTCACACCACGAGTTGTTGATATAACTGCTCGCTACCACCCCTCAACTCGAGCCCAATTTTTACAACAACTTTTCCAATCTCTCTTCATATGGAAGGTTTCCAATTCCTGTGATTAACTTTGTCATCTTTTGCTGAATGCATTCAAGTGACTCATGGCCATTTACAGTATGGCGACAAATTTCACTGCATAGTGTAAATGGGGCTAAAAAGAGAGAAACAGCTAAAGAATAACATTAACATTTTTAGTGCTAATTCTTTTAGAAATAAATCCTGGTATCCTATTTGCCTTATTTTAAATATTTATGCACTAATATTTTGCCTTTGAAATCCATACTAATCATGACCCATAGATCTTTTTCTGAGACTACCCAGCCTATACCTGATCAACCAGGCTGTGACTCATACGTCAGGCTGCGAGCAGCCGTGTCCAACGGCCTGGTTGATCAGTCCGGCAACCAGGAGGCCTGGTCGACGACCGGGCCGCGGGGACGCTAAGCCCCGGAAGCACCTCAAGGTAGCCTCAAGGTAACCTCAGAACCCTTCATTTCTGAGCATTAAACAGCACCTGCCACTCTTTTGCCAATTTCAAAAGATTATCTTGGATGGATTCTGAGAAATATTAACAAATTTGTTGCACTGCACATTTCACTTCTTGTTTCCCCTCATCCTAGCACTCCGTATCAACACCAACACAGGGAACTATCAGGAGAAAGTACCAAGCCATTACCACTACATAGCACTGGGAAGGGATCAGGGACCATCAGGGGAAAGGAATGGTCCCCAACAACTTGGACGGTCGGGGATTGAACGCAGATCTGCACGAAACGAGACCGTCGCTCTACCGTCCGACCCAAGTGGTTGGACAGATAATTGTATCTTTAATACCAGAGCTATGACCTGATTTTTAAACGATCATAATACATTTACCGTACTATTAATTTACGCTTACCTGCAAAGCCTTCTCCTGAGATTTAACCATGCGATACTCTGCATACTTGCGTACATAGTCATAGACGTTCCCAGTCGTTACTTCCACATTGCGGCCACCACTTATCAGTTCAATATTTGTGCCACCTTCCTCTGGGATCACATCAATACTGCAAGATGTATTACACAATAAATAACAAATCTGTACTTTTATGTGTATGCTGATCATTGTGTATTTCAGGGAACCCATCAGGGAACTTCTGAAATTAATCCCATCCGGAACAGGAGGAAGGATAGAGGGAGAGGGATGGCAGGAGAGAAGAAGGATGGTAGGAGGGAGGAAGGAATGTGGAGGGAGAGGGGAGGGGAGGGAGGAATGAGGGGGAATGGGGAGAAGGGAGGGAGGAATGAGGGGGGATGGGGAGAAGCGAGGGAGGGAGGAATGAGGGGGGGGATGGGGAGAGGGGAGGGAGGAATATGGGGGAATGGGGAGAGGGGAGGGAGGAATATGGGGGAATGGGGAGAGGGGAAGGGAGGAAAGAATGAGGGGGGATAGGGAGAGGGGGAAGTGGGGAGGATGGAGAGAGAGGAGAAATGGGGGGATGGGGAGGGGAGGTGTTAGTATTCAAATTGTACGACGGTTGGGATGTAGCCAATCACAATGAAGTAAGCCTCTGATGTCATTCTCTACAGAGAGCTGGTACTAGCCGTTCCGGTGACCAGTCAGTATCTCACAGACTTCAGAGTTTGGTAGGACCTCAGCAGGCCAGATATCCAACTTGTTACCTTCCTCAATAAACTGCTGGTCATCAATCGTGTATTATCTACTATCCAGCAAAAAACACACATATCCAAGAAGGTAACTAATAGATGGAGAGAGGGGAGGAATGGGGGGACGGAGAGGGTTTCTATATCATGTGTCCCTCAAGATCATCACAAATCTCTCCTTTTGTAGTTCTTGTTTAGTGCAGTTACATGACCTGCTTGGTTCCACGTCTCTATTATCATTAACTTATCTGCTTTAGTTCTAGCCGTATGACTACTTCGGAAAATGTACTTGCTGGACCTGTAACCCATTGCTACACTACATCTACTTTCTTGTTTCCATTTGTTACATTAACTGATTTTCCTTTCAATTTGCTAATTCCCATATGATACTAATGTTATCCTATGTGTGTGCACTTATGATATAAGTGCTGGTATCATGTCTACTCCCAAGACTGTCTGTCTCTCTCATTCTAAAACATATTTGCCCACCTTTGATGATGTAGCATCTGAGGGTCAGAGCCTCTCCAGCATAGTCTCTGACTAGCCCTTCTGGCCCATTGTTCAATCAGCAAGATTTTTGGTGTGCGAGAAAATCATTGTAGCAGGACAAGGATTGGCCAGCATCCTGGGTAATCCCAGATGCACACCTTAAGCCATGGGCCACAATATGCTAAAGATTATATAACCATGGGATCTACCCGGATCCACCAAGAATCTGGAGACATCGAGCCGTTACCCTCCAGACTCGTGTGGATCTAAATAGATCCCAGGTTACATAATCTTTAGCTTGTCATGGTCCATGGGTAAAGATGCACGTCTGGGATTACCCAGGATGTTGCTCGACCCTTGTCCTGCGTCAATGATTTTCTCATAAGCCAAATGAACGATTCTCAAGTACTTAGTGACACTGATCACCAGTAAAATGCTTTAGCTAATGATGGTTGTAGTTGTGGTGGTGTTTATGATGGTTGAGGAAGTTGTTGGTAGTGTGGTGTTTAGTGAGGTAGTGGGGTAGAAGGGGTTGGGACAGGTTAGGAAAGGTAAGGAAGCCTATTAGAAACATGCATTTACATTACTTTTACCCAAGCTGGGTTTGGTGGAAGGATACCAGTTATGAACATTTTATGACATTATTAAACACTACATCACAGTCTAGTCAGAAGGTCAACACATGAAAGTTTAATTATGAATACTCTAAAACCCCATATTACTTCTAAAGCAATTGTTAAATTACAGTTTTATAGCGACCTGAGGGGGGGGGGGGGGGCCAATAACTTCTAAACACTGCAAATATCAACAACTGGGAATAAGGGATGAAAATTTACTGAACAGTTATGCATCTAAGACACATACCATATTCTAAATATAAACTGACTTATCTTTTAACTATTCTTGCTTAAAAACAAAATACAGTACTGTCATTACATACATTGTATCGAGTATTTCAAGACTTCTGATGGTACTAAGTGCAAGTGAGACTACAGTCATTTTCCCTTGCCCTCCCTCAAGGTGCCTCCCCTTCCCCCTCCTCTCCACTAAAGGTTTTATGTAAGACCCCCTTACGTAAATCTTGAAGACATCAAGCTGATAGGCAAAGGTATTCTCCAAACACAGAAGACAGCCTTTTGGTTTGTCACCAATTTTGTTAGGAAAATGTAAATATTGTGAGGATACCTAATAATACAAAAAGATTTAGAATATATTTTGATTTTTTTTTTTCACAAGGGCAAGACTTGGCACAACTAAATCTAAATCTAAATAAATCTAAATATCTATATTCCATTTTGTTTTTGTGCAAATAGTGAACATGTTTAATGTACCAAAGGAAGAGACAAGTTTAGGTCACTTCAATTCACAACTTTGAACACTAAGAGAAAACAAAAACAGATTACACTATACCATGTATCAGTGCTAAGATTTGCCTATAACTTTGTGCATAATCAAGAATTTAATATTATATAAATCCAAACCATTATAAAACCAATGCCAAAGTACACATTGTATATTACAGTACCTGAATGTGAGATCCAGAGCTTTGAACACATCCGTGCCAGTGTCCTTATTCTCAGCGTCCAGCACAAGTTTCCGCAGACTTTCATACATCACAGGATCAAAGAAGGCTAGGTCGTGGAAGCGTACAGGACGCCCCAGAATATATTTTAAAACGTGTCGATTTAGATAAATAGGACACAACTCGTTTTGTAATAAGCACAACCCCAAAAGTCTGCCAAAAGAAAATCAAATTATTAGTACCAGCATCTGAATGTTACTAGAACATAATATGAAACTAATTTTTTTTATATATAATTACAGGTGTTAATAATTCAAGTTATATCATCAAAGGTTCACTACTGACCTGCCAACATTACGGAATGCATTAAGTCTCTCTGGAGTTGGTCGACTCTGCCGAGGGGAGTAGAAACCTCTCTTGCCCGGCTGATAAAACAGAGGCGCACTAGCATCCTCTGGCTCCTCTCCTCCTTCATCTGTGTCTGTGGCAGAAGACAAACCAAAACCATAGATGTAATCTAATAGATTAATTTTATTTATTGTACACATTTCTAACGAATGATTTTCACAGTTGCAATAGCTACACTGGACTAAGAGCAGCAAGCACCAACAGCCTAGCTCATCAGAACAATGAGCAGGTCTGGTCAAAATCCAGCAATCAAAAGAACCATTAAAAACAGACTATACATAAGAGTATTTTATTCTTGATAGTGTGCCTCTAAAAATACAACACCAGTAATGCCTGCAATATTTTCTGTAGAAACACAATCTAAATACTTTACCAATCATCTATTTTTACCTCCATGATCCTCATCTTTTCTTTTTATTGGAGAATACTGTACCTCGTCTTAAATATATTTAACTTTAACCCTTTCACTGCAGTACTTCCACCCCCCGAGCCAGGCTCGTCACGTGACTACTTGTTCTCACATGCTGTTGCTTGGAGCAGCCCGCAGACCCACATATCCACTGCAAAACCTGGTTGGTCCGGTACTTCTTGCAAGTAGTTATCTAAATGCTTCTTGAAGACTTCCACCTCTGTTCCAGCAATACTGTATTTCTAATGATTGCTGGAAGGGTATTGAACAGCTGTGGACCTCTGATTTTCAGACAGTGCTCACTGGTTGTGCCTATGGCACCTCTACTCCTTACTGGTTCTATTCTGCATTTCCTTCCTTATCTTTAAACTCCATTAGGTTGTTATTGTACTGTGCAAATTTTGGACCTGGCTGTTCAGTATCTTCCATGTAAGGGAGCCGGCGGCTGAGCGGACAGAACACTGGACGCATGATCCTGTGGTCCCGGGTTCGATCCTGGGTGCTGGCGAGAAACGATGGGCAGTTTCTTTCACCCTGATGCTCCTGTTACCTAGCAGTAAATAGGTACCTGGGAGTTAGTCAGCTGTCACGGGCTCCTTCCTGGGGGTGGAGGCCTGGTCGAGGACCAGGCCGCGGGGATACTAAACCCCGAAATCATCTCAAGATAACCTCAAGATGTACCTTCTTTTATGAATTTAATCCATTCCCAGAGACGGTTCGTAAACTGAAATTTCATAAACCGAAATATTTTCCCGTAAGAAATAATGGAAGTTGAAGTAATCTGTTCCACACAACCAAAAATACTAACTTAAAAATACATTTTATACAGAATACTACTCATATTTTTCATACACAAAACAATTAGGTACAAATATAAACCATTACCGGTTATTCTCATCGACTTCATTTTATGTGCCATCACTCCATGGTCACATTTATCGAAAGCCTTTGCGAAGTCCGTGTCTATCACATCAGCATTCTGTTTTTCTTCTAATGCCTCAGTGACTGTCGTATTGATCAAGTAGCTGTGAGGGGCACGATCTTCCCACTCAAAATCCATGTTGGCCTGGGTTATGAAAACCATTGGTCTCCAAGAAATTGGTGACCTGACTCCTAATCATTCTCTCAAATACTTTTACTATGTGTGATGTTAATGCAACTGGTCTATAATTTTTTGCCAATGCTTTGCTCCCTCCCTTGTGTAGAGGGGCTATGTCTGCTACTTTAAGTGCATCTGGTATCTCCCCCGTGTCCAAGCTCATCCTCCACACTATATCGAGTGCCTGTGCTACCGGCACTTTGCATTTCTTTATAAATATTGAATTCCATGAATCTGGACCCGGGGCCGAGTGCATGGGCATGTTTTCAATTTCTCTTTCAAAGTCTAGTACGCTCGTGTTGATATCCGTTATATTTACAGGGGTTTGGATATCCCGCATAAAGAAATTGTCTGGATCTTCCACTTTCATGGTGTTTATTGGAGTGCTAAACATGTCCTCATATTGCTTTTTTAGGATTTCACTAATTTCTTTGTCATCCTCCGTGTATGAACCTTCACTTGTACGAATAGGTCCAATACTGGCAGTGGTTTTTGCTTTTGATTTTGCATATGTGAAAAAGTATTTTGGATTTTTCTTTATTTCCTGAATTGCTTTCTGTTCCTCACTTTGATATGAGTTTCAATTTCAGCTCGATTCACGTTGTGGTAGCAACTGGTTAGGCATTTACGGTCAGTTATCTTGAGATGATTCCGGGGCTTAGCGTCCCCGCGGTCCAGTCGTCGACCAGGCCTCCTTTTTGTTTGCACACCCCTAGGAAGCAGCCTGTAGCAGCTGTAACTTCCAGGTAGCTATTTACTGCTAGGTGAACAGGGGGCATCAGGGTGAAAGAAACTGGCCAATTGTTTCCGCCTACACCGGCGATCGAACTCGGAACTTCAGCACTATGAATCCCCTTAGTCATTTACACGCATTTACACATTTAGGTCAGTCATGCATTTACAGTCAATCAGACTACCGTGTGTTTACCTTATGATGGTTTCGGGGCTTAGTGTCTCCACAGTTGACTGGTCAATCGGGCTGTTTGACGTGACTGCTCGCGGCCTGACTTATAAATCAAAGCCTGGTTCATCAGGTATACTTAGGTGTTCATCAAGTTTTCTTTTGAACACAGCGAGGGGTCGGCAAATTATATCCCTTATGAGTAGTGGAAGCGTGTTGAACAGTCTTGGTCCTCAGATGTTGATAAAGTTCTCTCTCAGGGTACCTATTGCACCTCTGCTTTTTTAACGGGGGTATTCTGCACATTCTGCCATGCCTTCTGGTCTCGTGTAGTGTTACTTCTGTGTGCAAGTTTGAGACCAGCTCCTCTAGTATTTTCCACGTGTAAATTATGACTCTCTCCTGCCTGAGCTCAAGAGAAAACAGATTTAGGCATTTTAGTCGGTCCCAATAGTTTGGATGTTTTACTGAGTGGATTCTAGCAGCAAAGGATCTCTACACACTCCAGGTAAGCAATTTCTCCAGCTTTGAAAGGGCTGTCATTGTGTAACAGTATTCCATTCTAGAGAATACTAGAATGGATACTCTTCAGCATCTTGAGAGTATCATCATTGGCATAGCATCTCTAATTTGAAAAGTTCTTGTTATCCAACCTGTCATTTTTCTTGCCATTGTGACTGCTACTTTATTTTGTTCTTTAAAGGTAAGGTCTTCCGACATGAGTACAATGGAACCTCGGTTCTTGTTGTAAATTTATGAGAAACTCTGTTCGGTAGTTGTAGTTTGTTTATACACGTACAGGGTCCACAGCAAGCATGGTGCTTCATTTTACCAGTCTCCCGCCTAGTGATGATCGCGTTTGCATTCTCTGTGAAGAATTTTATTGTTTTTGTGCTTTTTGGTTTCTGAACATAAAAGTTCTTATTATATATATATATCATGCCATGGGTACCAATTAAGTCAGTGGTAATGTTCAACCTAAGAACATAATTGTGAGGATGACGATAGAGGAAAAACAAGAGATCATTCATAGTGAGAATGTGATGTCTCACTACAGACAAGTGTTAAAATGTAGGGAAAAACAAGTGTCTATAGACAGATTCTTAGTAAGACAAGCAAGCAGTGAGCCACAACCAGGTCCTAGTGGTATGCCTGCAAAAGTAAGAGCAGATAAGAATGAGTAAGAGCAGTGGTGCAAGTATTGTGCCCTGGGGTACAGGGCTTTTCACTTCACTTGGACTTGATCTTGTTTGACTGACTGACTGACACCATAGTGTACTGTACTTTGATCGACAAAATGCTAAACACATTTTTTTACATGTATACAAGAAAAAAGCACACTAACAAAAGGAAGAGTTTACATATGTTAGTCAATTCTCCATAACAACCCCCACCAGAAAACTTTTATATTCAGCATTAATAATTTATAACATTCATAATAACCAATTCTTTAAGAGGGACTTGTAATTTCTGATGAATTTAGATCTACTGCTGCAATGGGTGACTGTTGCAGTTACTAGGTCTGGATGACTGTTTCAGGGTGTTCAAACCTTATCTACACATTTGGTATGTTGCATATCCCCATGAATGACATTTGGCCATCCAACCATAGCTGCACATGGCAGGGATGGGGTGAAGCAATCTCTGATGGACACTTGAAGTACATAGTTGATACATGAGCTTGCAAGTTCATTACACAACCTATCAATAAACAATAAATGTACCTTGGTGTGACGGGGAATACTCTGGAGTGTGGTCTCTACCCTGGGCAAGAATTAGGTCCACTGCCTCGTCCACCTTTTGTCGAAGAGCATCCTCACTAGCAGAGAGCAGCAGGAGCTGAGCGTGTGTCAGTTCCAGCAACATCCCTGTTATTTTGCTCGCCAGAGACTGTTCAAAAGCAAAACAGTTACGGGTAAATTAACTAAATACCACACATTCAACCAAGCTACCAATAGCAGAATATCCTGAAATAACAATATTTTACAATTATCAGCAAGAAGTGCTGTATCAAAATAAGAAAAATATGCTTCACTACATGAATAATGGTGCATTATCAGACTTTTACTCTATTACTGAAGTGCCACACTGGATTTATATTGTGGGAGGCCAGGAAAAGAAAAAATTATCATAGGTCATTGCTGTGAGCTATGAACTAATTCTATTGCTTTACTGTGATGAAAATAAGGCATTACTCAAAAAATAGATGAATGAAAACTGTTAGTATTGTCAGGATTATATCTATGTTAGTTAAAGTAATAATCCAGACAATATTTTCTAACAATATCATAGATATAGTGAATCTTGAGGTTATCTCGAGATGATTTCGGGGGCAAGCGTCCACGCAGCCCGGTCCACGACCAGGCCTCCTGTTACACATCCCCAGGAAGCAGCCCGTAGCAGCTGTCTTACTCCCAGGTACCTATTTACTGCTAGGTAACAGGGGCATCAGGGTGAAAAACATTTTACCCATTTGTCTCCACCTCCACCAGGGATCGAACCCAGAACCTCGGAACTACTAATCCGAAGCGCTGTCCACCCAGCTGTCGGGTGCCCTGTGTTGAGAAAACAAATCTAACACCCTTTTATAAGAGGGTCAAATGTCCAATGTCTGCAAGATTATCCTTAGTTATGTAACAGTTGACTAAGGTTTGTCACCCAACAAATTGTTTCAACTCAAGAAACAGATGGGGTCAACAAGTTGTTTGGATGCAGAGGCAGTATCATGGCGAGTTGGTGGCATGATTTAGTTTTCAGGGAACTGAATGGAGGGGCTCAGTTCTAGGTGAGGTCATGATGCTGGCCTCTTAGTCAGCACAGTCATGTTACAACTGAATGGTCTTGGGTTGGAGTCTTAGAACGAGATGTTTGGCCATGTTTCCTTACACCTAATGCAATTGTTCAACTAACAGTAAATAGGTTCCACAGGAGTTAAACAACTGTTGTGAGTTGCATCCAGGAAAAGGTCAGTAGTTAGCCTATATAACCTCATAAGCCTAGCATGATTCCTGTTCTTGGCATTGGTAACCATAGGCATTAGGCATAACAACAATGCTGGTTTTGTAAAGAAATTTGTTTGCTCATTTATCCATATATATGGAGAAACACAATATATTTACACAAATCTAAAAAGTGCTGTTCCCCAGGCCCTGACGTGTGTGAATACAATGTCATACAGTGCACCATCATACCATAACAGTACTGTAACCATTAACACTACTTACCGGTCTGAGACCCTGAACTTTAGGAAAGAGTGCTTCTCCAATTTGCAACATGTTGGAAGGTAGGTGTTCGTTGCTGGTCCCATCTCCTGTCATGTAAAACGGCCGAGCATCGACCGAGAGTGTCTTACGAGCTTCTCTTCTTTGTAATGAACGCGAAGATGATGCACCTTGGCGACGGTCTCTGTCACGCCCCTTATATTGACCGTACAAGCTGTATCGTACCACCGATAGCCCAACCTGTTAATAGAAAAAACTAACGTGAACAAAAATTATGATTTCTATCTACATGAACCCATTTGGATAATCAATTATCAACATTTTTAAATAAAAATATAAATATTGGTTGAGGATGAGTTGTGTAATGTCATCTAAAAGTCTGGAATTAAATTTTAATTATCCATCACGAGTATTTGAAAAGCAAACTTTAAAATAAATTCTGAATTTTTAAATCAGATGATCAAAGAAGGCATCCTTGATCTTGGTGCTGGAATACAGTATCTCACGCACACACACACTGCTGCACAGTTCAACCTGCCCATGTATGCAGTGCATCTGAGTGAACAACTGAGGCTCCAATCAGCACCACCTCAACCTGAGACAAGAGGCTTATACAGTTTGGCACCCAACCACTGAGCTGTGACGAGTTCATGACCACTGAAGATAAACTCCCCTCCTGAAAATACGAAACATCCTGCATTCGTTACTTATAAATACAAGTACGGTGCAGTAATGGCTTTAACTAGCAGCCAAGCTGAGAATAAACACAGATGAAGTTTGAGCAGAATGAACAGCTAACAAAATGTTTAACCCTTGTGTTGCTAAGGGCTATTTGGCCATTGTCACCCACAGGCACATAAAAAAAAAGATCTTCTAAACCTGTTAATTTGTGTTCCCAAATTAAAAAAAAACAAAAAAAAAGGCACCGACTCAGCATGCGTCGGAGGTGGTCTGCTCAGCCCCAGCTGTCAGGCAGGAGTGGCCACAAACAGAATTAACCTAATTACTGCAATGTCTCTGATTTATTTTTCTTCGTTTTTTTGATGTAATATTATTCAATAGTGTGATGTGTGATATATCAACTATATAACATCATATAACAAAATGTGTGAATCATCACTGTACTCAAAATTATGGTATGCATATTACGGATTCAATTATTGTGTTCATAAAACAATTAACAAATACTTTGTCCGTTATTACACTATATACACAGGTTTTATATACGTATCTGCATGTTTTGTTCACAATAACGAACCACTAAGTTGATATTGCGAGTCAAAAAGCAGCGAGGTGTAGCCACCACATCTGCCAGTCAGCCTCTCGCTGCCACTCCCTCCCTCAATGACTCCTCATTCGCCCACATTCTCCTCCCACCATACTGTTTTTGCTTTTATTCACTATATACAGACGTTATATACAAGTATCTACATGTTCTGTTCACCATAACTGTTCATCTAAGATGGATAGTGCCCAAAGAGCATAGTGGCCACCCCTACCCAGCATGATATCATGCAGATGTTGCCACCTTCACACAGAGATTGAACAACTGGGCAAGCACGACACAGACCGAGCTATTGGGTATTTATCTAGCCACTGAATACCTTAAGCTCAATAGTGGTGGAGTTATTTTCTGTGACTCAAAGTGATCTGCAGTCCTTAAATAACCCATCACAATGTATGTCGGAAGTAGCTTGTAATATTAAATGGAATGTAATTTTTGCCAATGATAATAATTCTTGTATAAAATTTGTGTGGATCCCATCCCATGTTGGAGTTGAAAAACATGACTTTGTAGATCAATTGGCCAATGAGGCTTGCAGGAAAGAAAACATTGATTATGACTTTGGACTATCTAATGCAGTTATTAGAAACATACAAATTAAAGAAATTAATTCAGATTTAGAAGAACTAAGAAATGCACAGAGACCTGAAAGCTGCAGTATTAAAAGTTATGACAAGTTCTGTAATAATAGGTATTTGTATGGTCAGCACAGTAATCGGACCAGGCAATGTGATGTAGTAATTGCGCGAATTCGCCTTGGCTATAGACACATCTGGCAGGTTAGTGAGGCTGAGCCACTACCAGAATATTCAGATTGTAAACTCTGTGATAAACCTTTAATGCATTCACTAGAACACTATATTGATGAATGTGAAACCGTAAAGGGCTTTAGACCTCCTGGCCTATTGTACCACCAACTGTGTAACTATTTTATTGACTCAGGTGTTCTGGACGACATCCTAACAATTTACCCAAAATTTGCTTGTCCATTTTAAAGAATGAAGAACAATTTTTATTTATATTCTAAGCTGTATCACTTATGAACCCATCCCTGCCCTTGTGTGGCAGTGCACAATAGAAAGTTGTTTTCACATATCCACACATTAAAACATTGATTGTAACCATGATATATATGTGCTTCAGCCTACAGTTTAGACCTATTGTCTTATGTATGACCCTCTGTCCTGCGTGACAGTGAATACTAGCATTATCCTCAATTTAATAAGACTATCAAAATCCTCAGATTAGGCAAAATTGTAATTAATTTTGTCAATAAAGATGTTAATAATAATAATAACCTTCTTCACCAAAATGGTTTCTCCCCACACTCCTTTTGCTGTTATTACACTATACAGTATATATACACGTTATATATATGTATCTACATTTGTGTTCACCATAATGAACCACCAAGTTGATATGCTGAGTGGCAGTGACAGCCCGCCACTGGCTGTCACTCCCTCTCTCCCTCACCTCATCCAACTCACCACCGTTCTCCTCCCACCATACTGTTTTTGCTTTACTCACTATATACAGACAGTATATACAAGTATCTGCATGTTTTGTTCACATAGTGAACCAGTAAGCTGGTATAGTAAGTCCAGACAGTAAAAGGTGGTCACACAGTCAACAGACAACACTACCTCTCTCCCCACCAAGATTATTCCTCCCACTACAGCGCTAATTACCACAACAATCCTGCTATTATCAGAATCCTGGTCATTTTAATCACAGTCAGGGGTCTTCTGTAATACTATCATCGCTAAATAATAGCATGTACATATATATTATGGCATTTTTAGGCGATGCTGCTGTCACAAGCTGAACAGCAGTGCTGAGAGCTCATGCTGCGTGCATCAGCCTAGGTGGTTCACTAAGTACTGAGGACCTCACACCCGGGAATGTGGGCCATGATTTTTTTTTTAAATGGCGTCTGTTTACAACAGCCCTGATGAAGGTGAGGTGAACCCTGTGCATCCGCGGGCCATTTAAATCTTGCGTAGTACTCATCATATGATGTGATGCGCAATTTTGTGCAAGTTACTCAACACATCATTTGATGTGCTGTGTAGTTTAAGGATTAAGTCTGGCAAATTTAAGAGGGTTGTGTGCACTAAACAAAAAGTGAGAAAAAAAAAAAAAAAATTGTCATGATACTTTGAAGACTCAAAATATCATTTTGCCTGTTGTGCTAAGAGTAAGTTATAAAGCAATACGGAGGAGTGTTACTAGTGTTGATGATACAGTTTGGGAGAAGTATAGAATAGTGATCCAGGATAAATAGATGAACATTTGTGTGAAGTGGGTATTGAAATAGGAAGCAAAGATGCATTAAATCTTTTACACACACAAACTACAATTATGTGACATCAAATGAACAAATCCACAAGGGCCTTCATAAGGGTTCAAACATATGCGCTGGATGTTCTCACACATGCTCTAGTCAACTGTACTATGACATGGTAAAAAAAATTGCAACCAGGAATGCTACTGCCCCCATGAGGATCCCGAGTGTGAAACTGGGGTTTCACACAATTCCCCTTATGCACTAACGCATTCGACCAAATAGTTCTACCTCTGACACCTCTAGCACATAGGTTTGAACGCTCATCACGACCCTTGTAAATTTGTTCATTGGATGTATCACGTTATTGTGATTTGTGTGTGTGTGTGGGAGTAGAGGAGCCAGAACCTTCAAAAGGTAGTCAACAAGTAGGAGTCTGGAATAATACAATATGGACTGTGAAGTGCCATGTATATACATATACCTTGCATATATATTTCTGGGAGGGCCCCCCCTTGATAGCTTATCAAGTTAATGCTGGTACAGCCGAGCCTTGGGAAGATGCACTAAGCATATCTGGACTGGGACCAGAATCTGGCTCTCTCTTGAGGCAAGGGGAGATTGGGGATAAAAAAAATCATCCCAACATTAGGTATATAGGCAAATACACCAGAAAACATAAGCACAACAAGAGCCAATACCAAGGCAGCTACCAAGAAGTAACACTACACCCAACCACCACCACCAGGTGGTAGCCCAGGTCACTAGGGGGACTAGCCAGCGTGTGGTGGCACTTTTTTTTATATTGCTGACAAAGGGCAACAGCTACCTGACCCAATGTCTTGGTCTGATAGCCAAATGTCTCAACGAATGTTCCAGATGGGGAAATTGTTTTTTTTATACACATGGTAAAACTCTCTTATTGCTGTGGACAATTATTTACCATGAAGCAAGCATTTCTTTCTAAAGAAGAAAATAGGATAAACAATGCCATAGCTATAAAGCATGAGCAAATCAGTAGGAGCCAATAGGAGGATTTGAACCCACTCTCTTGGCACCCCCAAGTGTAGATGACCACGCCACAACACTGTCGAAAACAATGTAATCTGGGATTCCACCGAATCCTCTAGGATTCCTGAAGCTTATAACGGAAGCCCAATCAGGGTTTTAAGCATCAACCCCATGCACTCTGGCTAATGGCCCAGTAATTTTCCTCCAACGTGTCTCATCAAATGCACAATGTGACTTCATTAATGTGATATTCACGGTAAAGAAAAAAAAACAGCAGTTAAAAGTAATGTGTTTCTAAGGGGACTTTGGTGGCTCCCCTGGCTCTCCATGCCTGCTGCATCAGTGGACTTTTATTTGTCTCGCAACTGAGGGTTAGTTGACATGGGAACCAGCAGCTAAATTGGAGCTGCCACAAGATGGTGAGCAGCAGTAACTAAGGGAAGTGACTTAACTACTGGATGGATTGCTGGCTTTCATGTTTTGTTTTGTTTATTCTTTTGACCTTGCTGCTGTCTGTTTTGCTTTGCTTCTTTCTCAGGCTTGATTTTATGGTGAAAAAGAAGGATGGAAGGATCAGACCCATTGGTGTCGGTAATACCCTTTGCCGACTTGTTGTGAACGGAAGCACCCATCATTCTCCAACTCAATCAGCTTGGGTTTGGGGTGCCCCAAGGCAATGAAGCAGCATCCCATGTTTCAAGAGCCTATATCAATTCTTCCCAAAGACAAGGAAGTAGTAAAATCTGATTTAAGAACACTTTCAACTTGGTCAAATGGTAAGTAGTTCTCAAGCAGTCCAAGAACATTGCCCAAACAGGTTACAGCAAAGAATCAGTGCTCCTGTTTGAGGAAAACAAAGTCAGTTTAGCAGAGGGAATACAACAAGATCCCCCATTGTATCCTTTCTCTTCTGCATAGTGCAGCTTAAATCACAAGCAGACTGACCAGCGAGCTCAACATCTGGTTCCTGGATGATGGAACTCTGGCAGGCACACACAGATTCCGTTAGCAGACCTACAGCTAGTGAAATCCCAAGCAAAGATCTTGGGGTGTCGTCCTTAGCTCCTCCAAGTGTGAAGTAATTTCATGCAATAGTCATTAATGCATTTTTTTTATTAATGCATTGGAATCAAATATACCCTAAGTATATTTGATTCTAATATATTCTAAGCACCTTTGGGCTGCAATGCCACTGATGCATTTCTGGAGGAAAAATTCAATGACCTAAAAGGATGAAAGTGAAAACAGGGAACATGATGCCCATGATGTCCTGTACCTTCTCACAGGGTGCCTAACCTTGCCCAGCCTAATGTACTGCTGAAGGTCCACACTCACTTTTGGCAGCCCACTACTGTCAATATGATGACCTCTTGAAGTCAATATTCAGGAAGGCACTCAACCTAAACTTAGATGACAGTGGGAGCAAGTAACACTACCAGCATTCTTATCCTCATGCATCGCTGCCAGTGAATTGGTAGAAAAGATTTGACACTTGGTAGGAACTCAAGATATGAAGTTTACTGAAAGAGCCAGTGCGTGGGACACTATTGCACACCCTCACCCCATCCACCAGCCCCACAAGGTTACAGACAGGCTCACTTTTTCCATAATGTAAAAATAAGATTGCCTCAACAATGCTAAAAAAAAAAAAAAGTGTTGAATGTACAGTAATTAAATGCCAGGTCCTTAGTCAATGGAGTTCTGCCTACAGGGGACCATGAGCTAGAACCTGGCCCCCCCTCAGAGGTGCAGGGAGCAATGGCACTAGAATAGCTCCGTGATTGAGGGTTTACCTTATCTGCCATCAACCGGGCTTAGGCACTCAGCAAGGTAGGCATAACTAAACAGACCCACAAGGTACGAAAAATGCAAACGAAAGTTGAACAGAGAGGTAGAACTCCCCCAATTCCCAAGGAAACCAGCAAACATCACACTATGCCGTCACATTGCTTGTCCAGACCCACCGCGACAGCTCCCATCTCAGTTCAGACACTAAACATCAAAAGCAAAAGAAAACTGCCGACCAGAGGGAGGGAGGGTGCCAGGGAGCCTCCGGGACTCGCCCAGAAAATGCATTTCATTACATTCAATGGTTTTCTGCGCGGAGCCCCTACGGCTCCCTGGAGCAACGTAACCAAAGATAAGAAAAAGAGGGACACATCCAGGAGGCGGCCGCCATACACTCCTCAACTCAAAAAGCAACACAAATGGCTGCAACCTGCGACCCAAAGCAACACACGAATGCCCAGGAGCAGGAATGTGAACCAAATATTGGGTGGCCAGGACCCTGTACGACCTCCAAAATCCCCGCGCCCGAATAACAGCCCACGACATATCGCCAAAGATGGCAGCCAAAGCAGCAAACATCCGAACGTCATGGGCAAGAAGATAGACCGCAGGCTGGCTAGACGTAATAACCTGGGAGATCCGAGCCCTGGAACAGGGAACAAGGGAAAACCAAATCGACCTAAAGCGCATCCCCAGTCATAGAAGCCGAGGCGCACAGGCAATGGTGAAGAGCCGTAACCGGACAACACATGATGCACCCCCCAGCCTGACCAACTAATCATCAATGACCCAAGGATCCCTCTGGAAAGCAGCCTTCTCATTCTTCATCAGAAAAGAAGGACAAGGCTGCAACCAAACAAACTGACTACCAAGACACAAGGAGCAGAAACCCCTGCATCAGAGGCAACCATGAAGCTCACCGACCAGACCCCCAGAGGCCAATGCCAACAGAAAACGATCCTCTGAAAAACAAACTTGAACCCAAGGGGCCACCATGAACCGAGAAGAAGAGATAGAAGAGCACCCTGTCCAAGGACTAGGACGGCTTAGGCGGTGCAAGAGCAAGCCGGAGGTGAAACAAAGCACAAGAAAGCTTACGGAATGGGGCAGAAGTGACATCGACCTTGAACGCAAGCTACAGCGGCTCCGCCAGTGCCGCACAATATGAGGCGACGGTAGTAGGCATTAAATGACTGTCCTGAAAGAGCCAAGACAGATAGGACAAGACAACCCAATCAGAAACAGAAAACTTTCGAAGAGAGAAAATGGCAGAAAGAACGCCCGGAAACATCAACTGTCGCCGAAACGAAGCTCTCGGGTCGGATACCTTCAACAAAGCCACCTGATCACCAAACAAATGGTGATAAACCCACGACAAAAAGACCAGAAGTGAAGAGTGGAGGAGAAGACCGAGCCAGCTGTGTACTGGATTGGACCGAACTGCTGAAAGAGGCGGAGCTGTGGAAAACGCTCCAGGTGCAGACACTGAGCAAGCAGTGCCTGAAACCAAGCCTGGGGTGGCCACCAAGTGGTCACTAGGACGACTTTCTCGCTGGAAGACTCCAACTTAACCAGAACCCGAAGCAACAGCCGAACTGGGGAAAAGGTACAGGTAACCCCACCTCGACCAGTCCTGCCGAAAGGCGTCCACCACGAAGAATCCACAATCAGGGAAAGGGCACCACAAACAGGAGACACCACGACCACGCCGACACAAAGAGGTCCACCCCCGGAAACCAGTACGTCTGGCAGAGCCAACAGGAGGAGTTGGCATCTACCATCCATTCCATGGCAGGAAAATGAACCGAGACAGGCCATCCGCCAGGATGTTGGACACACACTGGATATGATGTGGGGGCCACTCAGGGAGGGGGGGGGGAAGAGACACCCCAGATGTGGGGCCACTCAAGGTGGGGGGAAACACCCCAGATGTGTGGCCACTCAAGGTGGGGGGGGGGGGGAATACCAGAAAAAATAGCATTAAGAAATTTACAAGAAAGAAGAGAAACACTTAAAGATAAATAACAAATGATATGAACAGTACAGAAATTGCTGCAAGAAAATTAATTTATTGTAAAAATTTATGAATTCCAGAAAAATTAGTAATATTTAACTATTCTTCAAGAACAAAGTATATTCTGTAGTGTCCATCTATACTGTCCCTATCTGATTCAGAGGTTCTGCCCACTGCCTTTAACAGGCATCACAATACACAGTAGCTACCTAGTTATGTAGACAAACTTGAGAGAATGACATACTTCTTTAGGCCTCACCTGGCATGGCTCCAGGCTGGGAAGCTTCTCTCCCGATAACAAAGCCTCGGCAATGGCCGTGTAGAAAGATCTGGCCACCCCGGAGCCCTCTCCGGGCTCGTCACGGAATGTTACTTTAACGCGATTGACTGCTAGAGGCGGAGACGACTGCGTGCCTCGTCTGTGGTAATTGTTGTACTGGGTATTGAGTTCCTTAAATGTCTGAGTAATTAACTGCCCTCTCTCACGATCAATCTGCAGGTAAGCATAGGATAACAAATGATAAATTGATGTTATTACTAGAATTAAATATTCCATGGCTACATACAATGCCCATTAAAAGTTATAATATATTAATGTGTTTAATTATGCTACATCAAAACCAAACATTCACCTTAGTGAGATTCAGGTCACGTTGTTGACAATTTCTAAGCTTTTCCATTTCTCTTCTAAATTTGGCCTCTTTAACAGGGAATCCACCAAGCTGAGCAATTATAGACCCTGGTTCAGCTCCAACATCATCTATGAACACTCTTCCAAACAACTCTAACGTCAATCTCCAGCGACCTAGGAGCAAGTCTTGAGATACTCCACTTCTTAACAATGCCGGTCTGTGGATCAAGATTAAAAAATAATCAAAATACATTGGTTCAACATTTAGCTTTCAGTACTGGAAAGTGTATCATCGAGACATTATGAGATGCATAATAACAATCACACATCAAATGGAACAATACCCAAAAAGGTATATTGTCAAACATACATACAGTAGCAAAGCCATTATGAACTTGGACGAGTGTGTTGGGTGGCTGGACATCAAACTGTCGAACTTCCCTCCATTCTTTCTCTCGCCCTCCATACCTCTAACCTTTTTTTTCTCACCCTTCAGCATCATTCTACATTTCCCTTTACCATGCCCCCCCCCCCCTTCCCTCATTCATTTTATTTTCCTCTTACCCCTCATTCATCCTTATTCTCTCACTTTCTCAGACAATCCTTAATTGATATTCTCATCCCTGTCTCTCTCACTCCCACTACCTCCCTTCCTCTCACTCCCACTTCCTCTCTCCTTTACTCCCACTCTCTCATTCTCTCCTCACCCCCCTTCAGAGGAACCATATTACATATAGTTCCCTGATTGTGTCACTAATTTATTTGCTCCATCTCCTGTCCTGTTCATGTCAGTTTGCAAGCTTTCTGGCACTTTGAATTTTTTAACTCAAACCTACGGCCTATTGTTCTCGGGATTACAGGTTTAAAACATCCTTTCTATGCCAGTTTATCACACTTTTGTATGTACAGTATAGTGAAATGACCGCTTTTTCTTCTATTAGCTTCGACATGTATAAATGCAACCAGCCTCTTTAGCATCATATCTTTACACCTATAATAATACTGTATATTGATAGCATTATAATATATGGATAGGTTATCTTGAGATGATTTCGGAGCTTAGTGTCCCCGCGGCCCGGTCCTCGACCAGGCCTCCAACCCCAGGAAGCAGCCCGTGACAGCTGACTAACTCCCAGGTACCAATTTACTGCTAGGTAACAGGGGCATCAGGGTGAAAGAAACTCTGCCCATCGTTTCTTGCCGGCGTCCGGGATCGAACCCCGGACCATAGGATCACGCATCCAGTGTTCTATCCACTCAGCCATCGGCTCCTTGGTGGCCGAGACACTCCAAGATACACAACTGCTGCATATTATTATTATTATTATTATTATTATTATTGAAAGTAGGAGCAATTTGCATGAAAGGTTTGTCGCCTGATGACTGCACCATTATAGATGTTGGGAGATGCGTTTATGTTGAGGATGATAAGAGTTTCTTGTTGCTTGTTGCATTGGGCTGTAGATAGAGGAGTGGCGACTAAAACAGAGGTGTATGTTAGAGGGAGACTTGCCGCACCGTAGGGCAGTATGTATTGTGTTTACGACGTCAGCTGATCCATGGTGTTGTGACGAAGCTTTCGTTTCCTGTGTTAAACTGTTGATGGTACCAGGTATAAATGTGGCCCTATTTGTTGGTCGACTGGAGAGATTTAGCCAGTGCTTTGACTATTTGGTATTTTGCCTATAACAAGTGGTCACCTCGTCCCAATATATGCTCAATGGTAAAGGGTATTTTAAGTGTGATAAATACTTGTTTGAAATTTACTCTGGCACTATGATGTCGAAAGCAGTGTTCGATTGTTTCAGTCACCTGACAGTGGATGCAGAGTTTGTTGATGTCTGTTCTGTACTCAACAGATGTGTGCTGCCAGTTTGGTGTGTTCCAGCCTTAATATGATCATCATTACATCAATTTCTCTGCTTTTATATCCGACATGTTTCTAAGTTTCCCATTTCTTTTTTTTTAATGGACCCATAGTATAAGGGTGAGCATGACTTTTTCCATTTCGTTACAAAATCTTGGGCGAGGGTATTTTTGAAGGCTCCTTTACGTGTAACACGAGGAATTGGATGACGGATAATATGAGGTGTGTTGTGCATCGCTTTGACTAGTGTATCTACAAGTTCAATATGGAGAATACCACAATGCACTTGGAACCATTGGATAGAGGTGTCATAACTGTTCAATCGAAGTGCATGAAGTTGAAGGCCTAATTTGGGCATCTTGTATGTTGTGTTAAAATTTTTTACCATCTCTTCATCCATGAATTTAAGGGATTCTGAAATTGGTAAACATAATATATGCTCCACTATATTATGCCCTTGATGTGGGCCTCTCAAGAGTTATTTATCCAGAATCTACCCTACATCTTCCTTGTCCAATTTCTCTAAAATCTTTTCACATAATCTGTAGGGTGATTGTTCAGCAGAACATTATTGGGCATATTTCTCAGTGCAATTCCATTTGTTATGCATTGCTTTAAGTTATTTTGGTCTGTCATTTTCAAGGGCATAATTGTTTTAATTCATTAATTAGAAGCTTAGCATCATCCACAAAAATGTTCATATAACTATTCCTTCAGGTAAATAATTCTAGACCAGGGATTCTCAATGGAGTCAATATGAGTTCCACACTTCCAATTCTCAACTGTACCAACATCACAAGCAAAGGCACTCCACGTACAAGAGAGAATATTTATAATGAATTTTATGACAATAGGTTGCATAATAATTTTCATATAGGATAACATACTGTGAATTACTTCAGTTACTTTGTCTGCCTACGTCTTAAACTTTGGTCTGAAAAAATAAAATTATCTTGAAAGACAAATTATACCAATAGAGAATACTACAATGTTCCTCACTTCATGTGGTCATGTGTAGTATCTATGGTAACATTAGCCGACACATCGTGGGGTGCATGTAGACCCACTTCGGAACTCCGACTACCTCGACCATCCAAGGGAACAACAAGAAGGTCGGCTCCACCACGTCCACCAAGAGGACCCGTGGGTGTGCATGGCGTTGTGGACGCTGAAGCAGCTATACTCGATGGCAAGGACGCTGCTGTGCCAACCTGCAATGTTAGCACACCTTTAGATCAAACAATGTATATTCTGAAATAGATCCATGTAATATATATTTCTATCTGAATGAAAATTATAATGGCAGTCAGATTAAAGGAAAACCCAAAATAACATCCAACAGTAATAGCGACTAGAAAACTGTAATGCCTACTCAGTGGCTCTCCAGAGCTTATGCATGGCTACCACTTCCCAATTGTGTATGAAACTTGCTGTTTGAGCAAAGTGATTTTGAACACATTTGACTTGCACTGCAATTTGGTGGTGGGAGGGAAACACAGCAGGTAGTTTTTTGTTTGCAATAATTTTGACTTTTGTTTAGTATTTATTTGTACAAGCCTTATTTTTTAGTGTGTTTTGAGGTTTTGTAGCTCTCTTTTGGCCTATTACTAGGGATTTCCCTGTGTGTGTGTGTGTGTGTGTGTCTCTTTTTACACCTTGAGCATTCCCACCTTAGAAGGGATAGGACTCTGGTGCCTGCTCCTGGAGGAACATGGGAAAGGTCACTTGAAGTGATGGTCTTAGCCCCGGGGTGCCTGTACACAAGCTCTGTGGAGCTACTGACGAGTCCCCAGAAATAGGCATTTAATTTCACTCAACTTTCCATTTTTGGCATCGTGTAGAGGAACAATTAGTATACATATAGATACCAACAATAGTTTTGAATAATAATAAACATACCACAAATTGTTTATGAACATTTAGTGCAGCACGATTTGTGGGTCAATGTATGTATTTTTCGCATCAAACCTAACTTGTAATTTAACCAAATTTTAAAGTTTTTACTTTAAAATAATACTTTACGTTATTTTTTTAAGTTTTTATCATATGCCATATGAACCACATGTGCACATCTACAACACACCATATATTTATTACATTTTCCTGTACTTTCCAAATTACCAATCTAACCATTATTCGACCTGTGTTTTCATTTCTTTACACAACCATATAAATAAGAGCAATGCCTGAATGTGTAAATCTTTTACATATTCAACAGCGCCATGCATAGGCCATAATGCATATCCAATATTTTATTTTCCATCTATACCCAAGGATGGTAATTTTTAAGTGCAAAATGCTTAAAAATCTGCTCGTATATTGAGTGAAACTAAGAGGACCGAGTTACCACAGACAAGAAGATACGCGCTACCCCCCCCTCCCCTCGACACAGTTCATATCTCATTGACTTCATACAATGCCAGTACATCCAAAATCATACATAACTTACTAAGTTAAAACAATGACAAAATGATGAAAACATTAACAGTCCTCTTTATATTAAATGCAATCAATATCATTTTTATTGCAGACTTCATGCAATCAATATACATTTTAAAGATGACAAGCAATACAAAAACAACCTCCCCTCACCTCAGGCTTAAATGCATTTGAGACAGTTGATGAACCAACTCTGACAATAACACTTTTAACGCTGGATCTTGCAGGGGTTGACTCGGCTGGGTAAGAAGCACCACTACTGCTGTGATCAATTGCATCAGCCAAACTGCTCCCGCTTCGTCTCGGTGAGACAATGATTGGTGCTCTTTCCTGAGAGGTTTCTCCACTGTCCTCACTGACATCTTCATCCTGCTCAGCACAAACCACAATATTCTCACTAAAACATCTGTTCACTGCATTTCCCAAGGAATTTATAATATACAAATACTAGCCAATAGTTTTATAATATAATATTTAAATTAATAATCTTTCAAAGTCAAATATTCACTTATCTGTGGCAACATAATAGTATTTAATACAGTACCTTTAAATCTCTTAACTGTCCTGTCGTGTATAAAGATAGATCGGTGGGCTGGTGGTCCATTGTGCGTGAAGATCCCAACATGTGTGCATATGACTGCTGGGGAGTAGGTGGGTAGGGACCAACCATGTGCAGGTTTTCTAACACACCAAGCCGGGAAAGAGGAGCATCTAAAGGTGTTCTTGTACCATGTCCTGGAAAAAACAAAAAAATACAGCAATGATAAACTGCTAAAGGGTAGATACTTACAGATTCCTCCTCAAAAATACCAGCCATAAATCTTTCCTACACTTTCAACTTCAGTGATCAGAGACTGCAATAGCACATTAAATTCATATCAGTTTAAATGCCGGCTTCATTATCCCATATGTAATTACCTATGTTTAGTTACAGGATAAGACCTTCGCTTGCGGTGACCTGTCTTTTCAGTACCAGTACTCTGACGCTTTTGAAACTACTGATGGTTTTCATATTCACCACCTGCACACTGAACTTATTCCAACCATCTAGCATCGTTTTAAAAAAAAAAAAAAAAATCTAATTGTACCTGGATGAGGTTCTGGGAATTCTACTCCCCAAGCCCAACCCGGGGCCTGGCTTGACTTGTGAAAGCTTGGTCCAAAAGGTGGATGCTTGGAGCAGCCCACAAGCCCACATATCCACCACAGCCTGGTTAGTCCGGCACTTCTTGAAACAAACTATCCAGTTTTCTCTTGAAGACGTCCACGTTTGTTCTGGCAATATTTTTCTTATGCTTGCTGAGAGGATGTTGAACAACCGTGGGGCCTTTGATGTTCATGCAGTGTTCTCAGATTGTGTCTATGGCAACCCTGTTCTTCACTGGCTCTATTCTGCATTTTGTTCCATATAGTTTACTCTAGTATGTAGTTATTTTACCGAGTAGATTTGGGACCTGGCCCTTCAGCATTTTTCATGAGCATACAATTCAATACCTCTCTTTTCTCCTTTCTAGGGAGTACATTTGGAGGTCAAGATAGAAAGTCAACAACCAAGGGCCCATTGAGAAGGGTCAATGACTCGTGAACAGAATCAGGCAAGGTTTCTCGGGAGCAACCTCCTGAACACACCCATAAGTAACTGACAGTGGAAGGGTAGTACTAATAAGCACCCAGGGAAGGAAACCCTGAGCACATGCAGCCTGAATCACAACAGAAGCCAAGCCCACACAACAAAGCCTGATAGGAAACCTGCATGTAAAGCCAATACCAAAAGAAAAGAAAATACAAGCAATTGGCACTCACAATATGAAATTGAAGAGCGAGTGGCACTTAGCTTAAAGCAGAAGGGATTGCCACAATCTGACGGACCCAGAGGCAGTAGTAACGATCACAAAACTGATCAGGGAATCGGTTTTTAGTATACATATAGCTCGGCCCCTGCCCCATCCGAGGGCAGGGGCCGGGTTGCCTGGTGGTAGTTTTAGGTAAACCAACTAAGTGGTGGTAGATAAAACTAGAAACAGGTTCGAGCTAGTTTAGAGTGAACCTACTGTTTCATTTGAACCATTTGTAACTTGTTTGCCAGTTTCAATGCTTCCTTTTTGTGAACCTTGCAGTTGTCTGTAAAGCTTCGTTGACTTTCTGCATGCTTCTCCCAGTGGGGTGGTGGATTGTCAGAATCTGTCTGTGTGCCTCTGTGAGGGAAGGAGCCAGATTCTGGCTCTGGTGCCCAGTAGGCCAAAACAGAACTCCTGTGACTGATGTGACCTGTTAGAATGGAACAACCTCAGCAAGCAAGCCCAACAGGGGGCTCCCTCATGATGGTGGAGATTTAATAAAATAGATGTGATTGAAAAGGTTAAGGCTGAAACTAAAGAACTTGAGGACACATTTGAGACATGCAAGTGATACTAAACAGGAAAATAGGAGACATGGAAATAAATGACAAAGACTTTGCAGCAAGGTATTACATAGGAAATATACCGAGGTAGAGAGTATATTTCAATTAGATACATCGAATGCTATCAGAGTGAAGTAGGTACAGAAATAATTAGACAGGAAAGAAGATGCAAAAACTTATCTTCTACAGCTTGCCAGAACCACCCTGTGACACATGACAAAGGCACAAAAAAAAGACTGATCAGAAACAACAGGGGACACTACTTCATAAAGTATGGTTCAGTAATGAAAGCAGCGAGCCTGAAAATTGTGGGAGCGGACAGTTTCGGGAAGAACATCCACTATCGGCGAAGGTCGCCATTAATATCATTAACCCAGTGAAGTACATTTTGGCAAACAAGTGGTATATGAGGGACAAAAGTAACGGAGCCACAATGTACCTCCTGAGAAATGACATGTCCAGGAAAGAATGAAGGAGTCAAAGCAAGCTTGAGAATTAAAATAAGAATATCTAAAGGGTGAGAACACAAAACAAATAGGACCAGAGAGCCAGGCAAAAAGTATACTACCAACATCAACAAATTCGCAACACCTCTGAGACTAGAGCACATTCCTCACAACCCCATGTTTAGTAAGAAATACCAATTGTGGACATAGACAACAAGCAGAAATAATCCGCCAAGATTTATTAATACTAATAGATGAATTTCAAATATGGATATAGCTACAAAAACGGATACATAATACACACAGAAATCACAATAGCGTGATATATCAAATGAACAAATCCACAAGGGCAATGATGAGGGTTCAAACCTACCTACGGAATGTTCCCAGACATGCCGTAGTCAACTGTATTAGAACAGTACAGTTGACTAAGGCGCATCTGGGAACATCTTGTGGCTAGGTTCAAACACTCATCATTGTGGATTGTTCACGGATATACACGTCCCAAACGGATAAGAAATAATCAGGCAAGAGAGAAGGGCAAGAGTAAACAGGAGTGGCTCTTCCGCTACAAATACAATGAGGTGTTGGGTATATACTAGTAACACTACTTACCGGCATTGTGTGTGTGCGCACGAGGGATTCCAAAGAGCTCTTCTCTGCGTGCATTTGGTTGTAGGAGGTGAGGTTTGTCAGCAAGCGGCAATGCCTCCTGCAAGCTACTGCTAAACACATCAGCACCTACTGACCCCAAGCACAGTGTTGACTGTGACCTCTGAAACAAATTACACGATATAAAAATATGTTTTCTTAAAAAATATTTAGAAACCTATCAGTGGAGTAGTGCAACCAGACAATATTAGCACCGATCCCATTCCAAGTAAAGTGTCCCTTAAAATTTGAAGCCGAGGCACAAAATTAACACCAAATATAAATAGTGAGTTTCAGCATCACTGTATTAAGTCACAAATATTCAAAGACAGTACCAACATGTCCCAAATATATAATACTTAACCAAAGACAAAAGTTATCATGAGACAACTAAGACTAATTATGACATAAGTCATTCACAAGAGAATATATCTTACCCTTTTACAAATGCATCCTGAAAACCCATACTCTTCTCCAAGACTGGAGTGTTCAAAATGTATAAACAAAAATAAAATTAACAGAATAAAATGTCTTTTCTGGGAAGACCTCAGTGGCTTCCTGTAACTAGCCACTCAAGATAGTGCCATGCCAATCATATCATGACAGGCCCTTATGAGCCTATAAAAGCCTACTGGGAACCAGAGCCCAAAACCTGGCCCCCCCCCCCCCCTCATAGAGGCCCAGACCTATGATCATCACCAAGGAACAACCTCCAGAAATGCAGTGAAGCAAAACAAAAACATCAAGGTAAATGAAAACAAATCGGGAACGATCCACCTAGTTAGGTCATTCACCCATTAGGAGCAGCTGCCTGTCACCAGCAGCATCGTCCAATAAATTCCTTCAGTCGAGTCAATCGAAACAAGCCGAAGCACCTGGAGATGGACGGTAGGGTCCAGATACTACAAACTACATACCTAATTAACTGAATGTAACTAACCCTTACTTATCTCTCCACATCCTACAGGTCAACCTGAGCTTTGCTGTTATTATGATCATTAATAACTAAAGGACCATTATCCTTTATATCCATCCAAGATGGTCCAAAACATCATAGTTTTTTCCATTCTCAGATGTTTGGTTTGGTCATCATTAATAGCTATCTGGATGAAGTTCTGGGAGTTCTTATACTGTACTCCCCAAGCCCGGCCTGGCACCAGTCTTGAACTAAATCAGTACTATAACTGCCTTGTCAAAATTTAATACAAAAATTATATATCTGTTTAAACTCTTCAGTTTAAAATGACTTACTATGTACAGTTGCAAAGCTTACAGTTTCCAAAAAGTCATGTAATGACTGTCAATAATTTTCTAATCTTAATTCTCTCCTATTAAAATGTTATATGTACCATATTGCCATGGTACAAGGCAATATGGGTGGAAGTGGGTTGTAAGAAGACAGCAAATGTATTAGTACTGTATACTATGTATATGCCAATTCTCATGGTGCACTGTTCACTTGTCCTGAGAAGCAGTGGGGGTGCACTGCTGTGATGACTAACAATAAATTTTCAAATAAAAAGCTACACACACACAAAAATATCATTTGACGAGAATCAATAGATATTATTCAACTATATTTTCACCTGGAAAAATGTGTGTTTTCTTCCACGGGAGTTTGACAAGTTAGAGTCTTCATCCGCAGATTCGCTGTCGCCGGCAGAGGGCGTAATAGACGGTAGGTCATCCATATCGTCTTCATTCTCATTTTCATCGCGTTCCCACGAAAACCCGGTGCACTCTGCCCCTCCGGAGTCTATGTGAGCATTACTGTCACTCTCGCAACACCGCAGATAGCTGATGAGTGCATCAAACACATATGCTGCAACACAACACAAACAAAATAGTTGTTATTGAGCCGAGGACAATTATGGGATACACAGTAATGTATTTATTTATCTGTTCAAAGGAAAAATGAAAAATATATAAATATATGCTGTGTATTACATAATTCTCCTTGGCTCAATAACATTTAGTTTGTGTTGTACTCACATAGTTGTGCTTGCAGGGAAAGAGCCAAAGCTTAAGCAAGCACACACACACGTGAGTACAACACAAACCAAATAGTTTGAGCTAAAGAGAGGTATGGGATACACAGAACCGAAAAGATAAATGAAAAAGTGTGTATATTCAATATCTACAATAGAAGCACTTTATGAATACAAAGTTATTATTTTATATATTGAAAACAAAGAATTGCAACCAGTAATATTGCAGGAACAAGTTGCAGCTTTTGAGCGGCAACTAAGTCCTGTGCTTACGTTCCTAATATTTTAGCCTCTCACATTAATTGGATTGCACATCAGAACAAAGTTTCCTTACAGCTACATTTTCCTGTGCTTTTCTAACAACCTTCATTTCCTTATAAAATAATTAATCTACAGAAAGATTTGAGAAAATTGTGTAAGAGCTTTATTTGTCCTGATTGCCCATCAATGGTCATTTAAAGTTGCACTGCAAATCAGATTTGCACTGAACAAAGAGAATACTTAAATATCTAATGAAAATCTTACTAACCTAACAAATTCACAAAGACCTGAAAGTTGTAGCATTAAACATTATGATAAATTTTGTGAGGAGACATTCACACATGGGACAATTAGAGCAAGGTGATGTTATAGTGGCCAGAATACGCCTGGAATATAGACGTATCTGGCAGCTTTCTCAAAACCCAAATGTCGAGTACACAATGTGTCAACTTTGTGAAAGAGAAAACATGTAATCCCTTGAGCATTATATTGTAGAATGTCCCATATTGACTGACTTTTGCTCTTGTGGGCTAAGGTATGCTGAACTCTGTAACTACTATATGAGTACTGGAACACTTGCTATATAGGACTTGTACCCAAGATTGACTATGTAATGCATCAGTTATACAATGTGATGTAATTATATAACCTGAGCTTGTAAAAGCATCTTAATCACCTTCAGTGGTTAAGTGCTTAATATCACTAGTTTCTATAGCAGCTATCTTACCTTGTCAAAGTAGGAGAGAAATGTGTGTGCGCTTGTGTGTATATTATATATATTTTATATTATATCATATTATATTTTATATATGTATGTACATATATACTGGATATGTGGAAGCTGGTCAGAATTGCATTTTACCTTTGTAAATGCCTATTAATGACAATGTAAAAGACATCTAAAACCCTATGTAGGGCAGACGTAAATCTGTGTATTTATGTATGTAGGTTAAATTAACATTTTAAATAACTACAATCATCTTCTGTGGTTGATTGTTCACAAATCACTGAACTATATGTTTAACAGATCTCTCGCCCTATCCATGGAGGACAGAAGAAATATATATATATACTGGTTAGCATTTTAAATATGTGGCCACATCTGTGGTAAAAAAAAAAAAAAAAAAAAATTGGCCAGGGAATCCTAGAAAATACTGCAAATGGTGAATGTTAGGCAAGTCGTATAGTATGCAGCCCCAGCATGGAACCCATACCTCACAAGGCACTAGAATAACATTCAGAAGGTTCAATAACTCTCTACAAGACAGGTACCAGAGATAAGAGAAATGAGCCATGAGGATGGGTTAAGGAAACTATAACTAACATTTTGAAAGAATACCAAGATCTGATATGATCCCAACATATAAAGAAATAAGACTGACCTTCAAGGGCAAGTATGTAAGAGTACTGAAAAGTCCAGAGATATAAATGTGCTAGCTACAAAAGGTGAGGTGGGGTTCTACAGTAGAAAATTTTCTCCTGGAAGAGAAGGGTACATTTGCACACACATTTACTCCCTACCTTGACTATCTCAGTCTACACAACAACAAACAAGGAATAATCAAGCACACAGTCTCATATCCAACTCCGACTTATTGACACGTACACAAATTAAACAAACTTCGGTGACAAAAATATAATCTTGTAAAAAGCTTTGTGGAAAATGATCAATACTGTGTATCTCACCAATATGTTTAAGTGACCCAACATCAATGTCGGGCAATGTATCACAATGTTCATTCTTGTGGGCTCGCAGCAGTGATACAACGTAAGAAAGGGTGTCTCTCCTGGCATTTTGTGGGTCAGCGGTGGTGGTAGTAGTACGAGTTCCACGTCTTGCACTCTGATACCTAGACAGGGGTCCGGTGAGAGGATCCCGGATGAAAGGTAGACCCGTCCGACCAGCACTTCGTTCCCGAGGACGAGAAGCAGGGATTCCAGTAGGTGTTGTGGCTGAACTGGTACTTGTACCACCACTTCCTTCAATGAGCTGATTTAATTCACGGCCAAACCTGCCAGAAGAATATTGATTAATAGCAAAACAACACCTCTGTTTTCTTTTAGTTTTTTCCACAGAATGATATTCTAGTTCAATTTTAGTTCAACATATGAAATCACTAATCTCTTCTTGACTTTACTCTCACTCTACCCTTAAAGTGCAGCTTTTATCAAAGGAATCTGCCTGTGCACAGAAAACAAAAACAGATTACATTTCTTATAATATCATATTTACATTCAAAAAGGAAAACAAAAAATCCATTTAATGCAGTGAAGCGTCTTTCTGGGCAAGCTCTGATGGCTTCCTGAAGCTATGTTGCCGATACAACTTCTCATTACTTAGCTACACTAGTCATAGGAGTTTCATTGCACTACCGGAGATTAAGGGCCAGATTCACGAAGCAGTGACGCAAGCACTTACGAACCTGTACATCTTTTATCAATCTTTGGCGGCTTTGTTTACAATGATTAAACAGTTAATGAGCTCTGAAGCACCAGGAGGCTGTTTATAACAATGACAACAGTTGGTTGGGAAGTTTTCATGCTTATAAACTGTTTAATAAATGTAACCATAGCCATCAAAGATGTACATGTTCATAATTACTTTTTTAACAGCTTTGTGAATCTGGACCCAGAGCCAGAACCTGCCCACCCCCCAAATAGGCAAAAGGAGCAAGGACTGTTACAATCACCTTCACCAAAAAAGCACACAGAAAGCAGAAGAGACAATACAAAGCAACTGCTTGGTTCATGAAAGCACCAAAACAGCCAACCGACACAGCAAAACAATCACTCAAAACAAAATGATGCAAACAAAACTGGGTACGAAACAACTATCCCAGCATACACGTGCCAAGATGACAGCCGATGGGCCATGAGCACCGGCACCTGGTACGATGAGTAGTAGTAGTCTGGGAGCCACCGGGCGCTCAACCAGAATGGGGCATTTCATTACATTGAATGCTGGTTTTATTGTAGAGCTCCATGGTAGCTACAAGAAACGAACAACAGAGAAGGAAAAAGAGGACTTACCAGGGAGGAGAGGCAGTAGCTAGAAAGTTTATTATAAAAAAAAAAAAAAACAGGATGGGAAACATGGCCTAAAGCAACACAAGCTCAAAATAGGACCAAGAACATTAACCAAATACCTAGCTGCATGCACCCTATTAGATCTTCAAAAACCAGAGCCTAAACATCAGCCTACAACATACTGTATCGGCAAAAATGAAAGGCAAAGGAGCAAACCTGTGAATATCGTGGGCCCGAGGGTAGATAGCAGGCTAATAATTTTTAATGACACTGCAGATATGGGACAAATGTGTCCTGGAACAGGGAACTAAAGAGATCAGATTGACAAACAGCACAGCCATCAAAGTTGATATGGTGGTGTGCAGGTAGCGACAAACAGCTGCTACTAGACAACAAATGATGCACACCTGGCCAAAGCAAGCATCAATACCTGTAGGACCCCCCTTTCAGAAAAGAAGATAGCTGCAGACATAGAGACTGCCCACCAGGACCAAAAGAACCGAACCCATGCCTCCTGAGGAGAGCACGATGTTCCTCAACCCACCGAAGGCAGTAGCCAATGAAAACAATGCCCAAAGAAAAACATCTGGTTAACCAGACTGTTTGATGTGGCTGCTTGCAGCCTGATGTATGAGGCACAGTTTGGTTTATCAGGCTGAGCACGAGACAACTTGTAGAATGGTGACGACCAAGTATCAGTGCAAAGTGCTAATAAAAACAACTCTGCCAAAGCCACACAATAAGAGGTAACAGTATTATAAACAACCAGGACAAAAATTAAATAACCAATGAAAGTGATATAAAAAACTTTAAACAAAAGTGAAAAAGAGCACCATAAATCTTCAGAATATCACTGATGCAGGTAGGATACCATCAAATCATCAACATGCACACTATAAAAATGGTGGTAAACTTCAGTCAAAAACTTCTAACAGTATATCAGAGAAGAAGATTGAACCAGCCAGTCTTGGCCAATCTGCTAAAAGAGGTGGAGCCCCGAAACAGCAACGTAGGAAGGAAGCCACCAGTTACAACCCAATGTGAAGTGGTTCACCTTGGGACAACCAAATGGGGGTTCTGTGAATTCTACTCCCCAAACCCAGCCTAGAAGCGCAGCTTGGTCCAATAGGCTGTTGCTTGGAGTGGCCAAAGGCCCACATATCCACTACTGCCCAGTTGTGTGTAGGAGTCAAAGACTCGTGCACTACCTGAGAGCGAGGCTCTCCACTTAGGTACCCAGGCCTCTAAGGGATGAACCCCCCCCCCCCCACACACACACACACACACACACACTAGAAAATGCATGCTAAAGGTGCACCTAGGGAAGAGAGCCCTAGGCACATAAAACCTCACATAGATAATGCCAAGTTCACTCAACAGTGTGGCTTGAAAATATGCTCATAAAGGGAAGGGAGATATCAAGCCAAAAACAAACATTTTGGCGTTTATTTTTGGCTCATGAAGCAAAACTCCAAAGCTAGAAGTGATATACTAGCAAAAAAGGTCCCCCCCCCCCCCCCCCTTCATGACAGTGCTCAGCATGGCCAGCATTTACCTTAGAGTAAACACAACCAGTATGACTGGCAAGCTAGCACAGGAGAAAAGATAACACTTGCACATTAGCAACAAGACTCAACGCGGGCTATGGGACGCCAGTTTTCCAGTCATTTGGCAGTTTGGTGCCTGTATGCTGAGGAAAGTGGTTTTATACCCAGTCTCTCATGAACCATTTCACATTCAGTGATTCTTTTTTGGCTCGTATGAACCATTTATGACAAGCAATATTGTAGGGATCCACATATAAAACTAATTGCACTTAAGCTTTAAATATTTAGAGAAAGGAGACTTACCTGAGCTGTGATTCAGTAGAGTCCATGAGACTGAGAAGCCAGTCCCAGGTAGGCTGAAGGCGTGCATCCACCTGCTTAAGGAGTGCAGCAATGATGGTGGGTGTGAGGCACATCTGTGTGGGGGTGGTGCTGTTCCCACTGGCACCAGGGATGCCCCCTCCACTCCCTCCTGTTGTTCTTGAGGTCACCCCTCCATCTCTTACTACATCACATGCTAGACTGAGAAGGGAACTCATCTGTCTCACTACAATGGTAAAGGCCCTAGCTAGTGTGTTATTGGTAGTGGCCAGGCTCACTGGCTCATGAGATGACGGTGTCACAGTGGAGCTCGACGTTGGACCGTGCCTTAGAGAAGTTGGATCAATATATATTAATCCACTTGATGTAGTGCTCGAAGATCCAGTGGCAGTAGGTCCTCCTGTCGTGCCTCCAGAGCGTGAGCTGCTATCCCGTGGGTTCCTTACCGCCCACTGCAGATTGTGAGGAGCAATGTTACGTGCAGTAGACGAGGTGTTACCCCTTCTCTCTAGTTGCTCATCAGAGAAAAGTTCGCCTGAATCAAATTCATCTGTTTCTGCTGCTTCACTTTCATCATCTTCATCCTCTCCAGGTGAAGATTCCCCTGAATCATCCTCCCCATCACTGCCAGCAGTAGCACCAGTCTGCACAGATCTTTGTGCAGAAGCATTGTCTACAGCAGACTGATTGTCATCACTATCACTGTCCGATTCTGCTAACAGATCTAGTTCCATGTCAGACTCTCCACCCTCAACTTCCCCACCCCCATCTCCCTCTTGTTCAGATCTTTCAGTGGCATCATCACGTTCACTACCTCCTTCATTATCGTGATCGTCTACCTGAGGAGGAAGAATGTGATCTGGCCGCGCCCTCCTTGGTCTGGATATTGGAGCAGGACTAGGACGAGACATACTAGTTGCTACCTCTTCTTCACCAGCTTCCTCCACCTCCTCTGCTGCTGCTGCAGCTGCTGCTGTTGCTGCTGCAGCTGCTACTGTTGCTGCGCCTCCTCCTCCTCCTCCTCCACCTCCCGCATTTCCACTTCCACTATCTCTTCCACTGCCACTGCTAGAAGTAGTAGACTGCTCTGCAATTCCTCCAGCAACTCTCTGCTGATGTCGCTGAAGAGGCTCCACCTCGAACATCTCCTGATAAGATAACACTACTAGCTTCAATTGCATCCAGCTGGCTTTAATTATAACATGCATGCTGCTCTCCACATAAATTTGACTGCTTAAAAATTCATTGCACAATTTCCAATTCTTGACTCATTTATTCCATCGAGAAAATCTACCATAAGATAAAATGAATCATACCAAAGCACTTCTTATCATTCACTGTTCATTCATTATCATGTATAACAACAATTATAAATTCAAAGACAATAGTATCCATTGTTTACTTGCCCATCAATTACACATCAGCCATACTCCATTCCAGAATGAAGGGAACTATGAATACACTAAAGCCTCACATATAAAGAATAGCCTTCACCCATCTTATTTTCACTAAATGACCTTGTGACAATCTTAACAGTTTCACCTAATTCATCATATAAACTGTGCAAACAAAATGTATAATATTAAACCCTCAAAAATTCACTGTTATTGCTGGTTATTAATGCTGTCGAGGAGAATTACCAAAACCAGCAAAGGAACACAACAATGTAGCAAAACCTAATTCAAATTATGCTACCACTCTCTCCAACGTTTACCTTTTTTGTTTCAGAAGTCAAAATAACATTCACTCTGGATTTAACGAAATGTACACTTTTACATAAAGCTTTTCCTGTTGCTAACATGAGCACTATAAATATCAAAACAGGAGAACAAGCAAATATATTCAGGCATGCAGACACTGTGTCAACATTATGCCTGACAAAAATAAAAATGTATGTATGTAGTATATACATTCATAAGCTGTACTGGTCCCTGCATACCTTACAGCCATGATTAGCATCCACATGAGTTGAACTGAGGGGAAACGGTGCAGTGGGCTTGACATAATTGAGGCGCACAGGAAGCATGAGAGCATCCGCAGCATCACAAAGCTCCGTCACAGCCACAGGAATCACAGACTCGAACACCTGTACCAAGAATCATAGTAAAAGATAAAGGAGGAAATCTTAAGCAGAACTATAATGTACTGTACTCCAGAATCCATATTTAAATGTTTATTACAGGAACAGGATTGCTCCGTTTCGTTCAGATCTCTTTCTTAAATTTGGCTTTCAATATTAGAGGTCCTTGTTCCATTATCCAACATATAATCTACATGTAGTACTTATTATTTTGTAAACCTTTCAGTACATGACTAACCTTCACCACCACCCATTTTGCTTGCGGGAGCACAACAGCAAACAAGAGACTGCACAACATGCAGTCTTGCATATGAAAGCATATGCACAAACTGCCATAATTAAATGGTCTGTTGCTCGAGTTGTTATTCCAGTTACATCCCTTATTCTCATCCAAAACTTAGCGTGCAACCCTACTCTCCTGTCATTACAAGAGCACCTCCAAATGTAGTCCATGCATGTTATATACTGATTACTGACTGATAAAGATTAAGCCACCCAAAAGGTGGCATGGACAGGAAGAGTCCGTAATGTTATGTACTAGGCCTTGGAGAGGCAATGTGCTTTCTTGGGCCCTTTACAATTTCAATAATACTGTACTAAAACATGGACTTCTTTTGTTTTTAACAAATACTGCACATTTGCTATGTGTACTCTTTTTGGAAGATAGGTTCACATTATATTTTTTTATGTGCCAAGATATTATATACAGAGGAGAAAGAGGAATGAAGGGGTAATGACAGGTTTGCAAACTATTTCTTTCTGTGGACTACACAATAAAATATGAACCAACCTAATTTTTTCAAAATGGATGATCTTAAGATCCACAAATCTTATCTGAACTACTAAAATGCTTCCCAAACTTTAGTACAATATACTTGTTGGGCTCGAAGTACAACAGCCATTTATCTGGCCAAGCTTGTAGCATGTTTAAAGTTCTCCTGTAGTATAATGCAATCTTCATCAGTTATTAATCTTTTAATCAGTTTTGCATCATTTGTAAACATTCTCGTACAAGAGCACGCCTCCTAGGAGAGGTCATTCACGTACAGGGTATCACGAACGTAGTAATCCAAGAAACGAGTTTAATGGAACATGGCCTACCACTTCCCCTATTGTTGGAAGAACAAAGCAAAACGTGCAATTGAACCGAGGAGATGAAAGGAAGTTCTCGCATCCCATACAGGTGGTAATGTACACTGTATTTTCCTGCTACAATATGAGACCTTTTTCTTTTCTTTTTCTTTTTCTTTTGGCAGCCTACATATGATGCCCAGAGAGGACCAGCCGGTCCACCCCGGGCACCATATGCACCATTTTCAAGCATACACTGGTAATATTTGGGGATTTCAGTAATTAACAAAATGCTTCAGAAATATTTCTGGTCAATAAAGAAGCAATAGGAATAAAATAATCGCATTCCTGAAATGACACTATTATAGTATTCTTGGATAGAAATGTTTTCATAAGCCACTGGCTTTGACTTTTAAGCTGCCTAATAAAGCTAATAAAAAAAAAAAAAAATTATACTAATGGGAGGGAGCCGGTGGCTGAGCGGACAGAACACTGGACGCGTGATCCTGTGGGCCCGGGTTCGATCCCGGGCGCCGATGAGAAACAATGGGCAGAGTTTCTTTCACCCTGTAGCCCCTGTTACCTAGCAGTAAATAGGTACCTGGGTGTTAGTCAGCTGTCACGGGCTGCTTCCTGGGGGCCTGGTCGGGGCCTGGGGCTTCCGCGGCCTGGTCGAGGACCTCGGCCGCGGGGACACTAAGCCCCGAAATCATCTCAAGATAACCTCAAGATAGATTCAGCAATTTTAAGACCATGTTCAGACATGTCAAATCATATATCAGACATATATAACAGACGTGTTATAAAATCTACCAGACATCACTGCCATACTACTAAAACACAAACCTTAATGCATTTTGCAAGTGGCTGAGTGTAAGAACTGCTTGGCTTCTTTTTGCTCACGTTTGGGATCATCTCTATGGCTAGGATGACGAAGATTCGCACTACAGACGCTATAAACCTACGAGCCACCTGTGAGAAAATTGTTGTATTAATGCCTGTGATGTTATAAGACATTAAAATCATGCACCCAGTACAGGTGACCATAAAGTAAATCTTAAAAGTATAAGAAGAAGGTTCAGTAAGAATTCATAAAACATACAAAGTGAGTACGACTCACTGTACACACAGGAGGACAGGGAAGAAGCTCATTAAATGTTTTGTCACATTAATCTCAGATTTAATAATCACAATAAAATACACATCAATGTATATTAATACTTCATTCACCTTTTCCGCTAAGTCTTTATCTTGCAAATATTGGTCTCGCAAAAATGGGAAGCCTTTAAAGTTTCTCTAAAAGGCAGGAGACAAATCAGCCTAAATGATCTATCGTCCAATTATTTGGGCAGCCGTTCCAAAATGCTCAAACAGAAACGTTCAATTATTTTCATGATGGTATTGCTAGAATGAGTCAGTAGTTTCTCAGTCAGATGGACATTCATACAAGACCCATGACAGCTATAGAACTGCCACTGTATAAACTGTTTTGTTGCATGCGAGATTTCACTCGATCCAACAGTCATTTTTTTTGTTACAGTAACAATTTGTTAGGGCCTACATCCACTGTAAGGTACTGTATATACAGGTTTGTTACTTACCTTGCCAGTTGAGTACTTTAGTGAAATCACAGAATTGCTCAAAAACCACATCATTACCTTGAGTTATTTTGAATTAGTTTCAAGAATCAATGTCCTCACAGCCCAGTCAACAAACAAGCCTCGTGATTGAAGGTCTGACCAACAAGATTACTGGATGTCACTGCATTCAGTCCGAGAAACAGGAATCACAGCCAGGTTGATCAGGTACCCATTGGAGTTGCTCATTAACACTTTCGCCCGGGCATGACGCAGCATTGCATCATCCATTTACTGTCGGTGATGCCGGGGATGACGCAGCATTGCGTCATCCACTTTAAATAATCGCCAAAAATCAGGTTATTATCCGATTTTTGGGGGACTGGTTTTAAAATGCGCGCCGATGTCTTCCCATTTTCTTTGTTGAGCCTCGTGGCCCTCAGGCGGCTTGGCACACGCCGTGGGCCCATTGTTTTTGCTCCACTGTTGTGACCAATGTCGCTTCCCCTCGCATCTCAAACGTGTGAACATTTCGGCTATTTTCCGTGGCCATATTTCTTACTGGGGCTTTAGAAACTATCTACGCTTACTCCACGATGGATAGTGATCATGAACAAGGCCCTTCCAGGAAGAAAATTGCGAAAGAAAGGCTTGAAAAGGGCGGGAATTGGGAGTGTAGCTGGAAGGCGTCCGAGCGCTCACTCGCGGCTAACGCGTGGCCCGTCTTCAACTCGTCAGAGGTTGGAGCGTGACCAGGTTTTTTATTTTATATGCTAATGTTCCTCTAGAGAATTCTATTGCGAACCCATTGAGACCAAAATGAAAGACCTAGGACGAAAATTGAGGTGACCAGAGTGAAAATAGTGAAAACATTTTATTGCGTTTGCGCGCTCCTGGGTAACTCGTTCGCACTTTCTCTGTTTGCTGCGGGTAATTAGCCGAGCTTTTGGAGTTTATATGCATTTAGTGCTGTAGAGAATTCTATTGCGAACACAATAATACAAAATTTAATCTCGTAGGACGAGAATTAAGGTGACAAAGTTGGAGAGTATACACTTTTCAGAATTTATGCGCGCTCCCGTGACACCCTGGGACCCAAATCGCACAGTTGAGGGGTGGCGCGCGAGGTACGCCAAAGTGTTAAGTTCCTCTTGAATGTCGAAAGAGGTCAAGTGGCTAGTTAAGCCACTACGATTTAGAAAGAGGGTTTTGTGAACCCTTGGGCCCTTTAATTGTTCTTTAAGAGTACCAATGTCACCCCTATTTTCAATTGGGCTATATTTTACACATTCTGTAATGCCTCCTTGTCTCATAGGGGAAATATTTCAGTGTGCAGATTTGGAACGACTTCCAAATATTTTCCAGGTATAAATTATGATGTATCTTTCATTATCACATCAGGGAGTACAATTTGATAGATGGTAAAGTCCCAATAATTAAGATGTTGTAACAGAATGAAGCAATACCCTGGGTAACCAAGGTGTGTGCAAAGCTTGTCACAGTAGTCGAACAATTACAAGAGGCAGGAGTGTCCTGGCCTACACCAATGTTGGCCAGAGTTATGTAGATGCTGTGGCTCCAGGTGTTTTGTCAACTTTTTTAATTGTACTTATTGAAATATTCTTATAATGTGATAGTATCATCAGTCCAGAATTTTTTGCTTCTGCTTTGCTGCCTCCTTTGTCAAGTGGCACTATCTCCACTGTTATATGTGCATCAGAGATGATAATGGCATCTAGACTACCTCCATAAATGTTTCAGCGTACTTTATTATAGTTTTCCCTCCCTCCAATTCTTGTTAAGTTGGAGGGATTTGGGCATATTGTCAATAGCTACTTGACAGTTCAGTGGGGTTAGGGCGACCTCTTGAATTCAAGTCGACATCAATGTCGCATTCATAAATTCATTCGGATTATTAATTTTCAGTGTTTCTAAAGGATCACTAAAAAACAAGTAAAGCTGTGTCCTCGGTATTTCGCCTACGAAATTTCCAAATCCTTTATGCAAGGGCCTAATACTTTGGGTAGTTTTAACCGTGGAGTTGGCACAAGAAGCACAATTTTAGCTTACTCACTATATCACTAATGACCTTTTGCCATTTTTCCCAGGTTTTATACCATTCTTGCAATATTAGCCCAATACCACATTTCCCTATACAGTATAGCCCTTCTTCCTCGTCTTTGTAGGATGCCCGTGTAGGTCTGTGATGTGTTTTGGTCTTCTATAGTGTGTGCAGCTCTCATTCCAGTTATCCCCTTTCTCTTCATTTTCTTAATAGAATCTTACTTCAGCAAATTATTCCAACCTCAGGATTAATTCTCTTAAATTCATTAAGCAACTCACTTCGACCTAAACCAATTTTGACCAAATTTATATACACTACTTCAGGTGAGCTTGAAGAGATCACAAATTTAGACAAGGTGGTTCTTACCTTTTCTGCTTCTTGCTTACGTCCAGGAACCGATTCATTGTGTAGTTCTCTGATTAGCGTGTTGATCAGAGCCGTTACCATTGTGTCGGCAATCATCTTGCGCTCATCGTCATCGCTATTTATCAACTGCTTTAACTTTAGGTTACGATGTTCAACCTGAAATCAAAAGAAAAATCAGCATGTTAGTTCTTTTGACCCATCTAAGAAAATTATTATCAGAATATAAATTAATTTCCTTCCTTTTCTTATAAACTATAACCCTTCACTTTTATTTACCTGAGTAGCTAATTTAACAAGCAGACAGTATGTAAACTTGTCTAGGTGGGTGGTGTGGCCTTGGTACTGCATGAAGTTGATCTCATCTGTGGATGCTGTAGTTGGGGGAGTTTCCTCCTTGTGGCCAGTCATGATCATGGCTCTTACTGCTGCCCAATCATTTAGGAGGCGTTCCAAGGCACGGCGACTGAACTTTGGTGGTTCTAGATCATGGTCCGGAACTTCCATATTAACTACATCCGACAAGGCATTCTTACGTGTTGAAGATGACGAACGACATCTGAAGGAGCACATAATATATTATTTTGTGAATGTTATTAAGGTATTGTCAATAAGTAGTTCCTTTTTAAACAAGATTTAGATATAAAAAACAGTGCATTGCAATGGAAATTGCATGCAGGACTGTGTACAACCTTGAAATGGAAACACTATCAACTGGAGTCCAGAATAAGCTCCAAAGATAGTCTTTGGAAATTGGATATCATTATTAAGAGCAAACAGAGTTGATGTCTATGAAGAAAAAAAAAAGTTTTAATTAGCAATCAACAAATACAATACTAAACATACAGGTGCCCCCCTTGATTTGAGCAAAGGTTATGTCCTACAAACACTATGCAAATCTATTTTAAAATATATACTGTAAGCAAAATATAGAATCAGATACCAGAGACTTCCAGAGGGCCTGGTATGACTCTCTGGCAAGGTGTGGGGGGTCTCCCTACACCTGATCACAAGAATAATGTTAAACAATGACAATCCCTTTCAAAGCTGGAGAAATTGCTGACCTGGAGAGCATGCAGAAATCCTTTACTGCTGGAATCCACTCAGTAAAACATCTAAACTATTGGGACCGACTAAAGAGCCTAAATCTGAATTCTCTTGAGCGCAGGGGGGAGAGATACATAATACATAATTTACACGTGGAAAATAGTAGAGGAGCTGGTCCCAAACCTGCATGCAGAAATAACGCCACATGAGACCAGAAGGCATGGCAGGATGTGCAGAATACCTCCCATTGAAGAGCAGAAATGCAATAGGTACTCAAGAGAGAGAACTATCAACATCAGAGGCCCGAGACTGTTCAACATGCTTCCACTATACATGAGGGGCATAACTGGCCGACCCCTCACAGTGTTCAAGAGAGAACTCGAAAAGCACCTTCAAAAATAATACCTGATCAACCAGGAGGCCTGGTCGACGACTGGGCCATGGGGACACTAAGCCCTGAAAATACCTAAAGGTAAGGTAACCACCTACCAGTCTCTCATCCATCTTACTGTCTTGTTGTAAAAGAAACTGACATTGTAAACAAGCAAATTATTACAGGTCATTTCTGATTCTCGTGTAACAAACATCATATTTATCACATCTTTCACATTAAAGTTCCAGATAGCTCATCACCACCACCACTCATTTCCATCAAATAACATTTGGTTTACATCTGTTTGCTAGGTTCGATTTTAGACATTTCTAATTATTGAAACTGTGTAGCCTTTATATTGTAGAAAATGTTTTACTTGGATGGGAACGTGAGAAAGCATAATTGTGATGTATCATGTATAAAAGTATTAAGGGAATAAAATCTGGAATGGGTAACAAGCAATATTAAAGTGGCAAGGACATGTCATTAGGACATATTTGATATCTGGATATCATATAGTAATAGTGGATGATATAGTTAACAAGATAGTGGTCCAATATATTGCCATGTGCTAGGACAAATGGAAGAGCCCTCTCAGGAGCCTGCTCAGTGAGGCATTCAATGGTTACAAGTTTTTAGACGTCTTAATTATATTTTGGAGCATAACTATGAATTTCATGTCAAAATATTAGAAAATTAATGTGTTAGTGTAGAGATGCGCAATTTTTTTTTATATACATTATACCTGATGCATATGAATAATATCTAAAATATGTAAAGGCTTGCCTAAAATGTACATTTTCCCAGCACAAACTCCAGGTTGGTGATCAGGCACATATTTATAAGTTGTATTATACAGTAGATCATAACTAGAAGGAACATTGACAATTTTGTTTAGCCCATTGTACTTACCAATTCACATAGAGCACATAATTACATCCCTGGATCGAATTATTCAACGATTAAAGTACTCAGGGAGTGATCATTCATTAAGGAATTCTTAGAAGAATGAGAACCCTTAGCAATACAACGGCACTCTCTCACAAACACACACTGCCTGGATATACTTGACAATTACAGTATTCCAATATATTTTTGGCTTTTGTGACTCATTATCACTTTATTACACAATCATACAGAATTCCAGTGGACGACAAACACTTGAAATAACGAGAACAAAAATGAGGGGTCCTGAATGATGTGTGCGCGTGTGGGGGGTTGGGGGTGGGGGTTGGGGGGTTGGGGGGTGGGGGTTGGGGGGTTGGGGGGTGGGGGGTGGGGGGGTGGGGGGAGTTGGTGGAGGTGATATCCGGTTGCTCCCTTGGTGGTCAGCATGGTGGCAACAAGCTCTGCTCACACTCTGCTCAGATACAGGTACTTAAAGAGTTGTGACAAAGCAAACACAATAGCTTAGGAAATGATTTTCTGACATTTTGAGAACGGATGATGCATTATTATGCATTACACACAGAAATCACAATAGCGTGATCTATCAAATGAACAAATCCACAAGGGCCGTGACAAGGATTCGAACCTTGTGGATTTGTTCATTTGATACATCACGCTATTGTGATTTCTGTGTAACGAAGTAAGGGCGAAGAGGTAGAACAGCCTATTGACATAGCTCGAGTACATGGGGGAATTGTGTAAAATCCTGGTTTGTCTCAGAGGCTACAAGATCCAAGTAAATTCAGTAGAATTTCTGGTTACAATTCTTATACCATGTCGTAGCTCAGTCGATTAAGGCAGCATCTGGGATGCTCTTGGATGCAGGTTCGAATCCTCATCACGGCCCTTGTGGATTTGTTTATTATGCACCATCGGCCCAATTATTACATAACCACAAATGACTAAAATGAGAAACAAAATTTTGATGAAGTTGGTGAAGGTGGTGGTTAAATCCAGACTGGAAAGAATCCATTGCAATTGAAATTTTGCTGAATTTAAGTTACACTACTGTATTATGATACCTTTTGAAGGAATGCACATTCTTTTTCAGTATTTATAGTGTTAGTGCTAGCTGATTTGTAAATAAATCTTAAATATAACTCAAGTACCCCTTAAAACATGCTATAAATCTTTAAATATTGCCACTGTTGAAATGCCTGGTTAACCATTAAACTGCGCAACACGTCATGTGACGTGTTGAGTAACTTACCCAAAATTGCGCATTACGTCATATGACTTGTTGGAGTACTATGCAAGATTTAAATGGCCCAGAGATACACGGGGTTCACCTCAACTTCATCAGGGCTCTTGTAAACAGATGCCGTTTAAAAAAAATCATGGACAACATTCCCTGGTGTTTTAGGGCCTCAGTACTGAGTGAGCCACCAAGGCTGGCGCACGCAGCATGAGCTCACAGCACTGCTGTTCCAACCCGTTCTCGCACTTGCTTATTGTCAATATTGGCTTATTAAATAAGTGCATGTGACATACTAATTGATTGTGAATATTTTAGTTTACCTTGAAAAGCTTCATAGAAAACACCAACCTCACCTAACCTTCTTAGTATGTTAAGATGAGCATCTTATTGCTTCTTATTTACAATTATTACTTAACCTATCAATGGTATAGGTTAACTAATAATTGTAATTAAGAAGCAATAAGATGCTTATCTTAACATACTAAGAAGGTTAGGTAAGGTCGGTGTTTTCTATGAAGCTTTACAAGGTAAACCAAAATACTCTCAATCAATTAGTATGTCACATATGCACTTATTAAATAAGCCAATATTGACTAAGCAAGTGCAAGAACGGGTTGGCTGTTCAGCTTGTGACCACAGCATCACCTAAAAAGTCAAAATATGTATATACTGTACATGCTATTATTTAGCGATGATAGAATTACAGAAGACCCTTGACTGTGATAAAAATGACCAGGATTCTGATAATAGCAGGAATGTTGTGATAATTAGGGTTGTAGTGGGAAGAGTAATCTTGGTGTGGAGGGAGGTAGTGTTGTCTGCTGACTCTGTGTGACCACCTTTTACTGTCTGGACTCACTATACCAGCTTAGTTTTTCGCTATGGTGAACGAAACATGCAGATACTTATATACAACATCTGTAGATAGTGAATAAAAGCAAAAAACAGTATGGTGGGAAGAAAATGTTGGCAAGTCAAGTGAGGTGAGGGAGAAAGTGGCAGCCAGTGGCGAGCTAGCTGATGTGTGGTGGTCACTCCCTGCCGCTGTTTGAGTCGGCATAAACATTAAACAATAAATAATAGAATTTTAACAAATTTTAATTTTAGATGCAACATGCATCCCCATTGGATATCTGTAGAGTTATTTATGGACGCAATTTCTGTCCCCGCCCACCAAGTGTTAAGTTCATTCCACTTTCCCACTACTCTGACAGTAAAAGAAAATTTCTTAACATCTCTATGACTCGTCTGAGTTTCCAGCTTCCACCCATGTCCCCTTGTTCTGCTAGTTCTTAGTGTGAACATTGTCTATTCCTCTGTCAATCCCCCTATGATAGATGTGGAGCTATCTAACGTGCAGCTAGCAACGAGAAGCCACCCTGGTGCCCCCCTCTCCCTGCAATGCTGTTTAATGATTTCAATTTTCCTTGCCACATGTGAAGCATCATAAATCCTCAACATCTAATTACATACCTTACTTTGTATATATTTACCAATTACTTAAATTATAATCTTATTAATGAAATACAAATTTTTATAACATTAAAAGCAAAAAAAATACTAGCTGGCAAGTAGTACAGTACAGTATTGTCATTTTCTTTCCACTAAGTCAATAGTGACAAAAAAATATAAAAATACTTGGAGTTGACTGATTTCTTTCAAATAAGCTCAAAATGTAGCTTATTACCCAAGTTTGCTAATGGTGATAAAACAAATATTGAAAAATATTGAATAAAAGAGTTTAATGCCTTTAAAGAATAGTACTCTATCTCCTAAGTGAACTTGCCAACTACAACAAGGAATTGAAATATTTTATACTTTAGCCCTGATCAGTAGCTACACATTCAGAACAATACTGTCATCAACAGCAATCATAAAATTCAATACATTTCATAGCATCTGCCAATGATAAACACAACATAAAGCTTACCTAGACCATTGCTTCTGTTCCGTGACTTGACGCCCCACTGTTTGTACGAGAAATAGGAGAAGATTCTCCCCTCTTCCATTGGCAATGTTGACAAGATCAGTTTCTGTTATGAGGCGTGACAAAAGATCAAAGCGTGCTGTCTGATGGCCAGATTTAAGGGCTTTACATTTGCATTTTTCCCAGCAATCACAGTATGCAGTTGGAGAGGTCTTCTTGAGCTTGCAATCGTGACCCTTATGGCAAACTCGTGCACACTCTGTACAGCAACACAAGGAGCCTACAAGTCCACAAGTCCGACACTCAAAAATGTCTTGGTTTATGTGCTCAGCCCCAGTCCATGTAAAGGAGCAAGTGTCATTATAACAAAGAACATGAAGTGGCGAGTCATCCGGGTTGCTACCCCGTGGAAATATCATTTGGGTGACAGCCCGGCGCTCGCTTTCTGAATCCATGGCACTGTCATGAGCTACACGATGAATCACATCAAAGAGGATCAGGGCTGCCTGGTATGCTCGACCAGAAACTGCTAACATAAAAGGAGTAAAACCATTCGAATCGCGAGCAATTAATAAATTACGTAGGTGTGGCGTCAGCGCAGGACTGTCACAGATTGTTCGGAGTATGGTTAACGAGTACGATTTGCGTTCGGCCGGATCCGAGGAACCCAGCGTTGGCATACTGGGTCCGGGCGTGGTCTTGGAGGAGGACGGCGTCATAAGGTCGTCATCCGGTCCTGGGGCACTAGCAGAGTCACTCAATGTATCTGATGAACTTGGTGGCCAAGCAAAGCTGCCCAAGATCGGATCTTTCTCCAACACCGACTCTCCTTCAGTTTCTTTACTTGTAACTGGGCAACAAGTGGAGATACAGGCATGTAGAATGTTGCGGTTCCCATCACACTTCTCTTCCACTATTGCTTCAGTTGTTAAGCTTGAAACGCCATCTAAAACAAAAGGACAGGATTAACTGAAAGACTAACATATATAGACATGGTACATGAATAAACACCACCAAATACAGTCTCCCCACTTAACTATAAAAGGTAACAAGAACACCCTCCTCCAAACACAGGTATCCTTACACAACTACACATACACTACGAAGGTAACAAGAACACCCTCCTCCAAACACAGGTATCCTTACACAACTAAACATACACTTCGAAGATAGCAAGAACACCCTCCTCCAAACACAGGTATCCTTTAGCCCATCCTCGTGTTTTGGTAGTACTTGTAGTAACGATGAGGACCATAGTATATATACCGACGTACAACAAAATTAGAAAGTTGAAATCTGAACTATTTGAGTTAGACAAACAGGAAAACTATTTTTTACTTCTGTTGCTTTGACAAACTAAAATAAGCTAACCTAACCACCCTTAGGCCAAATACACGATATCCGAGGCCTAATATAATACATGTGCGCGCTACACTACGCCTTAGAATGTGTGTTTTAGCTTCATTTATTTAAAAAAATTCCTTACTAGTCAGTATACTACTATCTAAAAGCTAATTATATATGAATTCGTGACTACTGATGTTCATCACAATAGGTACTATCTAAACAGGAGGATGGGTTGTGGCCTTACACAACTACACATACACTATAGTGTAAGTGAAGTTGTGAACAGCCTGATTAATGAAACACAGCTTGATTGATCAGATATCCTTGGCAAATGTTTATAAAGTTCTCTTTTGAACCTCATGAGAGGTCAGATATGTAATGGCCTGTATGTTTAGAGGGATAGAGTTCAAAAGTCTTGGGTCTTTGATGATGATGGAGTTCTCTCTCAGTAAATACAGTGCACCTCTACTTTTCAGTGGGTATATTTTACACTTCCTGCCATGCCTTTTTGTTTCTCGTGACGTAATTTCCATGTGCAAATTTGGAACCAGTACTTTCAATATTCTCCAAGTGTAAGTTATGTATCTCTCCCACCTGCACTTTATGGTATATAAATTTAAACATGTGAAGTGCTCCCAATAATTTAAATGTTTTAAAAGTCATCAATGTTGCAACTTATTTACCCAAATAAATTCTGGGGGGGGGGGTGTTATTGAGTTCAATGTGTACCTTTAAATAATTTTCCAAGACCATTTACAGGATGGTATGAGGTGCATACAAAATGAGCTAAACAAACTTTGTGAATATTACTCATTCTTGACCAGTGCATTTTAACCTTCACACGCAGTTTACTTTTAATGAAATCAAATAACTGGCTTCATTATAAACTTGTTCATATTTTTTGTTCACATTTTCTTTCCTCTTGCCATGTCACTATGGTGTAGCAGTTTTGGACTTCTTTATATTCTTGATACGGTTAGGTCTCAGTCTATATAAATTCCAATTCTTTATTACGGCTATGGTTCTGGCAATTTATACTAGCAAATCTCTTTTTTCAATTCTGCGACACTATTGGTACTCTTACATACATATCTAGTAAAAGTTTTGCATACATTTAGTTTATATTCTCACCTATAAGTAAACATTCCCAATCAAATAATTGAAGCATTTGCTTAAATTTCTGTGTAGACGTTTTTGCAGTCTAGTTTCTCCGATATCTATGACCAATTTCTCATATTGAATGATATTTAATTTCCAATAAAATATAATCACTGTCATCTAAAGGAATCAAGAAGTGTAGGTTAAAGAGTTGATCCCTTTTCTTGGTGAAAATGAAAATCTGAAATGATGGAGCAACCCATCAGAACTCATCGTGCTGTCCGCACTGTCCAGCGTGCGGACAGCACGCTGGACTTGTGATCCTGTGGTCCCGGGTTCGATCCCGGGCGCCGGCGAGAAACACTGGGCAGGGTTTCTTTCACCCTGTGCCCCTGTTACCAAGCAGTAAAATAGGTACCTGGGTGTTAGTCAGCTGTCACGGGCTGCTTCCTGGGGGTGGAGGCCTGGTCGAGGACCGGGCCGCGGGGACACTAGAAAAGCCCCGAAATCATCTCAAGATAACCTTCCGTTACTCTTGTGGCTTACACAGTTCCAATACATAAAATCTCCAGGATGAGCTCCACAAGTTTGCTAGTACATGTGTCTTTTGTTCTAGTCTGTCCCCGTGGTGAAGTGGCAAGACACTCGCCTGGCGTTTCGTGAGCGCTATGTCCTGGGTTCGTATCCTGGCCGGGGAGGATTTCAGGGTGTCAATCCTAAACTGTAGCCTCAACCCAGTAACTGTTTACCCAACAGTAAAACGGGTACCTGGTTGTTAAACGATCTGGCGGGTCGTATTCCGGGGAACATAGGATACAGGACTTGCCAAAACATTATGCGTGCTATTGGCTGTACAAGAAGGTAACAACTCTTGTATATAGCAATAAATAAATAATAAAAAAAAAGTCTCATAACCTCCCAATCTATTGATTTTCTATTAAAGCAACTCTGTACCAAAAATTTTGCTTTATCAGCTCAATCTTTCAAGTTCCTCTCATTTGTCATGTAGTTATCTCATCCATGTGGTGCCTGCTGCTGGCCTGTAAACATTTGTGATTATACTGACTGCTCACTGATTCACCCCTCAATACAGTACTGTAACTCAAATCTTCAATTAACTAGGCCAAAATTATGACCAGTTTGACCATCTCTTGATTCAGACAAAATCCAAATTATGAAACTTAGCTGTCCAGTCACTGAATGATGCATAGAAACCAAAGTTTATAAGTAACGTAAACAAATAACATTAAAACTTAAAACTGCTTTAATAACAAAATGTTTGAAAAGTATAATACATTACAACAAATAATTCTAGACTGCTATAAATACCTATATTTCTGCTCTCTTGTGATACAACCACTCTCTCTCTCTATTACTCTAAATTGTATACCACTTCACTGCTTCCTACATGCACTAAGAAAAAAAAAAAACTTGTCACAACAAGGACATACCTGGAGTATCATTTTCAATGAGTGTCAAAACTTGCCTCACACCTTCAGGGTCACACCGGAGTATTTTGGGCATAAGTGTTTGAGTCTTGAGTGCCAGGACCAGCAACGCCACATGATTCTTCTGGTGTGCTCCGGCTCCGTGCAGGAAGTGCGTGGCCACTCCCAGGCAAGAAACGGGAGGTAAATCCGGCCAGTGGGGATCCTTGATCGAGTCTACGCAATCTTTACTTAACGGGTATATGGTGCTGTTCCCATCGCGCAGTACACCAACATTCTCACTCTGTAAATCAAATGACAATGTCATTCACTATATTAAGATCTTTAGAACCTACATTCATTAATTTTTATATCTCCAAAAACATTCTTAAATAAGGCAAGGGATAGTTTATTTCCACTTTTTTGGGGTGGGGAGGTATCAACCCAGAGATAATAAACAAAAATCTATTCTCAGATGGCAACAAATAATAATTAAAATATTTCACAGCTATTCATTATACCATCTATAATCCCAGATAAACAGCACCACACTTCAGCAGTTATCCACACCAGTCACACAACTGCTCTGAATGAATTTTATGACCAAATTTTTTTCACAAAGAATTTGGTAAGGAAGGGTGAGGAGGGAAGAGGAAAATGCAGGATACCAGTGAACAGTTGGTACATTCTTGCAAAACCACAAACACAGCACACTGAACTGACACACAGCACAGCTGACAACTTCTTGTGAATCCTAAATGATAAGGTGAACAGTCAATTAAAAGAAATGAAACTAGTGAGCAAGGAGCATAGCAATTTGAGTTCAAATAATGCATATAGCATTAGTATCAAGATAAGGTGGTGATGAGAAATTATATTCATGAAGTAATGACCCAGCATGGATACTGGGAAATTCCTTGTGGTGTCGTGCGCACGCTGTCCAACATGGCTGCATAATCTGACGTAAAATTCATCAACTCACCTCCCCTGTGATGGTCAAGGATATGCTGGAAGGCTCAGAACCCATAAAGGCTGTACTATCTGTAGGGAACACGCACTCCTGCTCAGCCTTTCCAGAACTCAGGTTGTAGATGACATAGGTTAGTCGACTTGCATTCTTAACGATGGCATGAATCCCTGTTGAAACGGGAAGCAAAACAAAAGTTGTAATCTTGGTAGCCGTTACATATGCTCTAAATTTGTATCAAAGGGCTAACAATTAAAACTTGGTTATTAAATGCGCACTACAATTATTTCAGAATATACCTTATTTTCCCAACAGGTTGAGCAAACTTGGAGGTGCATAATAATATAGCAATCCAGGATCGCTATCTCCTCAGAAATGGTTATCACATTACAAGTTACTAACACAATAATCACACAAAAAAAAGGCTAAGAAACACTGAAGTAGGCTAATGTCAAAAATTTGGATTGTGCCAAATACTGATTTTATTGACCAGTATCACAAACCTGTCTAAAAAAAAAAAATAATCCGACAAACAAAGCAGGGATACTGCAGCACAATACTTGGAATTAAAGTATTAAGAAACTATCGTCATAATGAGATGGCTTGTTTACAAGTGTTTTTGTTTTTTAAATATAGTGACATCAGTTCAATGTTACACGAGCTGTGTGGTCAGTGATTTGGATCCACATCACCCAATCTGTTAAATGTAAAATGCCGAGGCTGTGCAAAATTCTGTAACTTCATGGCATAGTTTGTTTATGTGAACCATCTTTCAAATTGCACGGATCTTATTGATTTTCTACTTTAAATGTCTGTTGTCTCCAGTCTTTTATAAAGTCTCACTTAATGTTAGTAAAGTGTAAACTATAAGTTATAAGTATATTGCACTTACTCACCATCACGACAAAAAGGGCCATGTTGCGGTTTTATTATGCAGTTTATAATTTAGTATAGTCATCAGTGTTTGGCTATTAATATTACAATTTTTGTAATAAATAAATAATGCATTTAAATATTTTGAAAAACAGAAGCCAATTATAAATGAGCAATTAGTTTACTGATTGCTCATAACAGTACCAACTAAATATTTCAAAGATTACCTTTTAAATTCACTTTAAATCACTCTTATAGCTCAATTTCGAGCAAAGATATATTAATTTTAAAATAGGGTGTTCTCGCAAACCCCCAAAACAGAGGGAAGGGGCATAACTTCTGAACACCAGATTTACCTCAAACTTCAATTCTATGTTCTTGGGTAAAAAAGTTATAGACCAACTTACAGGAAAATTGAAAGGCGTGTAACATTACTTTCACCTTTTTTAACATGATGAAATAGCTCCAGTGATAGTTTATGCCTTGGGGAGCTGAGGGCAGTCAAGGATGACAAGGAGTCACTTACAATTAGCGTGTCAACTTTGGATTCATATACACGTTTGAGTGCAAGGGGGGCGGGGGATTAGAAATGTCAGTAAGACTGTCAGAAAATACTTATATTTTAAGGTTGGCTAACTCCATCCATAACTTCAAGAGCAAATACAATACACAATTCAAATGTGGAAGATTACAACAATCAGGCACAAAATGCACCAGGCACAAAAATGCTTGGAGCATAAAAGACCCAGAATTCAATTCCCCCCCCCCCCTCTTCCAGACACCTCAAGCCCAATTGCGATTGGATATGTAGTCGTGTCAGGATAAGTAGTCGAATTCCCCCCCCCCCCCCAAGCACAAAAAATAATAACTATGTACAAAAGTAACAAAACACTTGTTTCACACTATAAACAAAATGCCACAGAGTACTGGTTTGGTTAGGTTTGGGTAGGGTAGGTTTGGTTAGGTTTGATTAGGTTAGGTTAAGTTTGGTTAGGTTAGGTTAGGTTAGGTTAGGGTAGGGTAGGTTAGGGTAGGTTAGGTTAGGTTAGGTTAGGTTAGGGTAGGTTAGGGTAGGGTAGGGTAGGGTAGGTTAGGTTAGGTTAGGTTAGGTTAGGTTAGGTTAGGTTAGGTTAGGTTAGGTTAGGTTAGGTTAGGTTAGGTTAGGTTAGGTTAGGTTTGGTTTGGTTTGGTTTGCTTAGGTTAGCTGTGGTTAGGTTTAGTTGGGATTTGTTATGTTAGTTTGGAGACGATGAGTCACAATGACGTGGCTGAAGATATGAAGGCTAAACTAAAAACAAGACATTACTGTACCTCTGCCATCAACTGCAACAGTGAGGATCTGGCCTTGTTCTGTTACTGGAATGCGCTTTGGTGTCTTCTGGTAACAGTCTGGGACTCGGGGATTTCCCCCAGCACGGATCACTTGCAGCTGATCTCGGTGGATAACACGTAGGTTAGCTTTACCTTCTTTCGTCTGTGGTACCACAACCACCTGTAAACACAATAAACGATAAAATAATTACCTATTTCCAATTCCTATAATGTGTGGAGGCCTCAGCTAAAAAGAAATAAAAAAGCTAATAAAAAATAGCAAAAAAAAAAAAATCCAGCTAACCACCATACCTTCCACACTAGAATCAATATTTTCATATACTGTACCAGGAAGATGCAGAAACACATCAATATCCGCATCCCATTGTTTCATACAACCATATACAAGTGCTTTCTGAGAACTGACACTTAAAGCTGCCGTATTTAGTAAGTGCCTAAGTTATTTACTTGTACCGTCCTCTCTTCTTTCACATGACTTGATAATGGTCCAAGACAGACCGAAACGTCGTTGCTTCTCCATCTTCCGAGTTGTGGCTTGGTCTGCATTTCTTCAGCCACATTATTGTGAATTGCCATCTGCATTTACCAAGTATACTGATTCTGCACATGCATATTATCATCACACATTATTATATTATCTAACATCATTTCTCAGATAATAATATGCACATGCATATGTGCAAATGCATTCATTTGACAAATGAATTACAACCAGGATGATCAGGTATCCTTTGGAGGTGTTCATCAAGTTTCCCTATGAACACCAAGAGGGATTGACTAGTTATGCCCCTTGTGTATACTGGGAAGGTGTTGATAACTTGGGTATTTTAATCTTTACAGAATTGTTTCTAAGCACACCTTGCACTACTTTTCAATGCTATTTTGCACATACATGCCTCCTGTTCTTGTAAAGAATTATTTCTGACTGTGGATTTGGAACAAGTCCCTCAATGTCTTCCAAGTGTAAATTATAATGTATCCCTTGCACAAGCAATCCAAAGCGTAGAGATTTAGGTATTTTAACCTTTCACTGGCGCGGTGGGCAACCCGCCACACAATGCTAGGTCGGCCAAGCATTGCCCGTGAGCACAAAATCACACACCAATGTTTATACGGTTTTCAGCTTTCTCACCTCAATTTTCGTGCTACATCGTTCAATATCGTATCAGATTGTTCATACCATGATGCTGTAAAAGGATATTTGCAATACAAGAACATACAAGTCTCACTTTTCTATACTTTCGACGAAAACGCAATAACTTTCCCCTCATACGTGTTTCTTTCACTGCTTTCATCATGGATTGGCTCTGTTCTTGATCACTATCCATCTTAAAGTCAATTTGCAATGTTTATAAAGCCAGCAACAACAAATACCCGAGATAAAATAACCGGAATGGGGAAAATTTTTCCACTCGATGGGAGGCCGCGGCTGTCACTAGCGAAGTCACGAGAACAGCGAGCCTCCAGCGTGGGAGGGCACCCACACGGCGGGGTTGGGTTGCCACGTGAGGTATACAGAGAATGGGAAGACGTTGGTGGACCAAGCACAAATTTGCTTAACGATATTTTAATTCTAATACATACTGCAAAGTTACTATGCATGGTAGTGTTCAATTTGGTTTTATTTTTAACCAAAAAAGATTTGTACTTCCGTGATGGTATTTTCAAAAATGCAATAAAAACAAATAAGAAAAAAAGTTAAAATTAGCTGACATGACATTGAAAGTAACAACTACAGTAGTTATCATCAAAATGTTCTGCCGTTTTGAGCAAATGACGATTATACAGTAATTGTCACAAAAATGATAAAGGGTTAAATTCATCCATGATAACAACAGTGTCCAATATCTTTTATTACTGCTCCCCTGCTGACCCAGGGATCATGTGTTCCCCTGCTGACCCAGGGATCATGTCTTCCCCTGCTGACCCAGGGATCATGTCTTCCCCTGCTGACCCAGGGATCATGTCTTCCCCTGCTGACCCAGGGATCATGTCTTCCCCTGCTGACCCAGGGATCATGTCTTCCCCTGCTGACCCAGGGATCATGTCTTCCCCTGCTGACCCAGGGATCATGTCTTCCCCTGCTGACCCAGGGATCATGTCTTCCCCTGCTGACCCAGGGATCATGTCTTCCCCTGCTGACCCAGGGATCATGTCTTCCCCTGCTGACCCAGGGATCATGTCTTCCCCTGCTGACCCAGGGATCATGTCTTCCCCTGCTGACCCAGGGATCATGTCTTCCCCTGCTGACCCAGGGATCATGTCTTCCCCTGCTGACCCAGGGATCATGTCTTCCCCTGCTGACCCAGGGATCATGTCTTCCCCTGCTGACCCAGGGATCATGTCTTCCCCTGCTGACCCAGGGATCATGTCTTCCCCTGCTGACCCAGGGATCATGTCTTCCCCTGCTGACCCAGGGATCATGTCTTCCCCTGCTGACCCAGGGATCATGTCTTCCCCTGCTGACCCAGGGATCATGTCTTCCCCTGCTGACCCAGGGATCATGTCTTCCCCTGCTGACCCAGGGATCATGTCTTCCCCTGCTGACCCAGGGATCATGTCTTCCCCTGCTGACCCAGGGATCATGTCTTCCCCTGCTGACCCAGGGATCATGTCTTCCCCTGCTGACCCAGGGATCATGTCTTCCCCTGCTGACCCAGGGATCATGTCTTCCCCTGCTGACCCAGGGATCATGTCTTCCCCTGCTGACCCAGGGATCATGTCTTCCCCTGCTGACCCAGGGATCATGTCTTCCCACTAAAAGAATGTGGGAACGGTAGTAATGTAGTAATAATTATTATATATTAGTGTTGAACAGATTTTCAATGTAGTTTGTAAACTTTATGCCAAAATTTACAACCTAAATTACAAATTAGATTCAGCTTTTTCTAAATACCAACAATTAATAATCCAACAAAAAGATTAAACAAATTCAATAGTTTGGTATACCCATCCCACTACAATACAGTATTTAATTGGGGAATGAAAAGATTTATTCAATGCTTTTATATCTCTTGGCATACACCATTCCCCTTAACTATAATTTTTTTTATAATGATTACTGTATAACAAAATATCAACAAGTCAATAGGTATTCCCATGACAAGATGGAAACTAAATACTTACTTGATTACCATCAACAGCAAGAACCTCTCCAATTGGCACTGGTCTTGTGTCCTCTACAAAAATGACATCTCTCAAAGGCCATTCTTCCTCATCAAACCGTTCCATCTCATCACGAGGAACAGGCCTCTTTCCACGTTTGTATGAAGCGGGGGATGTTATGGATCCTAGTTTAAAATAAAAAGTAAAATTTTCTACATTTAAAAACAAAAAATGTCTACAAATTATTTTGCCAATTCATTAAGTAATAAAATCACTCAATAAGAACAGCCTTTCAGTGAGAATTAGTGCACACCACAATAGAGTATTATAATTAATAATATCAAAGAAACATAATAACTATATGGCAAAAAGCAAAGAGTTGAAGTGTCTTGTAAGAATAATTAATGTATTAACTTGTTCATGCTAAGAAACATAAGAATGATGAATGGAAAGGAGTAACAAAAGGTACTACGATACTTCATACCGTTGTCGAGAAGAGGTATGAAGATACCTTTATATGGTGGAACACCATAAAAAAAAACACCTGCTCGCCATAAAGATGGTGACAAATATGAGTAAAAAAACAACGTTGAATGTAATGAAATGCCATTTTCTGGGTGAGCCCCGGAGGCTCCCTCTGGCTGATGTGCTACATTAGTAACACCTAGAGGGAAGGAGGGTGCCAGGGAGCCCCCAGGGCTTGCCCAGAAAATGGTGTTTCATTACATTCAACGCTGGTTTTCTGTGAGGAGCCCCTCCGCCTCCCTTGAGCTACCTAACTAAAGACAAGTAAAAGCAGGGCTTACCCAAGAGACGGCTGCCAATCACTCCTCTACTCGAAGTCGAGACTACTGGCTGCAACCTGCGACCCAAAGCCACACACAAATGACTAGAACCAGGAACGTTCACTAGATAACGAGCGGCCAGAACCCTGTTCGACCTACAAAATCCCCACGCCCAAATGTCCGCCCAAGACGGCAGCCAAAGCAGCAAACTTACGAACGTCATGGGCACAAGAATAGTCCTCAGGCTGGCTGGACTTAATCCTGCGGATGCCCAGACACCCGAGCCCTGGAACAGGGAATGAGGGAAACTGGATCAACCCAAAACGCGCTCCCAGCCACTGAGGCCGAGGCTCACAAATAACGGCAAAGAGCCACAACCAGACAACACATGATGCAACCTCGGCCTGACTATCCAAGCATCAATGACCCAAAGGGCCACTCTGGTAAGCCGCCGCATCATTCTTTGCCAGAAAAGACGACGACGGCTGCAACCGAACAAACCGACCACCCGGACCATAGGAGCAGAAACCCCTATGCCGGAGGAGATCATGAAGCTTACCCACCTGACCCCAAGAGGCCAATGCCAATATAAAAGAGCCTTGGAAAAACAATCTTAAACCAAAGGAGGCCACCACAAACCGAGGAGAGAGAAAGGCGAGCACCCTGTCCAAGGGTGCCTTGAGCCTGGCCTCGGGCCGGGCTTGGGGAGTAGAAGAACTCCCAGAACCCCATCAAGCAAGCAAGGACCAGGACTGCTTTCTGGGTGCTAACCCCGGTCGATGGCAGATATGGAATGCCCCAAATACATGGGAGTTTTGACAGGCCATTGCTCCCTTTGCCTCTCTGGGGGGGGCCAGGTTCTGGCTTGTGGTCCCCGGTAGACTGAACTCCAATTGACTGATGCCCCAGACTAATATAGCATATGAGTCTGATAACTCCAGGGAGCCAGAGGGGCTCCCCACAAAGCTACCAGTTGCAAAGAGGAGGAAAAGGTCAAAACCAGCAAAGTATGTCACTGGGCTGACCTTAACCTAACCTAACTTAGACAAAATGAGCGAGTGGAGCAACACATGGCAGATAGAATTTACCGTAAAAAAATGTCCCACAGAATGTGGAATAGGGAACTGACCACACTTAACCTGCAAATTATATGAAAATATATTAAACATTTCTGACAAGGAGAGAGATCTAAGTGTGGGTTGTGGGCAGGAAGCTGTCACCAGAGTACCACATAAAAGGCAGTCTGTGAGGAGCCTATGCTATGCTAGCAAATTTCATAACCATGCTTAACCCTTAGACAGCAGCTATGGAGAAATGGTCATACCTGCCTATGCACTAAAAATAATAACAAATCCAACAAATAATTTTTTATTATAGAATTATTAATTTTAATGCAGAATGTAAGAAAAAAATTACGTGAATACATACGTATTTATCATTTCACTGGGTGGAGGCACTCTGCAAGACTGTCTGGCACGTTTGAACACCGGGGGCCAGATTCACAAAAGCACTTACGCAAACACTTACGAGCCTGTACATCTTTTCTCAATCTTTGGCGGCTTAGTTTCCAATTATTAAACAGTTAATGAGCTCCGAAGCACCAGGAGACTGTTTATAACAACAACAACAGTTGATTAGCAAGTTTTCATGCTTGTAAACTGTTTAATAAATGTAACCAAAGCCGTCAAAGATTGAGGAAAGATGTACACGTTCGTAAGTACTTGCGTAACTGCTTTCGTGAATCTGGCCCCAGGTGCTCGACCATGCTCTTATTGTTTTATCCTCTAATGTTTCACCGATTGTTTTATCACTTTTTTTTTCTTTATTCACATTCACAGAGCGCGTTTATATCCATATTTGCATCATACATGTAAAACCCAGATAATAATTGTGTAAATCTTCAGATGATAATAACCACATTACCCTGTGAATCAACAATTGACAATAACCGCTGTGTAAGTGTTAATTTATATGTACAGAAGTACATTAAAAAAACTGGTACTGTAAAAGAAGACCAAAATTGGAATATGCCGCAGTGGTATGGTGCCCACATCTCAAAAGAAGATGTCAAACTGGGATGACTACTAATGTCAAGAAGCACACAAGTAAATAAGAAAAGGTGCAAAGATGTGCTACTAAATGGCTCCTGGAACTTTACGAACATGAGCTATGAGGGAGAGACTGTAGGTGTTAAACATGCCAAGGATACAATATAGAGAAAGCAGTGATATCGATACATACAAAACAGTATCATGAATCAACATAATACACGAGGACGAATTTTTGATGTTTGTAATTTCAAGAACAAAAGGTTACCGATTCAAGAAACAGACCCACCAGAAAAATATGAAAGTAAATGCAATATTCATATGACAAAGATGATTATACGAAAGATGTGAGAGCAAACAGCTCTCATCCTGTTGCTACACTGACATAATTACACAAACACAGGCAACACATCTCTCATCCCATAGCTATGCCGAGAAATTCACACGCATGCAGACGATACAAACACTTGGTAGTGACCTGTGTCTGAGCAAGTGCTGGACGCAGGAGATGGCGGGGGTGGCATATCCAACTTATCAGACGACTCCTTGCTGTCTCCACACTTCAGGATTTTGGCAGCTGACCCCAACACTTCTGAGGATAAGGTCTTCTTGTCCCCCCCACCACTGCCACCACTGCTGCTACTGCTGTTGGTGCTGCTGTTGCTGTTATTTGACACACCACTACATGAAAAGTAAACATTGCATTATAAACTTCCTTCTGGAATAAATGTAGTCAAGTACCTCTTACATTTACATTACTAAAATTAATCACACATAGTACAAATTAAGCTTTCTAAAACTGTACATACAAACTGATATATTTCCCAAATCTGATTTGTTTATTCTGAGTTGTATTAATGCTATATTTTAGTAATTCAAATAGCATGCACGCTTTTACAAATCTGCAACCCTTCCTCTGAATAGACAGTGCATTTTAATATTAAATGTAATAAGTACATTCCTGACTGTCTTCATAGTACACAAATACACTTAATTGTGCTGTTACATTTACCTTCCCCATATATTTTACTAATTGTGTGTTAATACACTCAAACTTTTTAGGTTGAAGTTTTCATATTCAATTCTATATACACAAATTTTAAATATAAAGAATTTCTATTTCAGTTTTATTAATCAACAGAGATTTTATACAAGATTTGAAAATATCCTGAACTACTTTATAATTTATTGAAAGACTTTATAGTCTTGTTTTATTTGTTTTATAAAATTGAAATATCAATATAGCTACAGATTATGTACTAATTGTAATTAAGAAGCAATAAATGCTATTTACATGCTTGTCCTGCTACACTCCCAAGGTAAGGTTAGGTCATGGTTTTCTATACTGATTTTCAGGCAAACTCTAATATTCACAATATTTTGGTGCGATGCTGGCGATTAAGTATTTATGTACTATGCCAATAGTCAGGATTGTACTTAATACATTTAGTATTAAAACATACTGTCTATTCGGAGGACGGGCTGCAAATCCGAGCATGTATCGATCAGATAAATACAAACAATTGCCTACCTTTGTGTAGTGGAGCTGCCACCACCAGACTGGAAACCTGAAGATGTGCTGTTATTTGACCCTGCACAACTGCCCACATTATTACTGTTGTTCGATCCTCCACTATTACCTCCGCTAATAACTCCACCAGGAGGGAGAATTTTAAATCTGAAATCACAAAATTATAATAATTAGATAAAGTTTGCTTGCAAAAAAGCATCCCTAGCCAGAATATTTTAGAATATGGTGGAGCTGGCGGCAGAGCGGACAAAACGCTGGACGCGTGATCCTGTGGTCCCGGATTCGATCCCGGGCACCGGCGAGAAACAATGGGCAGAGTTTCTTTCACTCTGATGCCCCTGTTACCTAGCAGTAAATAGGTACCTGGGAGTTAGTCAGCTGAAACGGCCTGCTTCCTGGGGGGTGGAGGCCTGGTCAAAGACCTAGCCGTGGGGACACTAAAGCCCCGAAATCATCTCAAGATAACCTTTCACAACCTTCCCTACCCTTCACAACCTTCCTTACTCTTAACCACCACCACCACTTAACTAAGGTGTTACCGTAACAAATTATCTCAAGACTGATTCAAAAAGCTTTTCAAAAAGCTAGAAATCTTTCTTCAGTTTGAAAAACAGATTTGCACAGTAAAATAACATACTGGACAAAATAATACGGAAGGAAATGCAGAAGAAAACCATTGAAGAGTAGAGATGCCATAGTGTAACGACCTCATTTGTAATGACCATTACTAGGTCATACTAGCAAACAGAACTCCCCAATAAGAAAACAATCAAACAAGCATGACACTCTCCTCAGTTCAGGCAATGAACCACTGGGGAGCAGTCCAAATGGAGTCAAATCGTCGATCCGTGAGCGACTTGAACCCTCCGAAGAGAATACCACACCGCCGTGAACTCCCGCACCGTGCTGTGTTGTCCCGACGGTTAGACTGATCCCCATTGCCAATGGCCGGACTGGTGAGCACTGGTTACAAAACCCCAGCCTAGAGACAACACGTCCGTGAACACATCGCACGAACGAGAGCTCAGTTAGGTGCCCCGGTAATGAACCCCGAAAAATCCGAAAAGGAAGCTGGCAACACAAGGCCCCCCGGGATCCAAACCCAGCGATAGCGAGAGCAGTGGAAGGGATGTCCCCGAAGGAACCAGAACAGCCGCCGAAACCAGATCCGACCCAATGAGTAGCCCAGCACAACATAGTTCAGACGTCTGCACAGCTACTCTAACAACTGACGCATGACTCGGGTGCCCTCCCAAAAATAGCCAAAGGCAGGACAGCAGCCGCAGCTATGCCGCAGGAGGGAAAAACGAGGCGGCGGTCCAAGAGTCCCACACATGACCTAATTAAGAGAGCCCGACTGCACAACTAGCTTACGACGACCAAATGAACCCCTGGCACGATCCTTCCGGGCAGGACCCCCCCCCCCCCAAGAGAACCAACAAATCGAACATGAGCCAGCAACTCTAGACAAAGCCGCCTGCAGAAAATGCACCACCGCAGACTCTGCAAACAGCAACAGACAAAAAGGACAAAAATCTAAGAGCCAGGGCCAAAGCAGATTCCAAAGAGTGGACGAGCACCACCTGCTGGCACACGAGGCACGAAGCAAAGAACAGACAACTTCTTCAAGGTAGTTGACGCCCGAGCCGCGAGGCAAGTGTATAAGACGCCGGTCTGGGACCCAGTTCCTCCACAAACTTCTCGAGCCAGTCCGAAGACAGCTCCAGCAGGGAAAAGAAAAGCAAGACCGAAGCCAAATGTCCATGGGCGCACAAATCCTTGGCCACCATGAAAGCCTTCACCTGCACGTGAAGCTGAACTTGGCTGATGTCACAAGGAAGCACGCATCAAGGTGCTTAAAATTGCCCCCCCCCCCCCCCCAGGAAAACCTGAACGACTGTAGTCAACTCCCGCCATTCAAGTGTTCGAGTCTGACAGAACAAATGCCAAGCCCTAAACGAACAGAAAGGGCAGTCTGCCAACTAGGAAGACTCTGGCCCCTCATAACAGACCCAGTAAAGAAAGAGGAGAGCCAAACTCAAAAGAAGGGTCCATAATCAAGGCAAAATCCAGGTCTTGCAGGAGGTAAGCCGCAAGGGCCTCCAGCACATCCCTCTGTGGGATGTGGGAAGCCAAAATCCTCCAGAAGGAGAGAACCGAGGAACCCAAAAGAACCCAGAACCGAACCCGGGAGAAGTTGAATCCATATCAAACTTGTACGAGAAAGGGGGGGGGGGGATAGGAAAACTCCTTTCTAGACGAGTACTGTCATCTTTTGCTGATGACACGAAGCTGTGACTTGTATTTTTGTCTATACCTTATATGAGAGTAAGGAAAAGCAGTGGTGCAAGGACTATGCCCTGAGGTAACAGAGCTTTTAACTGCAATTGGACTACATTTTATTTGATTGACTGTTACTTTTTGCATTCTACTTGACAGAAAACTGAATGTCCATTGCCCAACTTTACTTACTATTTCTAGTTATCTCAATTTGTGGGCTATCACTTCAGGGTCACATTTATCAGATGCTTTTGCCAAGTCCGTATATACCACATCTGCATTCTGTTTTCTTCTAATGCATCAGTGATTTTGTCATAGTGGTCAAGTGGCTGTGAAAGAAATGATCCTCAATCTAAATCCATGTTCTGAAGACCAGAGGACCTAGACAAACTTTTCAGGATTTTTCAACTTTTTTCTATGTATGAAAAACAAAAATCCCACTGCACTCAACAGTCAGCTTCCTTCAGTTCAACAGTCTTTGTTACAACAAGATGTTAAGTATACATCCCCCTCATAACAAGATTAACTATAGCCGCGTCCAACAGCCTAAATGACCAGTCCAGCAACGAGGAGGCCTGGGCAATGACCGGGCCGCAGAGACGCTAAGCCCCGAAACCATCACAAGGTAACCACAAAGTAACTGTTATACACATCGTGCTTTGTTTTACATCATTCACCATTTCTCTATATGATAACACCTTCTTCCCATATAATTAATAAAAGCATATATTTACACCCTCTTACATAAACAATGAAACTGACCTGCAAGTATCACTAAGATTCCAGGCAGCATTTAAAAGCTGACCGATCTTTGGCACACCACCAGAAGTTGAAAATGCCAAAGCTCCCGAGTGATACATTGGTGATGATCGCATCCCCACCTGAAATTTAAAATAAAAAGCATGTAATAATTAAAATGATATAACTATTTTATACTAGAAGGGGTACCTGGGTCTCTCTCTTCCCCCTCCCCTCCCCCCCTCTCAGAACATGAAATCCCAACACACACACAATGTAACATCAATGTTATTTGTACAATTGTTACCAAGATGCAACACTAACAACTTATTAAACAACATTGTGGTCATGTTGTAAGTTGGGACATAATAAATAGCTGAAAACTTGTTCAAAAATTATATGGAAAACTGAATCCCCATTTCAGACTTCATTTTGCTTCATCTTTTCTAACATCCTACCAAATTTAATGTAAATCTAAGATGGTCAGGTTGGGAGCCATGATAATTTCTCATGGAATGACCCATACTATCTTCCTGGCCCCTCACTTACCGTACCAAGTATGAAATCCTGCTGGTTGGTTACCTCTGGAATCTCTATCTACTCAAATCTCAAATGTTGTAGATGAAAAGTCACAATAACGTGGTTGAAAAAAATGTTGACCAAACCACACACTGGAAATTGAAGAGACAACGACATTTCGATCTGTCCTGGGGCTAGATTCACGAAGTTACGCACTTACGAACCTGAACATCCTTTCACAATCTTTGGCAGCTTTGTTTACAATTATTAAATAGTTAATGAGCACCGAAGCACCAGGAGGCTGTTTATAACAACAACAACAGGTGATTGGCAAGTTTTCATGCTTGTAAACTGTTTAATAAATGTAACCAAAGCCATCAAAGATTGAGAAAAGATGTACACGTTCATAAGTACTTGCGTAACTGCTTCGTGAATCTGGCCCCTGGACCATTATCAAGTCGATTGTCCATTGACCAAATGCTGCATGCTCTGCAATGGCAATCACCCCGCAATTGCCTACATTCCAATCAAGGAATGTACAGTATTGCCAGTCACTGTCATATTTCACAACTTGGTACAAATAATATTGTTTCAGTAGGCTCTCCACCATCCCCATCTATTCTTCATTTTTTTTACTAACTGGTATTTTACTCTTACTTTACTTTTTACTCTTTGGAATATTGCATCTTCTATTAATGTTTGTCAGTTTTGTCTCCATAACGGCAATGACATGAGGATGTAATTCTGCCACCTGTTCTTACAGCTATACCCCTTTACTCGTAATGTCATCTGCATTTGTGTATCAAAAATGTATACTAATTTCTACTAGGCTGCTTAGTTTCTTCCTGCTGGTAAATTCTTCCTTTTGGGCTACTCCCATTTTGCAGGGTGGCATTTATGAGTTTGTTTAGTCACTCGCACTCATTCCTTTGGTTGCGTTCCTCACCAGTGTGATTAGGCCCACTTTCTTGCTTTGTCCAGTTATCCTCCTCCTGCCCAGGTCTCACTTATCAACCCCCCCCCCCCTGCTCTCCATTTTCAGTCGCTTTCCATTTTTCTTCACTTTTCCTCTAATTCTTTTAGCTTCCTCCTATTTTTCCTTGCTTATACCCAGTCAATGAACACTTGAGTGGAGCTACCCGTGTGGAGCTATCTCAGTTCAAATGGCTACAGGGAGCCACCAAGACCCACCTAGAAAGGCATTTTATTGCATTCAATGCAAGTTTTTTTTTCAATGTTTAACTTTTAAACCTAGGTAAGGAATATGGGGTAATCTACTTACATGGTAACCCAATAAATAATAAAAAATTACTACTTACTTGAACGCCCTCTGTAATCTCCGAGCGTTGTTTGCGGCTTTTGCTGCGAAACTTTTCCCAAAGTTTTTTCCTCTGGTTAAAAGGTAACACTCCCCACCAGAAGAGTGACCCAGACTCACACCATGCACACGTGTACAGCTGACAAGTGTGAAGTGACAATATGCGCTCATTCTGTAGCTGCAAAAATCAGAAAGGATATCGTGAATAACCCATACCTTTGCTTTGTTTTTATGTAATGCAAGAAAGTATAGAGCAAGGATACAGTAAGTAATATTCACTAAGAAAAATTTATCAATCACAACCAATCAAGAAATGTATTGCCAGTCACTGTCAGATATATTTCACAATTTGGTGCAATTAATATTACTATATAAACATTTCTATAAAACAAAACTTGTCACCACCTTCCTTTCTGAAAACATTTAAATATGAAGACATAATATGGGAGAATGTTAGGGGTATGGTTGAGGTGAAAGTGTGGTGGTGGTGTGGTTGAGGTTGGGAAGGTGGAAGGTTGGAGGAGATGTGGTTGAGGTGGGGAAGGTGGAAGTGTGGTGGTGATGTGGTTGAGGTGGGGAAGGTGGAAGTGTGGTGGTGTGGGGTGGAGGATGGTGGCACACGAGTGGTGAGGATATATTGAATGGAGATGGCAAAATGAACAAACAATTTATGGTGCTTGAAGAGGGTTGCTATCTGTTACTGTCTACCTACTGGGAGTGAATACTAGTGCTTTATCTGCTGTCTCCTTCCATTTTGAATCCAGTTTGCTTTTTTTTGTGCTGGATGGGTGGTGGGTAGGAATGGTTGGGGCAGGAATAATCTAATTATGTTTACTGGGGTCGAGTTTCAGCTCTTTGGTCACAAATCTCAATTTTTGAATAACTGATGTACAGGTTCGAGCCTGCCGAGCTGTCACATCCACATTTGAAGCTGTAAATGGAGTCTGCCGTCACCACTCCACATATTCCAAATTACATTTGTTCACTTCTAAAACATTGAAAAAAAATTATTTCTAATGCTTCTGTGGTCCATTTAGATATTTAGTTTGTGTGTGTCCCCCCCCCCTTGGTCATGTACAAATTATTTCAAATACTCTGTCCATCTACCCTGTCAATTCCCAAGAATTTATTTTGTAATAATGTCTCCTCACTCTTCTGTCTTCCAGTGACTTGAGGTTCAATTCCCCCAGTTTATCCTCTTAACAACATCCATATAAGAAGGACTAGACAATTGGTCATCCATCCTTAACTGCCTTCCCATGTTAATCCAGCAGTAATTGGGGAACTGGTTGTAAGATGATTGGTAGATCATATTCCAGGTTAAACTGATAGAGGTAAGGCTCAAGTTAAGCTGTTGAAGGGAGAGCTCGAAGTCTGCTAACACAAGTCAGAAGGTGAAATAAAGCAATCCTATATAAAAGGAGATGACCAATACCTTAAAAAGGAAAAGTGGAAAGTTTGAGAGATGATATGGTATAAAGGAGTAATTTTTTGCAGTGTCCACCCATAATGGAACGCTCAGACAAGCAACATACTTAGATTATACAAAAGTATATAAAAAAAAAATGTATTCAAATAGAAATAAATGAATCGTACCTCTGGGAAAGATTGTGCAGGCTGCTCTAGTTTAGTGGCTACATCAGCTAACGTCTCATCAAGCCACGTGGCCACACGACCTGACTCTGTAGCAACGCTGCATCTGACTCCAGCAGCACTAATAGCTACCACTCTCTCCCCTGCCAATCCAAGAGGCACTGCTTTCGGATGGTGTACACTTGGTAGCTGATAACCACAAAGATGCATATATATTAACACACACAAAATGTAAGGAATCATTCTATGAAGAAACCTTTTATTAATTAAAGACAAATTTATCAGTCAAAGAGTAAGTTATAATTGATATTATTTACATGTTTCTTCAAAAAGTACATGTGGCTACTAATCTAAATCACAGGGGCAACAACTATCACTGATATTATGACAATAACCTTAACAAGGAAGGCATGTACATCACACTGACAAAATAAGCTTAGCATCCCATACCTCAGGGTGTACATAAGGGTCTTTGTCTGCCCACCGCCACTGGTATAACTGCCCTGCAGTAGACACAGCCACCAATTCAGAGTGAAGGGCAGCAATGTGCGAGAACCTTGGAGCTGGCTGATTGCCTTGTCTCTCCGGCCAGTACTGCAGACTGTCTGCCACATCGATGGCGTCGGGTAGTAGAGAATCTTTCTTCTTTCCCGTTTCTGCAATTTTAATAAAATCACTATAGTATTTGGACACAAATGAGTAATGTTAATTATAGCACGGGTTTAAGAAACTATAGATATAGTACTGTATAGTACAACATATCACACGATTGTTTTCCCATTTGGAAGACTAACAAAAAATCTTTGTACAGTATTTTACTTTGATGAACATACTCAAATAAAGTAAATATGATAAATGTGTTAATAAATGCTTCAAGCTACTGCACAAGTGAATTTTAATGAGAATAAAATTCTGAATAATTTATATTGTATGTATAAACAAACTCCAATTTTCAAAGCTCAAAACAAAGTTTTAGCATGAATATATCCTAAAGCTAAAAAAGGGGGGGGGGGCCTAGAAAGGAGTGTCAGCAACCAGACATCCTGCAGACAAGATATGAATGTAATGCAGGTTCACTGCCACTCCACCCAAAATGTTCAGAAAATTTTCATCCTTGAACAACCTTACCCCCCCCCCCCAACTGCACATATAAAATTAAGTACAATATTCTGGTATGCATTAAAAAAATATTCCAGCAAATTATTTAGGTCTTTCTGCATCATAAAACATTGTTTACTGAGGTCAAGAAAATGCTACTTATTTCAGTTAGGCCGTAGCGAGGCGAAGAAATGTTGACGTCATGCCCCGAGGTATAATTTTCAAATTAACTATTTGTAATAGATGCCTCCTCAGTAGTATCATCTTGATCCATAAAAGTCCTTACAATTTTGCATGACACCAATGGTTCTTAGCATGGTCGTCAGTCAACGGATGGTGTTGCACCAAATATGATGCACCCCCCATTTTTTTTATTAAGGTCTAGGAAGAAAACCAAGGCTTTCAAGATTTTTTCAACTACGAAAAATAATTGCCATTCAATACTGAAAGCCTCCAGTATCAAATGATATCCACAGTCAGTGGGAGTTTAGTATATTATGAAGCACATCTAGTCTTCCACAGATAATTGGGGCACAGGTGTCTATCACTTCAGAGTGATGGGAGTAGTTTAAAGGAGTTACTTCTATAAATAATCATGTTTCAAGAAGTACCTCCTACCTTTAATTAGGGGTTAAGATCACAAACCGACCTAACTTGCAAGTGCAATAGCTAAGCACTGGTGTAGGCTCATCAGCTAGCAAGCCCCCAACCCCAAATTTGTAGTAAATCATGAGAAAGGGTCATTACTATAATGAAAAACAAACACCATGAGCACCCATGCAACTTAACTAAATTCTTTGACTCCTACCATCAGCAGAATGGTCCTTTGTTAGCTTTGCACCAGCTTTAAACAAAAAAGAAATAGCTAAATAATCCCACAATAAACAAACCTTATATAGTTGATTCAACCCAATATAAACAAACCTGTATGTGGTTGTGTTACTCTAACCGATAGCAGCGCGCTCGACAGCCACTTCCGAGGTCCAGAATAGTGACGGTCACGCCACCTTAGTTCTCGGTCAGCACGATGCTCCGAGCCGGTAGATCCAGCTGAGCCCTCACGATCTCTCTCACCTGCTCGCCCACGGCTTCCACCAGATCGACTGAAAATTAGTAAGTCGAAACATCAAGCCTTCACCGTAAGGAATCACTACTAAAAGGAACTGCAGATAACAATTTGCAGCTTAATTATACTGTACAACAAAGAAATCCTTGCATGATTAGCAATTTCTTATTTTATATTTATCTTTTTTTTTAACACATGGAATCTCTTCGCAGTTTTCAGGGTCCGAGCCGACCGCCCTCCTTACTCATCAGCCACCCCTATCACCCTCATGCCTCTCAGGGTAAATGGGGCAACAGGGCTGGACTGGGGAATTAACCGAAGGGACCAATCAGAAAAGGCTATCTTATTACTCTCACAATATTATCTCAAAGAAAACAGCTCTACAGAAAGGGAGCAGCCTATTACTGACACGGACAGAAATATATAAAGGTCTTAGCAACAGTGTCAGTCATCAGTCAATTGTAGTTTGTATTGGGCGTGTTATTCCGTGAGTCGGCACTAATGCATTTATATTACAGAATTTCTAGTTTTTAATTATTTCATTATTTCTAAATTTAAAGCATTTTTATTCTTATTTTTGAAAAAGATTCCAATCAAAACAGATATACTGATACAGCATAATAAGAAAGATATATTAGTACTGTACAGTATATGATAAATTGATGGTGTACCTTGACAACCATAAAACCTTGTGCCGTGAGCCCCGAACTGAAGCAGGTTGAAAATATTTCCTCCAAGGAATAACTTGACTGGTGCTTCACTCCAGGGAAGCTATCGAGTGGGCTCCATCCCAGAAATTATTATATTAGCTCAAAACTCCTTATCTTAAACATTTGTATTACCACAGAGATCAGCTTATGTATGGTCTTGACTAAGAGTACATAACAATGTAAAAATATTTAGCCATACCCCTATCAATATGACAGCACTCAGCCCCAAGCTTCTGGATTATTATACACTAGGGATGTACAAAAAAAAATGCATTTTCTTTACCTGCGAACTGAAGAATAGCCAAACATATCATCAGAAAACATGGCATCGGCATCAATTATAACGGAGGGATGGTCAGCGGCAACAGATATGCCAGCATCTAAGAGAGAGATGAGGTCCTCCGGCACATACGAGTCACCACTTTCCTCTGGTTCCTCCACGTCCTCATCGTCCCGTGACAATAAATTGTTCACTGCCAGGTTTACATCAAGGTTGGTTCTCTGTGAAGAATTACATTACAGTATATGGTCAATACATATAATACAATATGATACAGTATATCAGAGACTGATAAAAATACAGATTCTACACACACAAAAAAAAAAAAGTTACGGTAAAATTTTAGCAAAATATAAAATATTGATCTTTAATATTGCAAACTATATATAGTTCAACAGATTGCAACCTGTATTCAGGTTATACATATCCAAGCTGCAGCCGAACCCATGTATTTATCCATTTTATATTGTGTACTTTGGCAGCAGGTTCTCACTTACACGTTTCATTGCATATAACTGCGTATTTCGTGTTGATTATTTCCTTGTTTAGGGCTTCCATCCCTCTAACTAGTGCTCTTGTATCTTGGTTCAATTGGAAGAGTATTTCTCCAAATGTCATATTTTGCTCAAATTTGACGAAAAAACAAAACTGTATGCAATCAGTTTTCGAGGTGCAATTCGAGTAGGGATTGCACCTCTGCAATCCATATCCAAATCAAATCCAAACATATCCAAATTGCTGTTCAATTAAAGTTTAAATCATCATCAGTTGTAAGTCCTATGTAAATATTTTTAATTAATAAACTGGATTTGGTGGCTGCATTAACCCCTAAGTGCAGCTATCGATATATGTTGATCGAGTGTAATGTGGTTGTATGTCAATTTTAACTATTATTATCTGGTTTTAATAACAATGACACTAATATAAATATAACAGCTCTATATGAATGTAGTGGAGTTAACGTACACCAATTGACACTTTCGCCTTCCTGGCGTGCGCGCCCCAGCCTAGCCCAAGGTGGGCCGAGCGTTTCGCGCGAGCGGGCAGCCACACTAAAATGTGTACACTCTTTTCAGTTTTCTCACCTCAATTTTTATTATAAGTCATTCATTTTGGTATCAAATTGTTTGCAATAGAATTCCCTTCAGCTGTATATGCATATAAGGTCCAAAAGCCCAATGTGCCACCCGCAACAAACCCAAAAATCAGCCGAGCGTTACCCCATGAGCGCGAAGCACTAAAATACAGTATGATTACTCTTTAATTTTCTCACCTCAATTCTCGTGCAACGTCGTTCATTTTGGCATCAAATTGTTCGTAATAGAATTTCCTACAGGGGTATATGCCTAGAAGGTCCAAAAACCCTGCCCTTCAAGAGTTTCTCTGTCCCCTTGACTGACCACAGTCAGTAAAGTTTAAGCTATCCAGAAAACACTCCTGAGAGATGCAACTGAACATGATATGTTCATTGTGTGATAAAGGGTTGCAGGTCTTCTGAGTACTAGAAAATGGGGCTGTGAAGAGTACAAAAAGGTGGGGAACCACAGCTCTATTGTACTTGACAAGCAAAATGAAGAATGCATAATTTTTTTGTTTAATAGAGACCAGTTGACTTTTGATGTGCTGATCTTGGTTATTATATTATGTGTACATTATCAGTCTTCTTTGGTCTTGACCCCATCTAATCAACTTTGCATCTGTAAACATTGTTGAGAACACTCATAGTTCCCCAGGGAGGTCATTTACATTAATCTGGAACAATAGTGGTTTCAGCAACAAGCCCTGCAGGACCCCACTTGCTACTTATCTCCATTCTGACACTTCCTCTTCCATTAATATCCTGTTTCCTGTTTATCTGATGCACTCTACTCCATTCAAGCAAATTTCCATTACCCTAGGCTGCTTTTCCAGTTTTCAAGTCAGCTTTTCATGGTGGCCAGGTTTTTGGCAATATAGAAAAGTGCATTCCACCCATCCTTTTCTCTCGTGCCATATCTTGCCAACCTTGTCGCTTCACTTGTATTAATACTGTAACTCCCTCTCTTTGTGTTAGGTAAATTTTTAGACTTTACAAATTTTGTCATTCTCAAATAGCATATCCTCTAACTTCACTTCCTGGGTAAACATACGAGAAAGATTAGGAGTAGCAGAACTCGACAAAAACAACAAACATACCTGCAATTCCCTGATTATAAGGTTGCGACTCCTGCCTTGAAGCACCACTTGGGCTTGTGATATGAGTTCTTCTGGAACATATTGTGCTGGCAACATGGGGCGAGACGAGCCCATAATTACCCCGGCCCCCCGCCCTCGTACTCCACCAGAGCCAGAGGTGGTGCGAACAATGCGGCGGCCTCCGGTGGACATGCGAGCTGTCAACTTGGTGCTGCTTTGGCTGCTGCTCTTGTTGCAGCTTCTGTTAAGAGTAAAATGGTTAAAATTCATAGTAAGTACTTCAGACACTCAAGTTATTAAATAAAATATTTATACATATATAATTTTATTCAAATACTGTGCTACAGGCAAATGTGAAATTTTTCACCATAAAGCATGGAAGACTGTTAATGTGTCATAGCACTCAAGTAGCGGTCACAACGGCAAGGGAAAATGACAGGGTGGTTACCAAGAACCCTTCAAGCAAAAGATGCCAATGTTAGTACTTTTTAAAACACTAATGTTATCTAGGATGGATTACCATTGCACACTAACAGTCTCATTCTAATCTGGAGAAGTTGTTAAACGTAACTGGCACACATGCAGACAAGCTTTACTGCCTGAATTCTTTCAATAAAACATTAAATTATTGGGAGTGCTCAAAATCCTTAAACTTTACTCCCTGACCTACATGCAAGAGATGTACATAATAATTTACACAATTTTTAGAGGGATTGCTTCTAACTCTGCACATTAGTATCAAACAATTCACTCATTACACCATTAACTCTTTAAACATGAAAGAATAAAGTAAAATGCAGAATATCTATTGACTGATGAGGCATCTCCTATTTATGCCCTATTAAACTCAACTCATATGCATCTGCATTTAATAATACATGTAATAATACTAAATCTGCATTTAATAATACTAAATCCATACATGTTCTTCGCTCTCAAAAAGTCATTTATTATTAACTGTCATTTGCTTTTCTAAAGTCAATGAATGACATTTACACCTTACAATAATTCTCATGGCTTCTCTACAAGATACTTCTGCACCCTCCTCTACCCTGCCTCCTGTTTTAACATGGCAAACTTTAAATCCCTTTATGCTCAAGTTGCCAGGCATGACTCAACTCGTCTAAAACTTCTCTAACAAAGATCACCTTCTCCGAGTGCACCACCGCTGTCATCCTGACTACTTTTTCCAGTACTGTACTTTGCAAGGGATGCAAAGAGCCCTTACAGCCAAGCATCTTTTTATCTCCTTAGTACAATGTGTTTGGAGGCAGGCATCTGGTAGCAGGAAATTAGTCACTTGCTATAAAAAAAAAAAAAAGACAAACCATGTACATTGCTGATTAAAGCCAGTTCTATAATGCTTGCAGAAATCTAAAAGTTGCTTTCAATTGGCCGCAGAATAATTTCTGCCGAGGAAGTAAGAGCTGATGCTTAAGGCAACCGAAACCTTTCATAGTGAAATTTCATCACCCAAAGTAACATTTATTTCTTGGTGCACAAAGCTGGCAGCATGCCTTAAGGTTAACGAAGGCTTTCCGCTACAGATCATGCCAATATAAAAAGTACACACATACTAGAGATATACTATGATAACACTTTAATTATAGACCAAATTTTCTCTGAAAGTGTTTTAGTATATATAATAGACAAGTGCTACATGCTTACAAAGTAACAAACCAATGGTGGTGGAGGATAGGCAGAGTTGGGGGGCAGAGCAAGGCCAGGCCAAGGCAGAGCAAGGCCAGGCCAGGCCAAGGCAGAGCAAGGCCAGGCCAGGCCAAGGCAGAGCAAGGCCAGGCCAGGCCAAGGCAGAGCAAGGCCAGGCCAGGCCAAGGCAGAGCAAGGCCAGGCCAGGCCAAGGCAGAGCAAGGCCAGGCCAGGCCAAGGCAGAGCAAGGCCAGGCCAGGCCAAGGCAGAGCAAGGCCAGGCCAGGCCAAGGCAGAGCAAGGCCAGGCCAGGCCAAGGCAGAGCAAGGCCAGGCCAGGCCAAGGCAGAGCAAGGCCAGGCCAGGCCAAGGCAGAGCAAGGCCAGGCCAGGCCAAGGCAGAGCAAGGCCAGGCCAGGCCAAGGCAGAGCAAGGCCAGGCCAGGCCAAGGCAGAGCAAGGCCAGGCCAGGCCAAGGCAGAGCAAGGCCAGGCCAGGCCAAGGCAGAGCAAGGCCAGGCCAGGCCAAGGCAGAGCAAGGCCAGGCCAGGCCAAGGCAGAGCAAGGCCAGGCCAGGCCAAGGCAGAGCAAGGCCAGGCCAGGCCAAGGCAGAGCAAGGCCAGGCCAGGCCAAGGCAGAGCAAGGCCAGGCCAGGCCAAGGCAGAGCAAGGCCAGGCCAGGCCAAGGCAGAGCAAGGCCAGGCCAGGCCAAGGCAGAGCAAGGCCAGGCCAGGCCAAGGCAGAGCAAGGCCAGGCCAAGGCAGAGCAAGGCCAGGCCAAGGCAGAGCAAGGCCAGGCCAAGGCAGAGCAAGGCCAGGCCAAGGCAGAGCAAGGCCAGGCCAAGGCAGAGCAAGGCCAGGCCAAGGCAGAGCAAGGCCAGGCCAAGGCAGAGCAAGGCCAGGCCAAGGCAGAGCAAGGCCAGGCCAAGGCAGAGCAAGGCCAGGCCAAGGCAGAGCAAGGCCAGGCCAAGGCAGAGCAAGGCCAGGCCAAGGCAGAGCAAGGCCAGGCCAAGGCAGAGCAAGGCCAGGCCAAGGCAGAGCAAGGCCAGGATGGGGCAAGGCCAGGGGTGAGGACAATGAGGTGAAGGTGCGAGATACGTACATCAATTTATATTTCTGAAGAATTAATTTATCTATAGGAATAGTCGCACTGAATTTTCCATTATGTTTGATGTTGTAGTGATTAACGGCTGCAGACAATATACACTACCTCCTAATGTTGTTTTTGTTTTTGATAAGTTTAGCATCCCTGAATTTTCCTAAGTGTTGCTCTTGGTTCCTGTGTGAGATACAAGCACCATTGGCACTATCGACATGGCAGCCATACTTATGCTCGTAAAGCCTTGTATCTATGTCACTTACATATATGCAGGCGATGAGCCACAATAATGTGGCTTAAGTAGTTTGACTAGACCACACACTAGAAGGTGAAGGGACGACAACGTTTCGGTCTATCCAGGACCATTCTCAAGTCGATACTTCTAGTGTGTGGTCTAGTCAAACTCGCTCACATATGCTGTCAACTCATGCAGGGTATAGTATACACCTTTGCTGTGGTGACTGTTGTTGCTAGTTCTGCTTTGACAAGAGTTTTGAGTGTAGATATATTTTGAGCAAGCCATATATGAGCTTTATTGCAGACATTGCCTATGTTGTTTGCAGCTTGCCCTGTCAGGAAAATACTCAGTCGCTCTGGGTTTGTTCGGTTAAGGGTTACTATTGATGCTATTAGTTGCTTGCTTTCTGCATTCCCTAATGAAGGATATGGGGTATTTAAGACTTAAGAATGAATTAGGGATGTAGTGACATGCATCTTAAAGGAACTGCTGGTTACAAATCCTATAAGCTCAGAGCAAGAATCCAATCACTGTGCCACATTTTGTCCTACTCTAATAGCATGGCGAATTCAAATGAATGAGGTAGTTTCTGTACATCGATTTCTTGTATTATCTGAAATTCAGAATTTCACCATCTTTCATTACTGTATTAGTGTCTAGAGAAGGAAAACGTTTCTCCCAGCATTCAAGGAAGGCCACAGTACATTTGAATCAGGCAGACTTCAGCTCCTGATCTCCCATTATTTTACGATTATCATAGCACTTACAAAGACCAACAAAGGCCTTCACAATATATGTATTTTTTTATATTTTTACTTTTATATTCATTTCATATAAAAAACAGAAGGAATGTGTTGACCACTGCCCAGGCCTAAATAAGGATAGATTTTTAGTGTACTGTATTTAGTATTTTCCATACTTTCATCACAGGTCAACCATTTCATAACAAGAATCGAGTAAAATATTTTTTTTTTTTTTTTTTGCTCACAGGCATGGTGGCAATTTTTATAAGGTAAAGCAACTTAACATGCTATTTCAGTGCTGGAAAAAAAAATCTTCAAAGGATTACACAAGTAATTTAATAGATACTGTCAATGGAAGGCACCATTACAATGCCAAAATGTAAGAGCCAAACCAGAAGTAATTGTGGTGTATTCATAAGTCAATTGGATCAACGAAATCAAAGGGTAGCAGTGTTATTCCCATCAGTTCCAAGGCCTTATTAGTTGGAACCTTGGTCTAAGCAAGGTGGCATCCAGACTAACTAGCTTCTTATTATTCACTTTAATGGCCCTAATTAAGTGCAGAAACTCTCCAGTTTGTTTAAGATGTGCATTACAAATAAAGTGCCAATAGTTTAAACAAAGATTTCTCTAAAATGATGTACCAGCAGGTTTAATGAGAGGAGCTGCTAATACCAGAGGTGACTGAATACATGGGAATGTTAAGAGTTGTAGATTTTAGGCAGACTGCACAGGGAGGCAGGGTTGGTGTCATTAGGAATGAGATGCTGAAGTCGTTTCCCACAGTCAGGAACTTAATCTCCTCCTCATCACTCGCTCACCTTGTCTATCCATCACCATGACCTACCTATCCTCTTCTAACCATCAAGTTCTCTTTAATACAGTATATCCATTCACCATTTAAAATACACTTATTCAATATGATCAAACAATCTCAAACTTTCTTCAGTTTTACATTTTGAACCATTTTGTATGTCACACCTTTCCATTACATATTCATTCTTTGCTACTGTATAGCATATCTATTCTTTTAGCACCACAAATGCATCTCAAGATTGTCCACTTCTACTGCTTTATTTTAGCATAAGTAGAACACAAAATTTATAATTTAAAGGTATACTGAATACAACAAAATAACTTCCAATAAATTTAGAAGTAATGTATGCGCTCGTTTATTCGAGTTTCACTAAACCAAATATTTGGGTTATCCGGCCTAAATTGCATCTGGATAATTTTTTGCCAAACTTCGCCATATCCAGACAGAAATCAAGATAACCAGAGATTTTGTCAGAGCGCAAACTGGCACAGAGTCTAAGTTGAGTCCGGATAATTTTCCGGCAAAACCTTGTCATATCCGGGCAGAAATCAGTATACCTGGAGGTTAGTTACGTAACTTTTTAAGACCTACACATTTCAAGATCTACAGTATCAAAGAAAACTACAAGGTAAGCTGAAGTTTTTCTTTTAAAATATATATTTTTTTTAGTGTGGGGAAATTTGAATTATGTTGGTTGTGGTACAAAAATACTGCAAATATGGTCAGTTTTTGGATTTTTCCTGCAAGAATTCTGTTTATCCAAATGTCTAGCTTATCCAATAAAGGGTAACACTGACAAGCAAGCTTGGACAGTACAAGCATGGCACATACCAGATGACCACACTTGCTTACCCTTGTTTGTGATCTGCCTTATTGAGATCCAGAGCATCAGTGTTGATGGAGAAGACAAGACGAGCCACTCGGCCATCTTCAGTGAGGACTGCAATGTGTGATGGCCCTATAGCCACCTGGCGGATATTTTCCCGTAGCCCTGCCACCGCACTCACCCCAACTCCACCTGACCAGTTCAGACGAAGACCCAGTTCTTTAAGCCTGGAAAAGTATAATACAGTACTGCAATAATTATATATAAATATAAACAAAAATGCACACATACATCAACTCACCAAGGAAATGGAGACAAAAATGAATAGTTGAATTTAATAAACATACCCTATACTGAATACCTGAATTATACTATATACTGTATTATTAAAATAGCGCTTATTATATTTCTCAATGTAAAAATACTCCAATTATATTGTAAGAAAAAGTATCTTAAACCTTAGGTGATTTTATATATACGAGATTCTCATCAGATAATCACATATACTTTATGCTGTATTGAGTATTATTTTATAATGATAAATTTCAAGACATCCTTCAAGTACAGTTACCAAGTCACTGGTAAAATAGTAATCACAGACACTAAAAAGGGCAGAAAGCACTTTCATAAAGTTACTCAGTTCTAAATGTCTCAAAGTTAAGATACACTTAAAACCAACAACTTTATGCACAAACAGCACAAAACAACCACTAGACAGTGACATTGTAACTACCAGTATTAGGCTGGGATATCGATAATTATGGCAGGTGGTACGAGTCTTAGATACCCTGAGCTCTGGAATTACTTCACGCTCAAATACTGGAAGACATTCTTGTGATCTACCCAGAGTTAGCAAGTGTAGGCTAGTATACTAGACTTGTATCTCATGATTTCTCTTGATTCTATGCACGACTAGCCCTCCTGTGAGATGGGGATATTAGGTGAACTAATAAGAACATAAGAATGAAGGTAACTGCAGGTCTATTGGCTATACAAGAGTTGTTACATTCTTGTACAACTACTAGTACGCGTAGCGTTTCGGGCAGGTCCCTGGAATACGATCCCCGCCACGAAGAATCGTTGTTACAACCAAGTACCCATTTTACTGTTGAGTTAAACAGAGGTTACAGTTAAGGATTTGCGCCCAGTAAATCCTCCCCGGCCAGGATACGAACCCATGACAAAGCGCTCGCAGAACGCCAGGCGAGTGTCTTACCACTATACCATGGAGACTGGTAAAATATGAAGCAGCGTCTATTTACATCAATCTAATCTCATTCATACATATGCTAACCTATGCTTGAAACAACCAAGGGATCCTAACTTCTATGATCCTAACTTCTATTATGTTACGCGATAATCGGTTCCACAAATCAACCACCCTGTTACTGAACCAGTATTTACCCAGGTATTTCCTAAATCTAAACTTAAGATCATAAGAATGAAAGTACATAACTGCCACCTCTTGTACTGATCTATACTTTTATAATCCCTCATATAGAATAGCACACTGCTCTATATACTTAAGCTTCTTAATGAAAAAAATTTATAAAATCACCCATTGCTGTTTACAAGTCAAGAATATAAATCCAAATTAGCTAAACATGAACACTGGGATTTACTAACCACAACTTAGCACAGATTTCCAAAATGTTTTACAAACATTCTGGTTTATAGGCTAATGTACTGGGAAGTAGTGGGAATACTTGGTAATGATAGCCAAATACAAAGTTTGAGAAAATAATGGAAAACAGAAGTTTGGGAGGGTTATGGAACACATACTTTACCATATAATTTTTCATTCATTTGTAATTAATTTAACTTTAATTCTTGTTTTGTATTCATTGTGTTAGGGGACAGGTAACCAATATATACAGTACATGTTAGGCTTATATCGAGGTCCCCCTCAAGGGTTGAATTACTGACCTCCCTCCCTGGGGGTGTGTAACAAAAAGGAGGCCTGGTCAAGGACCGGGCAGCGGGGACGCTAAGCCCCGAAATCATCAAGATAACCTGTACCTTTAGCTTCACAAGAGTGCTTTTGTACGTGTTTATGAGAGGTCATGAACTGGTGGCCTGAACAGTGTAGCAAACATAAAAACATGGTCAACCCCTATCTAGTACCCTGATGAATGACAATTACATGTTATTGTGAGGGCATGGAGAGGTTATCAGTCACTAGTTACCCCCCCCCCTAATAGCTTTCAAGCAAGGTTGTCAGCTGGACATGTAACAGACAATACTGATCTTTGTATGGGTAGCTATATTGATATCTGTATGGGAAAAGGTGGAGAACCTTATTCAGGCTCTCTAAGCATTCTCTCTTTGCATCATTATGAAGTAGCATGCTGTTGCCCTCCATTTTTGTGGTAACTAAAATGTACAGCATGACCTTCAAAATCTGGACCTCCATACAGTGCCAGTACTGTACAATGGAAACCTCATACAATCTGGTAAGATTTTGTTTGCTCACTCCATGGAGTGTCATGGAGTGGACAAACAGTGGTGGTCTCAGTAACACGCTTTGGGAGACCCCAGGTGTTACATTCCTCCAGCTCAAAATTTTGTCAGTGACTTTTCTGTCATTCAGGTATTCCCTTACTCAATTCATTATTATTGACTAGGCACAAATCCCTAACTGTATGCCTCTTCACCCAGCAGCGAATCGGTACCTGGTTGTTAAACGATTTGGTGGGAAATAGTCTGGGGAAAATTAAGATTAAGGACCTGCCCGAAACGCTGTGGGTGCTAGTGGCTTTACAAGAATGTATAAACGCTTGTATATATAAATAAAAAAATCCTCCCAGCATGTCTCACGGTCTTGTACACCTGCCTACATTATACCCAAACACCGGTGGTCCGTAAGCTTATATACCAAATATTACAGAACTATTGCTTGCACACTTGGATTGCAACCGACTGAACCTGTACTGTACAGTGACACCTCAGCTTACAAATGCCCCCCTTTACGAACTTTTCAGGTTACGAGCCCAATTTCTTTGTAAAATCCTAATTGGGTCAAGAACTTTGCCTTGGGTAACGTACTTTGTTGATACACATATGGCCGACCTAGCGCATGGTGGCACAGTAACCACGCCTCAGTTTACCAGTGCCTCCTGCCTAGTGACAATCACACCTGAATTCTGTGTAAAGAATTTAATTTTTTTCATATTTTTGGGTATTTGAACATAAAAGTAATTATTATATAGTATATATCTCACCATGGGTCCCAAGAAAGTCAGTGGTAAGGTTCAACCTAAGAAAATAGTTGTGAGTAGAGGCAGTAGAGGATGTCCCTTCCTCAATAAGAAAATGTGTGAAGTATGGGAAAAACTGCAAAGTTTTGTTGAAAAAACTCACCCAGATAAAGCTGTAGTAGGCCGTTGTATTGACCTTTCAAATGACAATGTGATGTGTCACTACAGACAAGTGTTAAATTGTTGGGAAAAGCAAGTGTCTTTAGACAGATTCTTAGCAAGACAAGCAAGCAATTAGCCACAACCAGGTCCTAGTGGTATGCCTGCAAAACGTAGAAGAGTGTACCCCAGAGAAGTCATCACTGCCTGATGTTATAATGGAAGGGGACTCCCCTTCCAAACACTAACACCTCTCTTCCTCCTGACAATCTTCCATACACCAACAAGAGTCATCAATAAAGGTAAGCAGTAAATTGTACATACTTTAGTACTAAAGATTTGGGTGAATTAGATATAAAATTTACTTTGAACTTAATATTTTTGGGAGTGTGGATCAGATTAATTCAATTCACAGTATTTATGGGAAAATTCGCTTCGATTTACAAATTTTCAGGTTATGAACCGTCTCTGGGAACGGATTAAATTCCTAAGCTGAGGTACCACTACATTTGATTCCCAAACAAGACAAAATGTTTGGACATGCCCTCGTGTTATTTCACCTGATGTGCCTGTTCACCTAACAGTAAATAGGTTCCCAGGAGTAAAACAACTGTTATAGGTTGCATCCTGGGCAGAAGATCAGTAGTGAACACTATGTAGACCTGGATAAACACACACTATTTTTTATTCATTTACTGTACTAATGTATATATATACACAAGAAGGTAGAGTGGGTTGCGATATTACACACGTTGGTGAAGTAATACATTCTTGAAAAGCCACGAATATGCATAGTGTTTTGGGGAGATTGTAAAGCTCAACAAAGGTTAAGGAATATTTAATACAGTACTGAAGACAATATAATGTAATGATAGGTACATAGTAACAGAATTTGAATTCACATAATTACTTCAGCAGTAATACAGCGAGTCAGTAATACAAGACACTGCACGAGTCAGTGGGACAAATAGAGGGACCCTTGACAAGCCGCCAGCTTCCTGTCCTCATTAAAGCTACTAGTGTTAGTGGCCCTCAGGTAAATTCAGGTAGATTAACCCAAAACATGAAATGGAAAGATTCTGGCCTACCATCTAGTCAATTAATTGAGTTCCTAAATATTTCCAACCATTCCTACCCACCCAGCAAACCTTCCCTGGCCTTCATGTTGGCATTATTTGTAATTTTGGTTTTGCATCAATTATAGAATTGTTAATTGCAGTATTAATTATTTTAATTATTGTCATGACTGTCATTTGTAATCAATTCAATGACTCATTTGAGAGAGATCATAGTATATGTATCACTCGGTATGTGCATTATATTTAGTGATAATAGGTCGGTTATGGGACAGGGATGTGACCCGGGTGGCAGGTGTGGCCAGGTCACACCTACACACCTGGCAGGCCACACCTGAGAGGCCTCCCCAACACGGTAATATTTGCCAGCAGTGAATCATGCCCTCCGACCTCACTCCATCACCCTCAAATTCCTTCCCTATCTGCCCTGTATCCAGTGCCTGAGCCAGCTGCTGGTCGCCTCTGGGGTGCCTGCAACACCATACACGCCCCAAGCTGGTCCTGTGCCAGTTACCGAGGCAGAACAACCAGCCGAAGATGGCGTTCACGAAACATTTATGGAGAATAAGTGTATAGCGGGGCAGTGTGGTGGGGGGCTGCGGAGCATGTTTCTCTCTCTTCCTTACCTCTCATTGAGCTGGTCCTCGGTCCCTGGCAGCGGGTGGATGACACAGTGCAGCGAGGTCATCTTGCACGTCTGCAACACGCGCCAACAGTTAGGAGGAGATGATCAAACTGGGCGAGAACATGTGTGTGTGTGGCGGTGAGTGCGTGCTAGCTCCCCGCCGCCATGTTGTGGCCGCCGGAGCCTCTTGACCAGCAGGAATATTACCTTCCCTCGCCTCTCTCACCTCTCACACCTCAACACTCTACCTCTCGCACACTTCACACAGTTACCACTTTTTATTCCACGGCGGAGACCGATTGGTGTAAGCGGGGAGCATGCATACTGGTGATTGGGGATATATATATATAGATGTCGCTGCTGCGGCCGCTGGTGAACCTGTTCAAATGGAGCTTTAATTTGCCTTCTTGGTAAACCTTTCTGCCAATACCTCGCGCATCTTAACTCTCCTCCACCTGATTAATAACTACACTTCCTATATTTTATTGTACTAACTTTTGCAAATAGAGTATATATATACATGACTGAGAATGGTAGGATTTATATAGGACCAGCCACGATACTAATGGCTCATAGCCTACTAGGCCTATTGTACTTCCTTTATTTTATTTATTTATTTATTTATTTATTTATATACAAGAAGGTACATTGGGTTGTGAGAGTACATAACACTAGTGTACTTACATTCTGAGTACTTACTTACATTCGTACTTAATTCGTAGTTTTTTTATTATTATTAGCAAAATTAGGTATACACAGCAATGTGCTGCTACCCTATTCTATATGAGATATTACACACACTGTAGATCAAGAACTAGCTATAGGTTTAACTATTATTCCCATCTCACAGGACGGTTAGTCATACATGGAATATTAGGGGAGATAATACCTGCCTTAATACAAAAACAAACAGCTCTGACTAATCAGCTGGCTATAAGTTCATCTAATATTCCCATCTCACAGAATAGTTAGTCATACACGGAATTAGGGGAGAAAATACCAGCCTCAATGCAAAAACAAATCAACTCTGACTAAAAATCAGATGAGAACATGATCTGTTACCCTCCACTAGGAAAGGACAAGAATATCTTCCAATATTCCTGAGTGCATGAAGTAATATGCCTTCATGGTTAGAAATGTTAAAAAAGAGATAAGGAAAGCAAAAAGAAACTATGAAGTTCGCATAGCAGGGCACGCAAAGACAAATCCTAAAGGGTTTTTTCAGTTATATCGTACTAAGACTAGGGAAAGGATAGGTCCATTAAAAACTGAGACAGGTCAAATAACAGATAGTGATGAAGAGATGAGTAGTATTTTTAATAAATATTTTGTATCTGTATTTACTAAAGAGGAACTTAACAATATGCCTTCAGCCGAACAAGTCTATGTGGGTGGGGACGAGGACAGGTTGACGAGTTTAGCAGTTACCAGGGAGGATGTTCTTAAACAAATAGTAAAACTCAAACCAAACAAATCCCCAGGGCCGGATGAAGTGTTTGCTAGGGTGCTTAAAGAATGCAAAGAGGAGCTTTGTGACCCACTGTCAACCATATTTAATAAATCAATAGAGTCAGGCAGAGTGCCAGAGTTTTGGAAAGTTGCTAATGTGATACCAGTTTTTAAGAAAGGAGATAGATCACTTGCGTCTAACTATCGACCAATTAGCATAACGTCCATTGTGGGAAAGTTACTCGAATCTATAATAGCAAATAAAATTCGTCTTCATCTTGAAAAACATAAATTAATAATTGAGTCGCAACATGGTTTTATAAATGGCCGTTCATGTTTAACAAATTTGTTATCTTTTTATTCTAGCATTGTTGAGGCAGTTGATAGTGGTAAGGATTGCGATGTTGTATACCTTGACTTTAGCAAAGCTTTTGATACAGTGCCACATGAAAGACTGATTAAAAAAATAGAGTCTCATGGTATTGGGGGTGCTATATTAAGCTGGATTAGGGCATGGCTATACCAAAGGAAACAGAGAGTTAGTATAAATGGAATCAAGTCAGAGTGGGAAAATGTTGTAAGTGGAGTGCCTCAGGGCTCTGTCCTGGGACCTCTGTTGTTTATAATAACGTCTAACGTCTATTGTGGGAAAGTTACTCGAATCTATAATAGCAAATAAAATTCGTCTTCATCTTGAAAAACATAAATTAATAATTGAGTCGCAACATGGTTTTATAAATGGCCGTTCATGTTTAACAAATTTGTTATCTTTTTATTCTAGCATTGTTGAGGCAGTTGATAGTGGTAAGGATTGCGATGTTGTATACCTTGACTTTAGCAAAGCTTTTGATACAGTGCCACATGAAAGACTGATTAAAAAAATAGAGTCTCATGGTATTGGGGGTGCTATATTAAGCTGGATTAGGGCATGGCTATACCAAAGGAAACAGAGAGTTAGTATAAATGGAATCAAGTCAGAGTGGGAAAATGTTGTAAGTGGAGTGCCTCAAGGCTCTGTCCTGGGACCTCTGTTGTTTATAATATATATAAATGATTTAGATGCAGGTTTGAGTAGCAACATTTGCAAATTTGCCGATGATACGAAAATCGGTAGGGAAATTAATTCGGAGGAGGACTCACTATCACTTCAAGTTGATCTAGATAGGGTTTTGAAATGGTCAAAGGATTGGCAGATGCAGTTTAATGCTGATAAATGTAAAGTTCTGAGGTTAGGTAATGATGATAGAGTTACAAGATACGAGCTAGATGGTGTTGTGATTGCGAAGTCGGATTGCGAAAGGGATCTGGGAGTTATGATTAGTAAGAATTTAAAACAAAAGGATCAATGCATAAATGTTCGTAATAAGGCAAATCGGACACTTGGATTTATTAATCGCAGCGTTAGTAACAAGACACCTGGTGTGGTTCTCAAGCTATATCTTGCTCTAGTTAGGCCCCATTTAGATTATGCAGTTCAGTTTTGGTCGCCATATTATAGAATGGATATAAATTCACTTGAACGTGTCCAGCGTAGGATGACTAAGTTAATTCCCCAAATTAGAAATCTTTCATATGAAGAAAGATTAACAAAGCTTAAGTTGCATTCACTGGAAAGGCGAAGAGTTAGGGGTGACATGATAGAGGTTTACAAGTGGATGAATGGACATAACCGGGGGGATATTAATAGGGTATTAAAAGTATCAACACAGGACAGAACACGAAACAATGGATATAAATTGGATAAGTTTAGATTTAGGAAAGACTTGGGTAAATACTGGTTCAGTAACAGGGTTGTTGATTTGTGGAACCAATTGCCGCGTAACATTGTGGAGGTGGGGTCCCTCGATTGTTTCAAGCACGGGTTGGACAAGTATATGAGTGGGATTGGGTGGTTATAGAATAGGAGCTGCCTCGTATGGGCCAATAGGCCTTCTGCAGTTACCTTTGTTCTTATGTTCTTATGTTCTTATGTAATATATATAAATGATTTAGATTCAGGTTTGAGTAGCAACATTTGCAAATTTGCCGATGATACGAAAATCGGTAGGGAAATTAATTCGGAGGAGGACTCACTATCACTTCAAGTTGATCTAGATAGGGTTTTGAAATGGTCAAAGGATTGGCAGATGCAGTTTAATGCTGATAAATGTAAAGTTCTGAGGTTAGGTAATGATGATAGAGTTACAAGATACGAGCTAGATGGTGTTGTGATTGCGAAGTCGGATTGCGAAAGGGATCTGGGAGTTATGATTAGTAAGAATTTAAAACAAAAGGATCAATGCATAAATGTTCGTAATAAGGCAAATCGGACACTTGGATTTATTAATCGCAGCGTTAGTAACAAGACACCTGGTGTGGTTCTCAAGCTATATCTTGCTCTAGTTAGGCCCCATTTAGATTATGCAGTTCAGTTTTGGTCGCCATATTATAGAATGGATATAAATTCACTTGAACGTGTCCAGCGTAGGATGACTAAGTTAATTCCCCAAATTAGAAATCTTTCATATGAAGAAAGATTAACAAAGCTTAAGTTGCATTCACTGGAAAGGCGAAGAGTTAGGGGTGACATGATAGAGGTTTACAAGTGGATGAATGGACATAACCGGGGGGATATTAATAGGGTATTAAAAGTATCAACACAGGACAGAACACGAAACAATGGATATAAATTGGATAAGTTTAGATTTAGGAAAGACTTGGGTAAATACTGGTTCAGTAACAGGGTTGTTGATTTGTGGAACCAATTGCCGCGTAACATTGTGGAGGTGGGGTCCCTCGATTGTTTCAAGCACGGGTTGGACAAGTATATGAGTGGGATTGGGTGGTTATAGAATAGGAGCTGCCTCGTATGGGCCAATAGGCCTTCTGCAGTTACCTTTGTTCTTATGTTCTTATGTTCTTATATTACTATGAAGTAATAGGCATTCATATGAAGGCATAAACAATATGCCTTCAGCCGAACAAGTCTATGTGGATGGGGATGAGGACAGGTTGACGAGTTTAGCAGTTACCAGGGAGGATGTAATTAAACAATTAGAAAAACTAAAACCAAACAAATCCCCAGGGCCGGATGAAGTGTTTGCCAGGGTGCTTAAAGAATGCAAAGAGGAGCTTTTCGAGCCACTGTCTACCATATTTAATAAATCAATAGAGTCAGGCAGAGTGCCAGAGTCATGGAAGGTAGCTAATGTGGTACCAATTTTTAAGAAAGGAGATAGATCACTTGCGTCAAACTATCGGCCAATTAGCCTAACGTCTATTGTGGGAAAGTTACATGAATCAATAATTGCAAATACAATTCGTCTCCATCTTGAAAAACATAAATTAATAAATGAGTCGCAACATGGTTTTACAAATGGCCGTTCATGTTTAACAAATTTGCTAACTTTTTATTCCAGCATAGTTAAGCAGTTGATAGTGGTAAGGATTGTGATGTTGTGTACCTTGACTTTAGCAAAGCTTTTGATACAGTGCCACATGAAAGACTAATTAAAAAAAATAGAAGCTCATGGTATTGGGGGTGGTATATTAACTTGGATTAGGGCATGGCTATTCCAAAGGAAACAGAGAGTTAGTATAAATGGGGTTAAGTCAGAGTGGGATAATGTTGTTAGTGGAGTACCTCAGGGCTCTGTCCTGGCACCTCTGTTGTTTATAATATATATAAATGATTTAGATTCAGGTTTGAGTAGCAACATTTGCAAATTTGCCGATGATACGAAAATCGGTAGGGAAATTAATTCGGAGGAGGACTCACTATCACTTCAAGTTGTTCTAGATAGGGTTTTGAAATGGTCAAAGGATTGGCAAATGCAGTTTAATGCTGATAAATGTAAAGTTCTGAGGCTAGTAAAGTGCCAGATTTTCGAAAAGCTGATTTTAATAGCCTA